AATTTCGCCACCCCGGTAACTGCCTCTCTTTTTCTTATTCTTTTCTTTGCGGAAACCATCGCCACGAGTTACGATTAGGTCCTGATGAGCTCGTTTTCCGTAGTCGTTCAGCGGGGCATCCTACACGATCACGGTTCGAAATGTTGGAAATGGCAACGAAAGGACATTTGGAGGAGAGTACCTTTACATCATAACGGTTGTCAGCAATCGTCTGGAACTTGGAAGCATCAATTCTCTTGAACCGCTCGTTAGGTTGACGACCGGGCTTTCCACCTTTTTGTTTATTCTCAGTAGCTAGGGGTGGGTTCGTCACCTGAGAGGTTGTGGTGGCCGTTACAACAGAGCTGTCAATCGCCGTCCGGCGTTTCTTGATAGGCTGCCCTCGTTCAACTTCTACTTCAGCTTTTACAGGTTTCGCGGGTTTGGTGGGAAGAGATGGGCTGTCTTCGTCCATTCTTGCGTGCAAGTCAGAGTCCGTGTCTGATTCCGAGCTTGAACTATCGGATGAACTCGAAGCATCTTTCTTTGTCTTTAGGGCACTGGGAGATTTCGAAGCCGCCTTTGACGCCACAGGTTTGGAATTTGAGCCCGAGTCCGAGCTTGAACTTGATTCTTCCGAGCTGCTGTCCTTCTCGGCCGCCTCCGCAACTTTTTCAGTTTGTGTCTTCGTTGGCTTCGTGTTCGTGTCGGTCTCTGAACCGTCACTCGAGTCGGATTCACTAGAGCTCGAAGAGCTAGATTCTAACGATTCTTTCTCCGAACCGGCCTTTTTAGCAGCTGGTTTAGAGTCGGAATCCGAACCAGAAGCAGAAGATGAGTCCGACGACAATGAATCTCCGGAAGACAATGTTCGACTAGATCCGCGTTCAACTGGGCCCTTCTTTTGCGCTGTGCTTGCAGGCTTAACCGATTTCCTCTTCGTCAGCTTCTTTTTCTTCGACAAGTTCTTGGAAGAGTTAGAATCGCTCGATTCGTCGTCTATGGATGAAGAAATGAGCATGGTGGTGGGTTCAAGCCGAAGAGAAACGTACCGGATTCCGAACCCGAGGCAGAAGAACTTGAGCTAGTCGGCGGAGCTAAATCTACCTGAGTTATAAACACGGATATTATTCTTTGTGAAAACCTCACGTTTGCTCGACGGGCTTTTCGCAGTAGCAGTGGGTGCCTTGAATTCCTTTTCCGGTGAGGCCTTCGCTGATTTCTCCACAGGCTTTGATTCTGACTCGGAGGACGATGACGACGAGGATTTTGACTCCTTCGCGGCTTTGGCCTTGGGCTTCGTCTTTTTGCTATCTGAAGAGCGTGCGCTGGAACCGGAGCTCGAGCTGTCAGACGCTGAAAGCATTCGTACATCAGGAGAAATACGACGGGAGGCTTGGCAGTGGTATTCACATACAACTGGCATCCGAATCAGAGTCGAAACTTCTGCAGGAGCAATGTTAACACATTGGGCACAAGACAGCGAGATCGTCACGTACGAGAATGATTCCTCCTTTGTTTGGGTAATTTTCCATTGCTTTATAATTTCATCCAAGTGAGGGCCGTCGAGTTCGATATCATCCTTTAGAATAACGACCTCTTTCGCGGCCTTTTTGACGGCCTGTGCTGCCTTGGTATGCGAGTGCTTCGTTAGAAAGGCATGAATTAAGGTATATGTCGCTAAACCAAAGTAATTTAGACGTGAATAAAGCAGCGAAAATAGATTCTTACTTGCTAGATTACCGTCCATGAGGGTAAGGTAGAGATGAAGTCTTCTGCGCTTCGGACGCCGGCAACTTTTTTCTTTGTGTCGAAACCTCGAGAGTGTAAAAGGGAAGAAAGTCTCACGGTACCTAATTGCTTCTTACTGCAGTCCGCGACTGCAACAAAATGGACCCCACAATCAAAGGCCTTGCACAATCAGACGTTCAATACGACGGCTCCTCTCTTCGTATCGCCATTGTATATGCAAGATGGAACAACACCGTAATAGACGCTCTGGTAGCTGGTGCAGTAGCAAAGCTGAAAGAGCGGGGTGTGAAGGAAAGTAACATTGTTATCGAAACGGTGCCCGGAAGCTTCGAGCTACCACTGGCATGCTCTAGGTATACCCAAAAATTCATTTGCACGTTTTATCTTTGAACTTTACGTCCAGAATGATAGCGGGTTCTCATGTCCAGGCAAGCTCGACCGTCCCCGATCTCTTGGGAGGGTTGAGCTTCAGTGGCAGTCTATCTCCTCCCAAAGCCCCCTCTCGCACAGGCACACCAGCTCCAGGAGCTGCCCTCAATCTGCCTAAACAGCCTTTCGATGCCGTCATCGCGATTGGCGTGCTGATCAAGGGCGCTACTATGCACTTCGAATACATTTGCGACAGTGTCTCACAAGCGTTGATGAAGATCCAACTAGACACAGGCGTACCAGTTATCTTCGGGGTGTTGACGGCGCTCACAGAGGATCAAGCGTTGGAAAGAGCAGGGTTGGGCCGAGGTGCCAGTAAAGGCCATAACCACGGCGAAGATTGGGGGTTGGCCGCTGTGGAGATGGGCTCCCATGTCCGTCGTTGGGCTGAAGGGAAATTCGTCTAAGATAAATGTGAAAAAGAAGTACTTATGTAAAATTGGACTGCACACTGGTAAATGTATTTCATTAGAGTGGAAAGATGGCAGCACTGTATCTGTATTGAGGGGAGATAACTGTGCCTGGCAGTGCACGGTCCGCGTTGGTCATCACACTGGCTCCGGGTCCGCCTGTAGCCGCTTTTGACTTTCTCCCTTCTCCAACCTCCACACCGTCCTCCACCCCCAAGATGAAGAAAAAGGTGAATACCTGCGAAGAAAGCGTTTCTGCGCACAGCGAAATAACATGCCCATATAGGTCCTGCTTATGGGTGCCTCGGGTAGTGGAAAGACTTCAATGCGATCTCTCATCTTGTGAGCTATCGCATAAGCAGCCTCTGAGGCCCTGAAATAAACGCGTTTTCTAGTTCCAATAATCCTGCATCACTCACGGCTCGTCTTGGCGCCACCATCGACGTCGAACAAAACCACGTTCGTTTCTTAGGCGACCTCGTACTGAATCTCTGGGACTGCGGTGGACAGGACGCCTTCATGGACTCGTATCTGACAACGCAGAAGTCCACTATTTTCCAGCAAGTCGGGGTCATGATTTACGTGTTTGACGTCGAGACGCGCGAAGTGGGCAAGGATTTGGAATACTACCGCGACTGTCTCGCTGGCTTGCAGCAATTTAGTCCGGATGCTGCCATCTTCCTGTTGGTCCACAAGATGGACCTTGTACGAGAGCCTCGACAGCCAACATTCGACAAGAAGAAGCAGGACCTTCAAGAGGCCAGCGGTGATGCCGACATTTCGGTCTTCGGCACAAGCATATACGACGAAAGTCTGTACAAGGTTTGTACGTCTTCCATGTCTCAGGCAGTCTATGCTGACGTTGTCTATAGGCCTGGTCAAATATTGTCCACACTCTCATTCCCAACGCTTCAATTCTCTCCAGACACCTCGCCACATTCGCTGCTGCATGTAATGCCACTGAAGTTGTCCTCTTCGAGCGCACAACATTCCTCGTCATCGCAACGTCCTCATCAAATGCTGCTTCTGTTTCCGAAACATCCTCCGGAATCGTAGAACTTGATTCAAAGCGTTACGAGCGAACATCCGAACTTATCAAAGCGTTCAAACACTCATGTTCGCGCATTCGAGAGGAATTTCGGTCTCTGGAGCTGGAGCTGTACGATTTCACAGCTGTGCTGGATGAGATGACCCGAAACACTTATGTTATGATTATTGTCCATGATCCCACAATAGGTCTGTCTGCTTGATCATCTTGACGAATGGCACAAGCTTACACTTCCTCCCAGAAGTTGCCGCTCTGAAGCTGAACATCCGGCTCGCTCGCCGCAAATTTGAAGAATTACAGAGCGACAGTCTAGTCTCCGCATAATTGAACTCTTTCCGTAGTTTATCTAAGTTCCAGTTGTAATACCATCACTACATACATACTTATCATAGGGCTAATGGTTTAATATTATCTGACCCCTTTCCTTCGTTCTCTCTGATATACACTTGGACATGCTTATTCTATGCTACATACAGAGCAAGTGTTGCAGACTAGAATACATACATATAACAGTTGGATTGAAAACGAACAAATAGAGGACTATTCTCAATGATAGAAGACGTTCAAGATTGAACCAGTACACAACTGATTGGAGTTGCCCCAAACCTCCGTCGAGGGTCCCGGATGGGGCACAAATTCATCACCAAGCACAGCACCTTCAGGCCGACGGGCTTGAGGAAGCGAGAAGCCGAAGTCAAAGTTGCTCCCAAACTGTCCAATCGCTTCCTGGTAGTTTCTGGTCATGTCAGGGAAGAGAACATCTTGCACCTGTTGTGCTTGCTCTTCGTTGATGTAAGCCACATGTTGTGTTGGCGCATTATAGGAAACGTCGCTAGCGAACGCTGGAAATGCTGGTTGCAGTTGGGAGGCATCCACAGGAGGCAAGTAAAGGTACCCCTCCTGTTGCTGTATAATAGGCACGTAGGGGCCATAGACGGATTGATCACTAACTGTTTGCACCGGAAGACTGTAGTGGGGGTTGACCTCAAATCCTTCAGCCACTGTTGCTTGTCCGATGCTCATGCTTGTGAGTGTACCTTCGTGCACTTGCACATTGTCTTGAAACTGGGAGCTAGGCCCAGCTACCAGTGGGAGATGTGGCATATAATCACCCCGAGTCCCTTCACCAGCGGCAAACACAAACGGGTCCATGTATCCCGAGCTAGCCTGATGGCTGGCTTCTTGCTGCTCAGGAGTACCGGCAGGGGGAGCAACTGCCTGTTGACTACTTGCCGCGAAATGAGACCTGCAGAATATCTGGGCCTTGGCTTTGAGGGCCTTTGGGTCCTTTTCGTTGGAGTTGTCCATCCAGAATTGGCGGAGAGCGGCCAAGTAGCCTTGCCCGCCCCGCTGCTTGATCTCTTCAAGTTGTTTGTCGCGAAGCTAAGCCAAGATGCGCCTAGTTACTTTCGGCTCAACATAAACATAATACATGTCTTACGAACCTGCAGAACCTGTTCTACAGCGACCATGACTCGGGCTTGCTTGGCGGGCTCAAATGGTGCGAATGGAGGTTTCATAGTTCTTGCCATTTTGTAGGTTTTCAGGACGGGGGCTGAAGCAGTTTTTGGCAACCTTTTTGTGCCATGCCCGCAATCAGCCTCGTTATCGAGTGCTGGGTCCTCTTGTCGCAGTAAACATCCGCATTGGGCCGCCTAGTGTGTTGTCAATGATTCAACCAGGTAACAAGAGCCACAATTCAACGCACTGCAATTAAGAATTTCCTAGCGTTTCCTGAACTTCCAAGAAGTTGAGTGGCCACGACCATCAACGACTCACTATCCTGAGGGATCGTCAGAGGATTCGTGGCCTAAATATTGCTGTAATGGGACTAAAGACTGACCGTGGCGATCGAGAATGGCTCGGGGAACAGAGATGCACCGCCGACTGAGTGTTGACGCTTCGTCTTCCTTGAACCTTCTCCGTCTTCGTCGCGGGTTTTGCGCTTTTTGACCTCACGTTTGGGGTTCAGGCGAGCCTCCGGAGGAGCAGGCATTGCCACTGCTTCGATGGCCCGTGGCACAGACACGGATCCTGATGCCCTTTCCGCCATCGCTGCTTGGGTGTCTGTAGCACGCTGTGCCTCGCGCTGGTTGTCGTACGTAGCCTTGAAACTTGTGTTGGTGTGTACAGATTGAGCAGGGACCATCTTGACTCCGACTAGTAGTAATAGGTCAGATATCGGCCACTACAAAGGAATTTCAGCGTGACGCCCACTCACTTTTCGCTGACGAAGATATCTCAAATGTTTTAGGATGATTAAGAGGGGGAGGGAGAGAAAGAGGACGAAGGTAGGGGAGTAGAGATGAAAGTAGGAGAGATGATCGAGTGCGAGGTCGCTTTGCACTTGTGAAAAACGTGACCGTGTCCTGAGCCACAACCTAGGAGACTAGGGTGTGATTTCGTTGATTTGGCCATAGGAATTAGCAAAGTGGCTTTCCCACAGACGAGGACAGCAAATCTTCCTTCGACAGCTTCAGCAGACCTAGGACTTGGGTTAGCATAGATGAAGCTCAGACACGGGGCCTCAATGTACCTGTAAGGGGACCTACCTGACGTGGGCGGTTTAGAATCCAGAAGCCTGATCATTTCAAAAGTATTCCACTCACCCTGGCACCCTGGAATAAGAACGGTGTCAGCAACATCTGGCACGCAGTCATTATGGAGAACCCTCGTCAGGTTGACAGGTTCACTCAGAGAAACGACGTCGATACGATTCACCCCCCAGGCGTATAAAGGTGTTTTCACGAACGCTATGGATGGCGCAAAAATTCCCATTCGGAGCACCTCACTAAGGCAAATCTATTGGTTATCGGACCCGTCTCGGTCAGTTATTCAGACATATATGAAAGTTAAAGCACACACCAGGCGCTCGCCGTTAATATGCAGCCCTTCTCCTATCATTCAACGCGCGACTGTTTACAAGATCGCACATAGGAATTCTTGATCCCAACGTGGGCCCATAATCTCCTCATGTTGTTTTCATTGCATCAGAGTACACATATTACCAAATGGTTTCCTTCAATGAAGAGAAGACACATAACAATCTAAGGTGTCTGCCTCCGGACGGAGAGCCTGGAATGAGCCAGATAACAGGAAGCTGATTTTTTTGTCAGTTCTGGAAAGGAATCCTTGAGGTTGGTTGCTCACAAGAATTGCCATCCCACATAGACCATGCAATTAAACTCATCTATAGTTCTTGAATGTCATCCGAAGGCCGAAAATCGGTCGGGCGAGTGCACCCTCCGCCGTTTCGTGTTTCGATTACGCACCACTTTCTGGGCAACTTTCCACTGTTCGGAACGCACAAGAAGCGGTAAGGGAAACAGGTTATAGGGTCCCTTCGTAAATTGTTGATCAAAAAAAAGAAAACGCACAAGAAGCGAGGAAAATTTGACGATAAAGGCAGGACTGCCCCTTCTGTGCTTCCCTTTATCGCTCTCCTGCGATAAACCTCCAAGGCGAGGATAGATTCAGTCCTCCTGTAATGCGTGAACAATTCCGGTCTGAGACTGGTAACCAGCGGCAAGTGTTTCTTAAAATCGATGAATTCGGTATGGTGATTCACTGGCACATCGGCGACGCAGATTTGCATACGCCTTATATCGCTATTGAGGCGTAGTTTCCGTACTGTGTGTCGTGGCAACAGAAGATAACTCCGACATTTTACGAGCGCAGACGTGCTGGTGGATAGGGTTTTGGGAAGAGAGGGTTTTCGTTTTCTTTCGCTGGAACATTGTTCGACACCGGCACGGCGGCACGCTGCCGGATTTGGTATCTGTTGACCCTTCTAGGAAGTTCCAACTTCCAGCACCAACTATGTGAGTAGAAGTACAGGTATTTCGGAAATTCTTGTCCGCGGCATTTTCCGCCACTCGGAAATTCTGAAAAATACAGTAAATACAGTAAATACGATAAATTCGAAAACAGATGAAGCGTTGCAATTACACGTTCAGAAACACTTCTATTCCCTTCCCTGCATGCAAAAGAGTCTTCGTGCGCGATTTTGGAACTCTGCGATGACTTTTGCCCCCACTACGTCGCTCCCATTCTGCCACATCAATGCACCATACACTGCCAACGCGACACCGACGCCATGTCTATGCCGGCCACCATCTACAGGCATAGCGAGACGAGAGGACGTGTAGATGGCCCCGACAATGCCGACGATGTCATTCACTCAACTTCGAAGCCAGGGACGGTGTCGCAGGTGGGGTCGATGTTGGGAGAGCGCGGAATCTTCGTTGTTGGGATCCCAGTACGTCGTGCTTGCATTCTGCCTCTCCGGTCGCTCCTCTAATGAGAGTCTTCTAGAAGGAGCTTGTTAGAAACTAGGTGACCCATTGTCAAGCTTCCCCCCTAGGCCCTTGCCTCCTCCCCCTTCCCCGGTTTCTAGATCCCTTGACCGCCGTTTCACATCTCGGCACCCTTCGTTGAAGGCGAGAATATCCTCAAGCACCCTCTGCCCTCCAAGTCCTTGTCCGCAAGTGATGGTGTCTTTCCATTCGGCTTACGGGTACTATGAGGGCACAGGCCGTGTTGGCCATGTCATCGTCACTCTGCCTTTTGTCCGTCTATCTTCCCCACAATATCTGCCTCATACCTATCAGAACCCACTATGCTTTCTCCTTCCCGTACATAGCGTGCAATTGTCATTGTGTCGTTCGCAATTCTACCAGCCACGTCAGTGACCCTGTTGCTGCCCAGGACCTCTCTCTTGTACAAAATGTGCCATTCTTGTTCGACTTTACATATTGCCATAGGTCCACCGACGTTTCCAACCAGTTGAATAGCCCCAGAACGCGCGCTCTCCGTTGCATATGAATTTTTGAATATTCTCGATTTTTTTTGAATTTTCTTGAATTTCCAGTTTCGGAAAACACCGTGGACAAGAATTTCCGAAATACCTGTACATAGCCCTCCGAGTCGCCCTTGCGACAATGGCTATTGTCGTATCTTACTTATCAATTAGAGTAATATGTATAGCTCTTTCATCTTCCAGAACCTGTCTTCTTACTGGTGGGCCAGCTAGGTTTTGCTTTTGACACAATTTCTGTAACTGTTGACTGCGCCATTTCGACAAATTTAAGATGCACTGATACCACATCCTGGATTCCAGAATGTAAGCGTCAAAGGTAAATACTCTAAGCACTGACTCATTCATCTCATGAATTCTGGTATAATACAACATTTAGAAAACAGTACACATAACGCTATAACCAAGCCTACGAAGCCTTATAATCATGATTCGAATTTAATCAGATCTTGCAAGCAATGCAGCACGAGTACCCGCAGGCGGCCTATACGGTGTGCCCTTCTCCTTCTGCTTCTCGCCCTTCTTCGCCGCACTCGCTCTCGTCCCAGGAAGCGGGAAAGAATCCGCGCTCGAAACCGACCCCCTCTTCTGTGGTGTGCGTGGCTCAGGCAGGCTATACCCATCTGCTGACGTTCTTGTGTTGAAACTGAAACCCACATCCCCCCTCCTTATCACCTGCTCGCTCTGACGTGGTCGATTAGGCGGGAACCTGGGCAATAGGGACGAGTCTCTTCTCGACAAGGCCACGCTCGGAGCACGCGATGTAGTGGGAACACCAACACTCCTGGAGGCGTCGTACTCTCGGAGCACCTCACTGGGCTTGATGCGGAAGAAGGCAGGAACGTGGGATGGAGCAGCCCTGGAAGTTCGCGGAGCAGCAGCAGCAGCAGCTTGGAGGTCCCGGTGCGTCTCGGCGTCGTCTGTCTCCATCGAAGGAGAACGACGGCTGGTGCTAGCCTGTGGCAGGACAACGCTCGGAGGATCGACATCCATAAGCAAGTTCTCCACGTCCATTTCATCGACAAATGTCTCTCTGATCGGGATGGTGATATTTTCAACGGGCTCTTCGAGGACTGGCGGTGCAGGCTCCTCCTCCGGTATCTCTTCAGGGATTTGTTTCTTCCTCGCAGCTCGTTTCCTGGTTTGCGTAGGCAGCGCAACCGGCTCGACACTTCGCGAGCGTGAACGAGTATTCCTGGCTGGAGCCGAAGCCGGAGGAGACGCAACAACGCGAGGTCTTCGAGCTGCTTTCTTAAGAATTTGTTGGGATGTGGTCGGGCGAGGTTGTGCTGCAGGAGGTGGCGTCGGAGTACGGGATGGCGCCCTACCGAGGTCGATGGCTTGGGAAGAAGGACCAGGCACCTGCGTCGGCGACGGCTCAGGCGCAGCGAATCGTACCGGCTGAGCAGGCGAGCGCAAATTTGTCTTCTGCGGACTAGGCTGACTTGCCGGTCGTCGAGACGGGCCTACAGATGGAGGCTTCTGCTGTGGCCTCTGTGGTTGAGAGAGCCGTCGACTATCGTCTCCTCGGGTTCCCTCCGAACGAGAGTTCGATATGTGCTCAGTAGGGTCAATGTAAGATGGTCGACCAGAATTGACGAGTGTTTCTTGAGTGACGAAGCTGGGCGGAGAAGGTCCGGTTTGATGGGACACTAAGGTGCGTTCCGGCGATCGAGTACGGCCAGAGGGGCCAGGTTCGTCGAAGCCATATGCAAACACTATCTCTTCGTCACCGCTGAATAAGGATCTGAAGAAACACCGATAAGAAATCTAGCACGAAGACGAGCAAGAAAAGAGAACTCACGATTCTTTATCCTCTATTATTTCCACCACCTCCTCCTCTTCGTCTTCGCGAGCCTTTCCTTTGCCTTTCCTATTCGCCTGCCCAGAGGATTGTCCGGTTCGTTGCCTCTTCGCCGACTGCGGGACCTGATTATGGGACGACCGCTCAGACCTCCTTCGTTTCCGCGATATCGTCCCTCCTCCACGTCCCTCCTCCTCCTCCTCCTCTTCGTCCTGCCTCTCTTGCTGATCCTCTTCCTCTTCCTCCAGCTCTTCTTCTTCTTCCTCTTCTTCCTCCACCAGCATCTTCTTGTTCGCCTGTCGACTGAACGGCCGCCTCGCATCCTTCGACGGCTTCTCTTCCTCATAAATCTCCTTAATCCGCACGTCAAACCCGACCCGACGCGTCTTATACCGCTGCTTCCACGACTCGACCGTATGCCGCGCCGCCCATTTATATTCTTGCGGGAATGCCTGTGCCTGCAGGTACCCCAGCTCCGCGTCAGTATGGGGGCTATCAGACTAGAAGGTGAGGCCACATACCATGTTGACCAGCTCCTGGTACACACCTAGCCCCAACCGGCCTCCCATCTTGTTGTTGGGAATCTTATACGCAAGCCACCTGCACAGTCGCTCATCATCTTGCAACGTGAACTCCTGCCGCCTACACCAACGCAACACAACACAATCGCCATCAGCACCCCACCTCAAAACTCAGCAAGCAAGCGAGCAAAAGGACGTACCATCTCCCCGGGGGGCGTCCCCCAAGTGCCTTCATAGGGGGCTTCATATGCCTGAACACCCCATCTCTGATTATCTTGCTCACGAAGCTCACATACTCGACCGTGGCGCCCCTCTTCTCCGGGTCATCATGGAGGTGGTAGAAGTTCTGCACCGCGCCCTTGTCCTGCCTGACGTCGATGAGGACGGTATTGACGCCATCTTCGGTGTCGTTCACGTAGCCGCCGTTGTCCTGCGTCAGAAGACGGTATGAGCACCCAGGGATGATATGAAGGAGAGGGAAGAAAAGAGCAACGCACCTCGATGTTCTGCCTCAGCACACCCAACATATGCTTCTTCACGCTCTTATGAAAGTAGAACTGTATCGCCGTGCCATCCCTGTCCTCAAACACCTTCCGCCTCGCAGCGCCTTGCTTCTTCGCCTTCGCCTTCGCCTGCTGCTGCTCTTCTTGCTCATCTTCATCATCTTCCACTGCGTTTCTTTCGGCGAAAGCTTGTCGCGAGCGTGCAAGTTCAGCAGTAGTGCGTGCCATAGGTGCGGGACGTGTACTGCAACGCTCGAATGACGATGGTGATGTTGGGGGTAAAGAGAAGAAAGCGCCATCTGATCTGGTAAGGACGGTACGTTTAGCCGGCCCGTCATACCGCCATTATTGTTGTCGATCACGTGCAGCGCGTACGCGTCGGACGCGCCGGTCATCCCAAGTTCAAACTATTATCCAATGAAATATGAAGTGCAGAATCAATCCACCTAAAATATATACGGCTACATGTATATAGACCAATTTATCCTAGCAACTAGGCTAAACAAAACCTGAACAGGACTAAACCGAAGCTTGGACTACACTACTGTTCGAAGGACGCTATCGAAGGAAGAGGGAGGTATCGCAACGGAAGAAAAGAAATAGCACTGGGCATGAAATCGAAGACGAAATGTTCGAAGATATAAAACACAGCACGGCGCAAAAACAGTGGCATCGCGAACCAATAAAAAACCGAGACGAGGACATGCATATGGGGACGAGAGTGAGGAAAGGAACCAAGAGACCGAGACAGACAGACAAACAGAACCGGAAGGAGAGGAAAGATGGGCGCAGGAAATTGAATATATGCTGTATAGATGGGAGCGCTAACCTATATACTACCAATACTTCCACACATAAGAGATCGCACGTAGCCTACTTAACTTGGTGTCTATCACGCGACCACACGCGAGGTAGGAGTTACACTCCATAGAAACTAGATCAAGCAACCCAGACTGTTAAACGTTAGTAAATGCTCGAAGGAACGCGTAGAACGAAGGCGACTCACAAGCGAGCGAGACGACAAAGTAGAGCCCAAGGAGCATGAGACCTTCCATATAATTCGATTTTCCGTCCCTGGCAAAGTAAACACGATTTCAGCAACGAGCGGAAGAGGAACTCGAGGACAAAGACGTACTGGATAAGCGTGTTGACCAGAACGACAGACACAAACAAGATGATGGTCTAGAAAGACGCGCTTAGCATAACCCAACCACTAAAGGTTACGTAGTGCATGCGTACCTCGAAGTTGGCAAAGAAGAGCGTCAGCTCATGGCCCGAGCTGCGAAGAGATTCAACAAGATAACAAACTCGGCGAGCAGAAGACTTACATCCATCCGACGACGACGAGTAGAGGAACGACGAAGGCGGCAATTTGCTGCGCAGAAATATAAGTGACTGCGGGTATGCAGTGACGGGTGGACGTACGATCGAGCTGCCAACGCAAATGGTAATAGTAAGCTCCATCTGGTTTTTCATCGCCATCCAGACCGCAGTAACATGCTCAGCCGCATTTGCCTGACACGACGCGTGAGATGAGCGCCAGATACTTGGAAAGCACAGGACGTACGACAATGGGCAGAAGGATCAAACCAATGAATGGCTTTGGAACGTGATATCGCTCAGCAAACTCTTCAATGGAGGATACGACTGTAGCAATAGCAGCTTGAGGGACGGGGCGCAAGGATAAATGAGGCGAAAGACTTACGGTAATCGGCACAGAACGATGTAACAACAGTGACGCCCAGGAGGCTATGTCGAGTTTGAGTAATATTCTCACAGAACGTTGAGCATACGTACGAGACACCTGCTGCGATGACACTCATGTTCGCCTCTTCATGCTCTACTGGTTCAGCGTCTTCTGGTAGCGGATTGCCATCGTCGTCGGAATCGCGAGGTTGGTACAAGAATGCATGCGATTTCAACTGACCAAGCGCGTCAGTCATGACGCGTTTGAGCTAAAAACGTACTTACCTGGAAGTAGATATATGCACAGTAGATGAACAGAAGGACCAGAGCAGTACCTCGCGAGATGATCAAAAGGCCGCGTTCATTCGAGTGGGAGTCTATTCGAACGAATTGGCATAGAGAACCCAAGCAACACAATTAAAATAGAATGATACCTTCGAGTGTACTCGAGTACGCGGCGGGAATGACAAGAGCTAGCGTGCTAGATATCAGCACAGCATTCGGCGGGTGAGGGAAAAACGCCGCTGGGCCACGCACTGATGCAGGCCAAAGTCATCAACTTTTAGGAGACTTCAGTGTCAAGAACAGAAAAACACATCGGAATATTCTTACCGAACTCGAACTAAACGAGGGTATTAGGGTTTCAATTTCGTACAACGGGGATGAGGGTTGAAGACTTACGCTTGGGCTGCAGTGACCTGGAAAACGCTCTCTTGACGCTTCAGGCCGGCTGGATGGAGCGTGAGGTTGTGGGCGTTGGAACAATAGCGCGCGCGTACCAGCAAGGAATGAACAACCGAGAACAAGGAGGATGTTGGAGAGGATAGATCCAAGCATCTGTGGCGCGCTTAATCGGTGCCAACGCATTGCTGAAAGGTGGGCTTACAGAGGTTTGAACGATGCGCAGCTCATCTGGTACAAATTAGGATCGAATTGTATGATACAGGGAAGGAAAGGACCTTGGAGCAAAGCAGCAACACCAACGATAATCTCTACCGCATTTCCGAAGGAGGCATTGAGGAGGCCAGCGAGCGTCTGTCCAAGACGCGCGGACATTTGCTCTGTCGAGTCACCTAACAGCTGTAGATACAAAAATTATGACGGTCTTATCACGGCGCGACGCGCAAACTACGCCCTACGCACCTTTGCGAGAGGCATGATAGCGAAGAAACTGAAAGAAAATCGGAAGGCGACATCCCAGTGAAGATAGTGGGCGAAGGCGCTGAGGGGCACGAAAACGAGGAGGACGTTGAAGTAGGAGCCGAATAAAAACCACTTGTAGGATTGGAACCACGTTGGCTCGCCCTCTGCCTTGAGGATGGCAGAGACGCGCGTGGACAGGGACGGCGGTGGGAGGCCCTCGACGCTGTTGTAGGTGTGGGAGCGACCGTTTTCTGCGTGGCCAAGGAGGGGCGACCTATCGTTGTGCGGCATGGTGGACGGGAGGGGTAAGGAGCGACTGAGGTTGAAATGAGACTTTCGTATGACAATGAGAGAGGAGACCCAGCGCGCGAGGCAGTGCACTGCCTCGAAAAAGCCCGATCGGCTTCCCATGACGTCACGTGTGGATGTCAACGTTGGACTCGAGTGCTGGCTGCGCGAGATGGCTGGCGTCCCCGTAGCGCACCAGCGCGCCCTTGCCGTTCGCCTGCAGCTCGATGACCGTGACGGACGCGTTGGGGCAGCGCCAGACGACGATGCCCGGCCCGGCCACGACCCGCCTGCTCCCGATCAGCTCCCGCACCAGCGTCACGATGAACCCCCCGTGCGTCGTCACAAGCACGTTCTCCAGCCCCTTCCCCACAGCATGCCCTGCGACCCGCGACCGCCACCACGATGTCGCCCTCTGAGCGAACGCCGCGCTCCCTTCTGGTCCACCCTCCATAGCTACTGCCAGGCGCAAGTTCGCCTCCATGCCGCTCTTGCCTTCCAGGTACCCCATGAACTTCCGATTTCCGTCAGATAACGCGCTGGATCGAAATAAGAGGCGCCCACGTACACGTTCCCGAAGCTCCTGCTCCTTCACAAGCTGAATCCCAGGATGGTGTGCCAATATCGCTTCGGCAGTCTGCAAAATGCCATGACGCCAGCACGCGCTGAGTTCAATCCCTTCAGAATGACAGGCACCACGCACCTCGACTGCCCTGCTCAAATCGCTGCTAAAAGCCGCATCGAACCGCACTTCCTTCAACGCCTCGCCCACCGCTCTCGCCTGCTCCCTTCCTTCCTCATTCAGCAGCGTGTCCCTTTGCCCTTGGATGATCCCCTCTCTATTCTCCCTCGTCTCCCCATGCCTCACAAGATAGATGCGCACTGCAGGTCCAGAAGTCGTCGTCGATGCGTCGGTGCTCTGCTGCGTCCTCGCCATCGAGAAACGACAGGTAGGGGTTCAAGGAATGGAAGGGGACCAGGGAAGGGCTCATGCGCACATGCCTCCCTGTCCGTTGCCTACTTATTGGCCTCCCCGACCAAGAACATCATTTGCATCATTACATAACGAACGGCATTAGACTCCTGGAGGTTCCCTGCCTCCGCCCACACACACACCAATCTTTCGCCAAGCGCCTGTCCTCGGAGGTGACTGTGGGATTTCAGATCTGGCGTCTATTTTCGGCGCTCAGGCTACGGTTCTGATCCATCAAGGGGTTTTTGAATGGCGGCTCGAGATTCGACAGGGTTGTCAGGACGCAAGAATAGGAAATGGGGGGTAGGGTGCGTGTAGAAGGAGATTGTTTGAAGGGGTGTAGCTAGAAGAATGACGAGCCGTCCTTATGTATATCAGCGAGAGCGCTATATACGTCATCCTAAGCAACAAGCGCCTAGGCGCCCAGCCCACGGCAGACAACCGCCCAACCAAATTTAGTACACAAGATCACCCGGCACTGACTGCGGACAAGATTTTCATTCGTTCTTCCGTTTCACAAGTACCTCCGAACCATCCCTCCGACATTCACACCCAACATCCCTCACAGTGTGTTATTTTAATGAGTTTGACCCAACCGAAAAGAAGAAGCAAGTAAGTACACCGATACTCCGTAAGTACAACAGACAAACCAGAACACCTCGTATCTAAGTATCGAGCGCAAAGATAAAAACGAAACGAAAAGTCACGTAGCAAACCCAGATTTACAGCAGGGCGCCGATTTCGGCAACGACGTTGTGGATCCTCGGGTCAGAGAACTGTTTCGGCAGCGACTGCAAGCACTGCGAGATCTCGCCCACTTGCGGTGCGGGAAGCGGTGCACCATTCGCCTTCGCTGCATACGCCTGCAACGCCCAAAGAATGTTATGAGGGAAAGACTCGACGGAGGAGGAAAAAGAGGACGCACGATGTTCCCAAGAGCGACCAAGGTCCGGTAAATGGCCTCTGCGTCCGCGGTCTCCGACTCGAGAACCTGAAACGAAAGATAAGCAAGGCATCAGGGAAGAGCAAAGTGGATGGACCTTGTTGACCAATGCCACGAGCTGATTCCGAACGGACGAATTTAGCGCGTTCCGAAGGCCCTCAACCGAAGCGCTGAGAGGGGCAAAGATGGCAAAGATAGGATATAAGCAAGCAGCCAAAGTAAGGAACCGCATCCACATACTTGAACAGAATCGTAGCCAACGCGACCCTCTGTGTCTTGTTCAGCACCGCATACGGCGCCTGTGCGAGCGTCTCCAGAACATGTCCAAGCCACACTCCATCCACAGCTTCACCCTCAAATGCATTCGCCAGCGTCCTCAACAATAACAACATATTCGTCTCCCTCGCCTTGGGCAACGGAGGCGCCCACGCCGTGCTCCATTCCGCCGCCTTGAACAGCGCCTCTGTAAACTTCTCCTTCGTCCCTGCTGCTCGGAAGGCGTCGGGGCAGAAGCCGATGACGAGCCGGCTGAGGTCGATCACGGGGAAGCGCTGTGAGGAGGGCCACCGCTCGAGGATCGAGGTGATGGCTTCGACGTGCGTGTGGGTGAGGGAGCTGGAGGGCCGCTTGGGAGGCGAGGCGGTGCCTTGGGAGAGATAGCTGAATGTTCCTTCTAGGAGTGTGATCTCGTCGGGGTACATCGCTAGCGAAGACGTCGACTATATTAAATCAAAAGTTTTCAACACACGACAGTTACGATAAGTTCGCTGAAACTTACGATCTCGTGCCGAAGCGCCTCATCGAACTGAAACAGCTTTGACTGCATAGCGGACACGTTCGCTTGTTTGAAGGTGACCAGAGTTTTCTGTTCCATCCATTTGATCAACCTCCCGAACGACTGAAGTAAGGAGAAAACGCACCACTGGAAGGATTTTAGCAACCGCCACTGGAGCAGGTGCTGGTGCAGGAGGGGGCACTGATGCAGCACCAGAGTATCGCGAAGCGCCAGTGAATGGATCTCCATACGACGCAGCCGAGGGTGTCGACGACGTGTTGCCCGACGCAACGTATCTCGACGCTCCTGTGAACGGATCGACATATTGACCTGTGCCCGCTGACTGTGCAGTCGAGGGTGCAGAACGATATCGTGATGCGCCTACACAGGTCGACAGTCGACGTAAACTCAACCCGCACAGAAAGAAAGAGGCTTACCAGTGAAGGGGTCCACGTACTCTTCTCCTCCAGTGCCTATATTCACACCGCCCGTATTCTTCTCGATGAATTTGACGACTTCGTCGATATAGTTCAGCGAGATCTCGTTAGTCTGCAGGAATCTCTGTGCCGCAGCGTACGGGTTTTCTGCGAGACCGAATAAGTGTAACTCCAAAGATGTCCAAGGATAGTCCTCACCAGAAACGTTATAAGGTAGTTTGAGAGGAGGGACGCCGTCTTGGATATCGACGTCAAAGACATAATCGTATTCCTTTCCTTGGTACAGTTGTTTCCGACCAGAACCAACAGCATCGACGACGTCGCCGATCTTTTGCCAGGTATAGGCGGTGCTATCCCACTTAATCAAAGGTAAGAAAGAGATCGGGGTGCAGGAATCGTATGGTTACGCACCTGGTAGGCCTCGACAAGATCGTTATTTTTGATCATCTTTACCTCGCCGGACTTTTTACCTTTCATGCAACGTTGAATGAAACAAATAGCAAGAAAGGGCCAAGGACGGACCTGGTGTATTCAACGCTTCGGGGCCAGGAAGATCGCTCTTCTTCACATCGCCAACCTGCTGACTAGGCAAGGCCTGACTCGCAACCTGATTGTCGTAATCCTGCAACGCCTCTGCCGACGCCCACCGCTCCTCGGACTCGCTGAACACCCGCACGACACCGTCGCTGCAGCCGCTCACGATGTCGCCATTGGGCATCGTCGATACCGCCCAGACCGAGATGGCCGGATGCACGATCGTTTGCGAGCACTCTCCATCTACGCTTTACGCGTCGGTCTTTCGCTGCCACGAGAACAGGAGGATGGACATTGAGAACGCACCCTTCCAGACACGTACTGCACGATCCTCGCCTGCAGAAACGATGTCGCCATTTGGGAGAACAGATAGGCTGTAGACAAAGGAAGTATGGCCAGAGAGCGTGTAGACGACGTCGCCCCCAAGTGTCCAGACGCGGATTTCGCTGAAGAAGGAAGTTGGTAAATGTAGACGAAACTCGATACTTGACTATTCACCTATCGTTTGAACAAGATGCAAACCCGATGTCAGGAATAAGCACCAGGCCCCGCACCGCGTCTTGATGGCCAGTAAATGTCTGGACAACTTTGTGCTGTTGCCACAATTTGATAGTCTTGTCAGCAGATCCTAGGATGACCTTTCGTCAGCTCATGATCGCTACCAGAATGTCTCTTTACAAACCGGTTAAAAACTGATCCTCATCGATCCCTAACACGGCCCACACAGATTGTTGGTGGCCTTTCAAATCATAGGCCAAGTTATAATTCTTCCAGACTTTCGCGGTTCTACGCGCGAACGATGCCTCAGGACGGAACCGATCATGGATAAAAACGACACTCACTTGTCCCATGAACCCGATATGATTGTCCCGCCGGCAGTCACGTCCAATGAGCAGATGTTCTCGGTATGTCCAAGAAGACAGAAATCTGGATCGTCCCTCGGTGTCTGCAGGTTGAAGATGTTGATTACGCATTCTTGGCCAGCAGTGACAGCGTATCCTTTAGGTGGTTCAGGAATCGCCCCGTGGACGATTATTTCAACCTATCACGTACCTTTAGGAGCATCTGGCGTCGGAGGAAGGTAGGCTACAGAATTGATATAACGAGATCCAGCTCTCAGAACAGTCTCGGCCTTGAACTTGGAATCCGAAGGCGATCTCTCCCATGAGATGGCTGTGGTGTCACGAGAGGCAGAGAGGATAAGCTGGTCCGTGGGTGAGCTCAGTGCGCGAACCTAGAATGCATCAGCGTTGATCTTGGTCGGGATATGCACGACGTCGACAGACATCTGAGGTATGTTCTTTGAGAGGTGCAGACAGTTTATATGGCATGAGGGCAAGGGTGGTGGTGGAAGCAATGAAAGAGAAAGAGAAATTAGATCGCACACGCAAGCCTAACACCAAAGGGCACAACCAATCCGGAGTTAGAAGACAATCGACGCTTGTCTAGACCTCAAAGGTAACTTTGCAATTACAATCGTTCTATTCACTCCACTACTACTCCAACCGCACATGCCTATCAAATAGAAAGATCCAAAAAGTATGCGGAGCCACCGAAAGAATGTGCACCACTTAACGAACCCATACCACTGTGGAAACCTGTGAACGGGGGATACGGAGGTGCAGTCTATGCCTTGCACCATTACTTCATCTCCTGCGAGGTCCTCCTGGATGAATCGCCAGTCATAGTTGGGACGTATTGACGAATTAAGAAACCAAGAGGGGATGGAAAAGTTATGGGGCGCGACGCGTTTCGTCGATGGACTTCAGGGCCGGCTCAAAATCTGGCCCCAATAGTCCCGCGATGACGTAGTGAACTTTGATGAGGTCACTGAAGCAACTTGTAGAGGCGTGGATTACAATTCTAGTTTACAAATGGCCACATATCAATCAAAATCATGGAAGAAAACGTTCATACTGTCATCGGATCCCAGCTCTTCAGACTCACTTCGATGATATCTATTATGTCTGCGATCAGCCCAGACCAATTTCCCGCAGAGGGGTTTCAATGCTTCGCACTGCGTGGGTTCCGCGTTGTCGTAATTCATGGAAAACATCAGGAGTGGGAGAGGCGCGTCGATCGACTTCCTCCAATGCAAGAAGTATTCGTACCCACGGTAGGACGCGTCTTGCGCCCAGTCCATAGTTTGGACCTCCAGTTCTTCGATCTGGGGTAAACAGAGAGGGAATATGGGGCCTGAATTAGTGTCTCCGGCTTCGATACGTCGGAGGAGGCCCTTGACAAAATATGCCGAAGAGGCGTAGACCATCTTGAGTTCAGGGATATTGATGAAAGGAGCGATCAACGCAATTAGACCTTGTTGCATTTCCGGAGGATAGGCGTTGTCGATGTTGTTCACTTTCAAGGCTCCAAGGTGCCCCGCGGCGACAATATTGCTCAGGAACGGAAGGATTCGGAAGCTTCTAATTAGTTCTTCGTCATTGGAATGCGGATACGAGAGTGATATCTTGAATGATGGGGCTAAGGCCTCAGAGGGTTTGTCCGGAGGAGAGCTTGCCAACTGGACGCGACTTTTCGTGATAAATGCATACAGAAATTTCAGGGCTACCGTGTTCTTCAGATGTTGCAGCTGGGAAACAAGCGCTTCCATAAGGCGGGTGCCAGACTTTTTGCCAAAGTCTACACCCCCGACGTGTATATCGAGGGTGTGAAGCGGCGGAATCGCGAGTTTGAAGAGCAGGCGGCTGCATGGAAGAAAGCTTCCTGAAATGCGGAGGGACGTGAGGTATGGCAGGTGAATCTGGGGCAAATTTTCGTCATCCAATTTGGGGTGGAAGGCATTGACGAAGGCCAGTGAAGTGAGCTTGTTGGTATTCAGGAGGACTTCTGCCCATTCGGTAATGGTGGGTGGCTTCCCCCGAACTTCGGATATGGAAAGCTCCGTCAGGTGCTCGTAAAGAGGGGAGTCTAAACGAAATATGAAGCCGGAGGTCTTCAAAGATTTGAGGCGGAACGAATCTTGGAATGGGGGGTCAGGCAGATCGTGTCTGCGGGCCTTGTGTAATCCAGATTCCGAGTCCGAATCGTTGGGGTCGATGTCGATGTCATCTTCGGATGAGTAGTAGTCAGAAGAGTGCAACGCAAGGCGCTGAAGCAACGGAGTTGGCTGCCCTAGCCTGTTCGTGATGATGTCCTTGACCTGCTTTTCACTAACGCAGTACACGTCTAGATCTCCCATACGATCAAGGTGCCGGAGCACCATACGGAAGTTCCTCGTGGATTGGCGTATGTTTCCGACATAGAAGTTCATGGATACCTTCAAAGGCATGGATGCGGAACGCTTGATGAGTTCAGCTGCCCAAACGTGGGGCATAGTGGTGCAGTCAATGGGGATTGCCCACAAGGCTGGGGATCCAAGAATAAGTTCGCGCCAATAATGACATATTTTAGCGATTGTTCGTAACCCTCTACTGGGCTCTGGAGGTATATATCCTTCACGGAATCTGTGTGCTTTGTCTGGAAGAGCAGGACGAGCTTGAATGGCGAATATCCTAAGTAAAACTTCGGGAGGGAGGTTTGCAATGGGAACGAGCGTGTTGCACTTCTGGGCGATATCCCTAGCCTTGCAAAGAAGAGACTCCCTTTCATCAAGGAGATTCTGATGCGTTAGGCAGTGTTGAATGGGACTTGCAACGCGGGCCATCCTGTACTTCTGTTATGCGATCTTCTTGAGAGATGCTTCCTCGTCGGAGAGGCAACTTACAATAGGTTCTAGAGGTCTGAGATGATGGAAGTAAGAGACAAAGAAGAACACGACGCGTGTAGGACTGGAGTCAATGGACAAAGAACGAAATTGGACGAGGTTAATTCATTCACGTGATCGGACTTCGCTATATTTAGACTGATAAGATAAGATAACCCATCCTAGGACTCAGAATTTTTCTGTCTACTTCTGCTGGAGGAAAATAGCCGTGTATGCTGGAACGACAATGTAGTTATTCGACTTCAAACTGATTGTCGTCTGCAGGGAAGAGAAAATGAGAATTGTCGTACGCCGAGCATGGATGGCAAGAGATTACCTGCCACTTTGCCACGCCAGCCGCACCACCGAAATGACGGATGAAGTAGGCTCCAACTGGTACGTTGGATAGATCAAAAGCGATAGGAGCATCGGAGTTTTTGTTGACGATAACTAGGGTGAGTTTTCCATTCTCGGTCCCTGCATAGACACCTTGCGTATCAGGATTGGGAGTAGCGAGGTTGACTTGAGCACTGAATTTTCCGAAGTAGGTTCCGTAGCTAGAGGTTGAAGAAGCGTGTGAGTGGGCGAAAGGGATATACGTGACACGCACCCTCGATACAACCAATACGCCAATCCGACGGGTCCCATCTCTGCAGGGGTCGCCCAGTATGTTGCAGCGTCGACACCATATCTCCCAAAGAGACCAAGAGAGTCAACAGTAACGAGACCGCCCGTAATGTCGTTGTCGTTGGTCGAAGCCCATTCGCTAATGGAAAGCTTGGTGCCGGGATAGTAAATCTTGATGAGGGTCTTCATTCGTGGGATAAGATTGACGGAAGATGGGTTCCATTGATGATTTTGGGGATCTGTTCCAACCCAAGACTCATCGACATATTGAGGATCCTGTGAGAATGAACGTTTAATAGTCGAATTGTTGATAAGAAGAACATCAATTCTTACCCAAAGAGAGCGCGTCATTCTCAACCTCAAGGCTTTGGCCACAGCATCATTGGCGCTTGTATCAGCCTGGAAGTAGTAGTGAATGTCGAGATAATCGAGGAGTCGCTTCCCAGCAGTTTTCTCTGCCTCCCTCATCTTCGTGAGGAACCATGGCAAGAAGTCGATGTTGTCATGAGCCGCCGTATCGCTCCAGCCAATTGCGCTTGTCCAGTCTACATAGGTATGAGAAGAGTTTGACAGATCAGACGTGTTCACTTGCAGAACCACCAAGAACAGGTGGACGGAGCGCCAACCGGGACGTCTGGAAAAACTTCCTTGGACGCCGTGGCGAAGTCCACAACTCTCTTCAGTTCTTCATCATACCCGATGGGACTAGATGCACACGTAAGGAACAGGTTTTGGCCAGGGAAGTGTAGCACCTACTCAGGATGCATATCTTGGTGGGTGCTGTGGGCGATCTCGATTTCATTGTCAATAGTTACGATGGTTGGCTTGTTCTTGAGCTCGGAAAGCCATTTCTTGGCCAGGGTGGTGTTCCATGGCGTATAAACTCTGACTGGGTCGGGAGGTGGTGTGATATACGATCCATTGGGGAATAAGCCATTGCCAGCATCGGCGTTGAATGGGTCGAATCTTTGCTGATCTGTAATAGAAAGGTTACCATGGGATTTAAACAGGTGTATAACCCGAAGTCGAACCTGGGTAGATTGTTCTGGGATAGGAATATGATGATGCATCCTTAGACACCCAGTCAAGTCTTGAAGATTGTTAGGTCTCGTTGTAGAAGCAAGTTTTCTAACCACTTACGCAGGAATAGTCAGCATACTGGCAGCACCTGTACCATGGATCCACGCAAGCCACTCGTCTGCATTCTCATTGGCGCGGTTTTCAAAATACCAGTCATTGCCAGCATTTGTGAAGCCACCGAAAGGATTGTAGGCAGTAACTGCGTTTCCTCCCCAGCGAGAAAGGGGGGAACCGAGATGTTGAATGTAGCTTGCAGAAGTCGGCCAATTTACACCATAGATAAGAGGATCGATTGGGGTCTTCACTTCTTGAACAATGCTAGAACAAAATCCTTAACGACGTCTATGTCAAGGCGAGTATACTACGTACCTTCCATATTGCACGGCAGGCAAAACATAAGCGAAACTTGCACCACCGGCCGTAATGGTGAGATTTCCTGGCTTGAAGGCAGACGCAAGAGTCAAGTAAGCAATGGACTTCGACGGCGTATCGACGGGAACGTAGGTCGTGGTATCTACGACTTTGACGTCCTGGTAATAGGCGTCAATTCTTGGAAAATTGGAGAGAAAATATTTCTACTCGTCCATTGAAGGCGACGTGTATGTCAGTCAAGTCAACAGCGCCTTTTGTGGTAACCGCAACCACGTTGTTCGTGAGCGGTTCGGCGCTCAAGAATTCTGGGGTGACGATAATTTCCTACAGACTCGTTAGATGGCGAGCGGGACGATTCGACGGCATAAAACTCACACTAACGAGAACGATGTTGTCGATGTGATACTAATATAACAGTCAAAAATGTGGCTTGAGAACTAGTTTTATATTAACCTACACTTGCTCCGTTGGCGCCAGCTTGAATGTTCAAGCGATCCCAAGGGCCAGTTCCCTACGGAGAAGAGTCAGCACAGTCATACATGACGAGCAATCAACCTGCATACCAGTTGACCACCAGTTCCTGGAAGATTATTGAAGTCGATTAAGAGTGAAGAGAATGAACCGCTCGTCACAGTTTTGCTAATGGCTGACAGTGGTATAGTAGACGATTGGCTGTCGTCGATAGTAGATTGCACATAGAATTGTATGTCTGGCTGGTCTCCCTAAAAGTAAGCAGATGCCAGGCAACGTGTTAGAACTTAGTTTACAAGTGACTAAAGGCTTACCGCAATGTCGAACCTTAGCCCAGCATAGTCCGGGAAGGTGCCTTCGAGCTTGAGAGACAATGCAGCCCATGCTGTGGAGGTCACGGAGATCGAGGTTCCACTTGGACCAGCAAAGATGTCGGTAGCCGCAAAGTTGATATCGGTATTCCAGCTCCAGTTCTGCCAACCTTGAGCGAGCGCATTGTCGGTGTAGATGGTCAAGTCTGAGGCTGCGGCGTGGACATTGAGGGTAAATGCGAGACAGAACGCCAAGCGCAGCAATACGGGCTTCACGAGCATCATCCAGCTTGCTGCAGGATGGCGAAAATTGGCTTCGAAGAGGTTGTTCCCCAGACTCTTAGGGCTCTTGCATCTATACTTTTTCTGCAACAGTTGACGCGCGGACGGAATTCGGTTAAACGCGCTGGGATGGATAATTCGCGGGGCAAAGGGTGCAGACAAGGTCATTTTCTTCTTTTCATAGGTGGCAAGGAGGCGGTCATGTGTCGCGCAACAACCATTGGCGAAGTTGCGCGACCAGGGAGGATGAGTGTGGCCTTGCCATCATGTGGGAGGCATTGGTGTAAAATAGGCATAGGAACATGATCTAGGAAGACAGAACGATGACTATGGTCGGGGCCCGAGACCACACGAAAGACTCTATTTTCCGAGAAACAACCCAAAGGCGAGAGGGTGCCCGGAGAAGGATCACGGATGTTCGGAGATGGTTGAGGGTAAGGCTAAATCCGTAGTTTGTAATTCATTGATCGTTCATCTTCAAGATTGGCACAGGTTTGGCAAGAACTATGTACCCTTCTTTCTTCCCTACGGCAGCACCTCACTGCCTTTCACTCTTGACCCTCAGGAGCCGCAAATGAGTAATTCAGCCGAAATGCACGTGAATGTCTTCTGTTTCGCAGTGATCGTTATCGAGGTGCTCGACGTTGTATCTTCTCAAACCCCTCCACAATCTCCGAAATTGAGAAGCACAGTATCAAATGGCGTCTTTGATCGCTCTCGCCCAGTACAAGTCCCAAAGGGCCGCTCTCATAGCAGAAGACAGGTCGCACAGACGCGAGTTTCGTAGAACCAACCTCCGCTCTGAACAAGAGATCGAGGCAGACAGCATCGTGCGTAGGATACGAGCTGCAGAGGCAGAGACGATATGGAAAGAGGATCATTCCTCGATCCCCCACCCTTTCCCTGGTATGGAATTTCTGACTGGTAAGTATCGTTTAATCGTCTACCAGAGGGCGTCCCGCTCATCAAGATGAAAGGCAAGGCTATCATCATGAAAACCAAGTTGTTTGAGATTTTAAGCAAGGCAAGCGCTTTGGCGCTCTGGCTCACGTTTGGTCGTCTGACTCTGAGATAACACAGATGCCGAAAGGTGCTCTATTGCATGCCCATCTGGACGCGACCGTCAATGCAGAATTCCTTCTCCAGCTGGCTATGGAACAGCCGGCCATTCATGTTCGCCTGAACGAGGCTTTGACACCCGCCAACCTCTCAACAAATCTTCCTCAATTTAGACCTTTGCCCGAGGCGGAATTCTCGAGTCTTTCTAGTCTCACGGACGTGTCGTATCCGCTGGGTTCATGGGTCCCTTTAAAGGCTGCCAGAGCTTCGTTCGCGCCGGAATTCGGTGGCCCTGAAGGATTCGACAAATGGGTTATAGGTTCCATGACGATCAACCCCTCAGAAGCGTACGGAACTCATAACACTGTGGCCAAGGTCAGTGGCGTGTCTTTTGTGGTCGTGATGAAACCTGACGATGAGAAATAAAGATTTGGCAGAAGTTTACGAGCACTTTTATCACGTCCACAGTAAGACGCGTCTTTCTTTGAGTTTGAGGACTAGGTGCATGCTGATCGTTAACAGGGCTTGATTCGCTTCGAACCCATATATTCAGAATACATCAGACAGTTCTTCCGTTCGTCAATCGATGACGGAATCCTATATGTCGAACCAAGAATTAACTTTTTCCCGAAGTCGGTGTTTGGACATCCAGTGCCAGTTGTAGACACTGATTGCGGATATATTTCAGGTTTATGGTCGGGGCTGATGGACAGGACAACATTCCACATCGCGAGTGGTTGGTTATGTTCGACCGCGTTTTGAAGGAAGTGAAGGGTGAAATGGCCCAACAAGGGCGCGGTTTCATAGGCGCAAGGGTATGTTGCCTGAAGCTGCCATATATGGCCCTTTGTTTGAAGTGAAGGCGCAGATCATCTACACAACTCTCAGGTTTATCACGCCGGAAGAACTCGAGTGGTACATCGAAGACTGCATGGCTCTCAAGAAGGAATTCCCTCATCTGATCGCAGGTAGCTACATTCTTCTGCCATTTTTGCGTCAAGTTGTCTCAATTTGACATTAGGATTTGATCTTGTCGGGGACGAAAATGCGCTGAGGCCACTCATCGATTATGCCGAGCCCTTGCTGCACTTTAGAGAAAAGCAAAAGGAAGCAGGCGTCGACATCCCCTTCATCTTCCACGCTGGCGAAACTCTGGGCGACGGAACTGAAGCAGACATCAACCTTTACGATGCCATCCTCCTCGGCACCAAACGCATCGGTCATGGGTCTGTTCTACATATTCTCGGATACGGGATCTAGCTGAAGGCCGTTTCAAGCTTCTCATTGGTCAAGCACCCCAAGCTCATCAAGACATGCAGGGAGAAAGGCATTGCAGTCGAAGTGTGCCCAATTTCGTATGTCGTCTTCGCACCGATCATATCCTGACACTGATAATGGCCATCTAGGAATGAAATCCTGGTATGATCTGAGATTGGCAACCGCAACATCTACCTCTAATCTCACGTATGGTAGCGTTTGACTTCGTCGATGCTCATGCATCCTCTGCCTGTGTTGTTGAATAACGGAGTGCCAGTCGCGCTTTGCTCAGATGATCCTTCAGTTTTTGGGAATATGGGCCTGACATACGATTACTTCCAGGCAAGGAGTTCTAAGCATCCCCGTCCTACTTTTCTTACTGTTTCCAGGTCCTTGCCGCGAGCGAAGTCAACGGTTTAAGTACGCTCGGGACCTTGGCGCGAGACAGCATCGAGGTAGGTCCATCGTTCTAGAATTGTGATACGTTTCTGAATTGTCACAGTTCTCTACACTTAATGCCGAAGAGAAGAAAGAGGCCATAGTCGTGTTCGAGAGGCAGTGGAACGAGTACATCGAGCACATCATCAATCACTGGAAGTGAGGCTTCAGCCACGGCCTTGTGGGCGGGAAGGAGCGCGGTTTCCGGTATATCTTGACGCCATAGCTTTCAACAGGCGAACAGGTCTTGATCTCGTGGACTATACCTTGAACACTCATCTGTTACAATGTGAAGAATGGGGTGGCATCGGGCTATGCTCTACCATGGCTTGTCGATTGCTAGGAAGAGGTGTCCCGTTGGCTATTTCTAGATTCCAGACGTGGTTCTATTGGCGGTGCAAACCTGTGAGGCGTACTATAGCATGAAACTAACCCTTTTTTGTCCCAGAAAAAACGGAACTGTAAATGTCGATGCGGTTTTCAGACTTGGGGCACAGGGTAGCATGGCTATGTCCGCGAGGCAGGGAAGAAATAAATGGCTTACATTTCAGAAGACTTGAAGTGATGTTGTGTATGCATGTTTGTAATAGGATTAGGGGGGTTTCTTGGCTGGCGGCTGTTAACGTTGTCGACCAACCATCACCTTCCTCCCTCCCCCCGTATCTTGAATACCCGCAGTCGTCGTATATCCAGGTATGTGTGCACCGTTCGCTCGCTGTACCATCCTCCATCCCACTCCCCTCACATCCCTTCCGCCATATCCATCAGACCATACCCCGAGTCTACCCCAAGCCTACCTCTTCCTCCTTCCTGGCCTCACACCCCAAATCCAAATCCAAACCCAAAACCCAATCCTTGACATCCGAGAACCTCATTCAAAGATCCGTTGAACTAAATTTCGACCATGCCAGACGCCGAATCAACCCGCAAGCGATCGCGCTCTCCATCCGACACTGAGCAGCAGAAGCATCACAAGCGCCCCAACACGGGAGCTGCCTCATCGGCCAATAGTACGGGCCCCGTTTCTCAGTCTTCCACAGCAGATATAACCATGGCCGACCCCTCCTCTTCAGCCCTCAGCGCAGCCAATGCGAACGATACCAACTCGTCGACGCCCAACTCCAACCGTAATGATGTAAAGAAGGACGCCGACGCCCAGGCGACGGCAGGCGAGAACAAGAACTCAGCGACAACCTCAGGTGAACCGTCGTCGTCGACCTCAGCACCCCCACCACCGTCAGGCAACATCCACATGCGCTGCCTGATCGTCACGCAGGACGCCTCCATCATTATCGGGAAGGGCGGCACGCACGTCAACGAGATTCGGGAGAAAAGCGGTGCGCGCGTTATGGTTTCCGAGAGTATTCCCGGAAACCCAGAGCGCATCCTCAACGTCAGCGGACCGCTCGACGCTGTCTCTAAGGTTGTTCCCTCTAGTACACACTTCCCTATTTCCTGCGTTATGCTCATGATTTCTATCTCGAATGAAGGCCTTTGGACTCATCGTTCGTAGGATTAACGACGAGCCCTTTGATGTGCCCTCTGTTCCAGGCAGCAGGGCGGTGACTATTAAGTTCATGATCCCGAACTCGCGTATGGGGTCGGTTATCGGTAAACAAGGCTCGAAGATCAAGGAGATTCAAGACGCCAGTGGTGCTAGATTGAATGCTAGTGAAGGCATGCTTCCAGGCTCAACGGAGGTATGCCGCTGCTCAATTCTCTTGCTTCTTGTTGATCCAAATTTATGTTCGTAGCGTGTGCTGAGCGTGGCAGGCGTTGCAGACGCGATCCATATTGCGACATACTACATTGGGAACATCCTCCTCGAGGCGCAAGAGAGGATGCCTTCCTTCAACAACTCTTCCTACCGACCCGGCAACCCTCGCGCAACAGGGCGTCCCATGGGCGGACCGGGAGGTTCCTCGTACATGCCCGGTGCGGCACCGTACCACCCTGGAGGCTCATCCTATGCTCCCCACAACCCACCTCAACAGCTCCAGACACAGCAAATCTACATCCCGAACGACCTCGTTGGATGTATCATTGGCAAGGGTGGAAGCAAGATCAACGAGATCAGGCATATGAGCGCGAGTCAAATCAAGATTATGGAGCCTGGCGCGACGGGCGTAGGGATGAACGGTGCGCCTGCAGGGGGCGAGGGCGAGCGACTGGTGGTGATCACAGGCCAGCCTGCAAACATCCAGATGGCGGTGCAGCTGCTCTATCACGTAAGTACAAGTTTACACCCTTTTGGTGTTCTCTTTTGCTTGCGCAGACAGTCATCTGATGATGCTTTCCTGCGGTTTACAGCGCTTAGAACAAGAGAAGCAAAAGCAGCTCCGTGCCTCTGCGAACGTTGGTTAAGGGGCGAGCGGACACGAGAATGCCTAGCACTTCGTTTTATTCCTTTCTTTCTCATCTGTCATGCTGTTTTGTTCCAAGATTCGAAATCCGTCGCTTGCTATCCAGCTACTTAACAGTCCACTGTTCCGGCTCCTCTTCCACCAATCCCCATGCCTCGTCTTCTAGATATGCTTCTATCGTCATTCGTCCTCTTCCCCTTGCTGCTGTCCTCTCGCACATCCCCCTTCCAAATGTTCTCCGCTTTCGCGGTTGACACTTTCCATCAAGCTGCCTGTCCTTGGTTTCGACTCGTCTCCTGCTCTCTGTTTCGTTCCTGCACCAGCTGCGTATTAATGTTATGGGCGTGCCCCCTTTGTCCCTGTCTGTACTCTTAGCGTATCTGAACAATCGCCTCGAACATGTCTGGCCTTTGAGTGTAACACGCCAGAAATAGTTCGGCGTCAATAGCGACGTGTTGGTTATGTAATCCACAAAAATTTGGCACCGCTGATTGGAGTTCTTCATCTTCCTCACGACCAACTGCAGCTCAGTTCTCTGCCAACATGGCCTCTATCTTGAAAGCTCAGAAAGCCAATGCGTCTAAAGCTGATTTGAAAGGAAAGGGAAAACGGAAAGCCGACGAGATGGACGTGGATGATGTCGAGCAGGAGGTGGAGGCGTCGTCGAAGAGGAAGAAAAACAAGCAGAGGGTGTTGTTGCTTTCGTCGCGGGGGATCACACATAGGATGAGGCATCTCATGAGCGATCTGGAAGCACTCTTGCCCCAGGTCAAAAAAGGTGCGTCTCCCATTTGGATGCAAATATTTAATGCATTGCTAACTCTCCCCTCATTTATCAGACTCGAAGCTCGACTCGAAATCCCAATTACATCTCCTACCCGAGCTGGCGGATCTCAACAATTGTAATAATACATTATACTTCGAGGCGCGGAGGCATGAGGACCTGTATATGTGGGCCGCGAAGACGCCGAATGGACCGAGCATCAAGCTGCATGTGCAGAATGTGCATACGATGGATGAACTGAAGATGACGGGGAACTGTCTGAAGGGCAGTCGTGGGCTGCTGAGCTTTGACGCGGCATTTGAGGAGACAGAATGGGGCAAGTTGACGAAGGAGGTGTTCACTCAGGTGTGTGTCTTTTCCTGAAATTTTGCGCGCTTAGCATGCGACTGCTTCTGGTCTTTTTCTCGGTCAATTTATCACCCTTTTACGCGAGTCCGGGGTAGTTCTTGAACGACTGACGCTAATGAAGTGTTTATTTGATGAATTAGATATTCGGCGTGCCCTCGACAGCCAGGCGAGCGAAGCCGTTTATTGACCACATATTGACGTTCTCGATTGTGGACTCGAAGATCTGGTTCCGCAATTTCCAGGTGAGTGCAACAAAGCGCGACGCCCAGGACCCCGTCTGACGGATTGACGTATTCTTTTGTGTGCACAGATCTTGGAAAAGGATCCGCTGCAGCCAAATGGGCCACCCCAGACGACGCTTGTGGAAATCGGGCCGCGATTCGTGATGACGCCGATCCGCATTTTCGAGGGGGCATTTGGCGGTGCGACTGTGTTCTCGAACCCTGGTGAGCGACAATAGTATTGATGGTTCATTGTGCTGGTGTCTGACGCGCGGACCAGAATTTATTTCTCCGGCTGCGATGCGGCAGGCGTTCAAACGCGAGAAGGGCGGGCGATACAACGAGCGGAAGGACGCCGAGGAGGAAATGAAGCGACGGAAGGAGACGCGTTGGCTGGAGGAGAACGAGCTGAGTGTTGCAAAGGTATTCGGGTAGCTGCTTAGACCTGTTTCTACGGAGATGCACGGAAAAGAACAATGCGGCCTTTGTTCTGCACGCGATGACGTAACGACAAACGAGCTGCCTTGCTTGAGCAGGCCATTAGCCATTTTTGTCACAACGCCTGTCTCAACTGGCTATGCCCACAATAAATACGGGATCAGAGACACACGCCTTGTCCACTCTCCCCCCATGTCCGTCGCCCTCGCCGTCGTCCCCATCGACTCCCGCCTCACCATCTACGGCGACAAGGACCCAGCGTACGCTCCCCGTCTTTGTTCGTCGCACCTCGCTGATCGTCCTTGTTATCAGGTCCGCCTACTCGTTATCCGGCCATGTGTCGATAGCCCTCACGTCGCCGTACTCGCTCTTCGAGGCCCGCCGCCCCGCGCGGCTCTTGCTCGAATCTATCCTCCTCACCTTCGAGGGCCAATCCGAGATCTTCACCCCCAGTACAGGCTACTCCTCCATCCGCCTCTGCGAGCTCACTCGCGAGCTCGTCAGTGGCGAGCCCATCGAGCTATCGAACGAAGGCCACGAGGACTCCGCCGAGCCTTGTGCGTGATATTCTCTTTTGATCTCTGACCCACAACTGACATATCGTGTGCAGGTGTGTGGAATGTCGTCTTTAATATCCCAGTACCCGGTTGGCTGCCGGAGACGACCACCATGGGCATCGAAGAGATCGGCACCCGCTATGCTTTATACGCCACAGCGCGATTTATTAACGTCGAAGAAGATCAGCCAAGTTCGTGGGGTTTTGCGGCACTCTGCGCGCCATTCCGATCGCGGTACAAGGTGGTCGAGGCGAAGAAGGACATCCACATCCGCCGCTACATCGCAGCGCCTGAGCTAGAGGCGCCGCCGCCGTCTTACTTGAACTATCTCGTCAACTCGTCGGCTTCATCATCTAAGACCGACGTCGGCAAGGGTAGAATTCCGTCCGATGTCCTCTCCAAGATCCAAGTGCTCGCTTCAGTTCCCCAGCATGTCAACATCGAGGACTGCGAAATCCCGATCACACTGAGAATGCGGACCAAGGACTTGCCCCCAGAGGACTGCAAGAAACTTCAAGTGACCCACATCTCTATTGACCTTCTCCAAGAAGAAAAGTGCAGGTAAGGAGGACATACGCTTATGCTGTGTTTAATTATTCTAACAATATGTCGTTATAGATACCGTCCATCCGCCGCTTACCTCTCGCGCTATCCTCTACCCTCGAAGCGACGCCAGCCTCCCAATTATCCGCTACGCGAACCACATCCCGTTAGCTCCATCTACGACGTAGGCCTCTTCGTCCCACCCAAATTTTCCGAGTGCATCTGTCGCACATTCTCGCTTATGCCTGCGAACGAGCGCGGGAAGTACAAGCTCCCAGACGACAACTACCCTTTCGCCAACGACGCGGAGAATGGCCCCTCTGGGTCCTGGTATACGATCGACACAACAGTCCCGTTCGTGCAGCAGAGCCCAGCGCGGGCAGATCGCGAATGCATCGAGTGGGCGGGTATGCCCGACCTCCGGCCCAGCTTAACCAGCCCGCTCTTCACGGTTTCGCATGAGGTGACCATCGCGCTTACATGCACGTACGATTTGGAGGGCGGGAATGTGGCTAAGGAGAACCTGAGCTTCAGGATACCGCTCTCGTTTGCACGAGTCGCGCCGAAGCTTGATCCTGTCGGCCTTCGAGCGCTTCTCTTCCAAGGCGTGATTACGGGCACTTCCAGTTCTCTTCAGACCTCGCAGCTTCCGAACGTCAAGGAGCCTTCGTCGTTTACGCTACCTGCGTATTCGCAATTGTACGACTCCAGTGGTGAGCGTAAGGTCGACCATTCGATGCCGCTGCCACTGTACACACCCCGTTCGGCCTCACCTTCTGGCTCGACCCCTTCTTCCTCCGATGCCTCCTCCACGTTATCCTCACCTTCTATTGTCGATCCCGCGCTTTCCGTGGCGATTGACTCTTCAACTAATCATTATGACGACCACGATAGCGAAGATGCGCCTATTCAGCATAAGCATGCTGTGCGTCCCACCCGACAACTCGTATTTGACAGCGAGGACGATTCCATGGTTGACGAAGGTTCAGATTCTGTGCCGACGTCGCCTGTGGATTCATGATGCGCATTACGACTGCTTGACGATTTTATGACTCTGGATTTTTCCTCCCTCCTCTCCCATTCGTCTTCGCCTGACTTAATCTTGGATGGTAATTCGTTCAATGGTACTGGGACAGTACTCTCAACCTCTTTTGCATTCTCCCACCTCACTCTTTCACACATCATATTTTTTCTGCAGTCCATTTTGCCTGGGTCTCGGTTTCGATACACACATCATCATATGTAGCTACCATCCCAACTAGTCCTTGCTGCTTCCTTCCATTCCTGTAACACTACCCTGGCATCACTTCCTCTCTCTTGTGTACTTTACCCTGCCACTGTCCCTCATTGCTTCTATTGATTTTTTTGGTCAGGTCTTTCAGGACGCCCTATCTAGTACTCGTTGGATTCTTTGCCCATAGTAGATAGCCCTTTATTCAATAATGATAAAAGTGCATATTCAGAACAAAGCATACAACAAAGGATGAGGAAGCTGACTTGATGGCCGCCATTGCAGAGAGGAAGATGTGCATGAACATGAAAGGGAGGCACAACGCGACATCCAAAAGGGGAAGGTAGAGATCAACAAACGCGCAAGCGTCATTCACGCGCCACGCGTTGCGCTTCGTCACGCCAGTTTTGTCACTCTTCGACGAACCACCTCCACGCTCAACGCCTGCGTACGCCATGTCCGACTCTGACGACTTCGGTGCGTTAAATTTAATATTTCTTTTTCCAATTTAACATGTTGATGTTCTTGAACTCCCACCTTGTGTTGAACATACAGGCGGCCTTGGTGCAACAACACCGAATATCTCACGCAAGCTCCCACCGAGCAATGCGGCTGCTACTGCTGGTCCATCTCGCGCAGGCGGCGCGTCAAACCGCAAGAAGGCGCCCCCAAGCGTCATTGCGATCTCGAATACATCGGACGACGACGAAGTGGTGAAACCTAAGCGCCGAACGGGAAAACGGCAGCGTAAAGACGAAGAGGAAGCGCAGGAAGAGGAAGCGCCTGGTCATGAGGACGATATAGCGGAAGTAGGTGGTGACGACGAGGATGACGAGGTACGGGAGATCGAACGGCCGACGACAAAGACAAGCAAAGGGGCGGCGACGAAGGCGCGTGGGGGTTCGAAGAAGCCGACTATGGTGAACGGGAAATCTAACGTGCAGACGGCTGCTGCTGCTACAACAGCGGCCAAAGGCAAAGGAAAGGCGAAGCCGACGACAAAGGCAGCTGCGAAGGCGTCTTCATCGAGACAAAAGCAGGCAGAACCGGAGGAGATAGAAGTGGACCCGATCGAGGTGCTGGATGACGACGAGATGGACGTGGAGGAGCCGCCGGTAGGGCTAGCGCGTGCAATCAACAACGCGGCGGGGTGGTCGAAGAAGAGCAATGGGAAGGCTCCGGCGAAGCAGCGGGGCGACGCGGCGTTAGAAGAGCGCTTGCAACAGGTGTGTGTCGCTTTCAATTCTGTTTTTCTTTCGACGGAAATAACTTTGCAAAAAAAACTAATCTCAATGTCAACGCTCCCCTGTTTTAATAGGCTCATCGTCATATTGAAGATCTCACGCGACAGTTGGAGGAGTTGAACCAAGTGCGGAGGACAGAAGCAGAACAGCTGCTAGAAAGGATGGAGGTGCAGTACCAGGCCCAACTGCAAGGTTTGTCATGTCATTCCCCGCGTTTCTGTCTATTGGTTGAAAGAATCCATGAATTTCTCTCCAGCGAAAGAGAGCCTCATTCAAGAACTCACAACGCAACTACAAAAAGAGCACCCCCTGTTACGGGCGGGCAAGGGAGCTTTTGAAATACTAACACGAGAGGAAGCGAACAAAGAGATGGAGGGCCTGCAGAAGCAGGTGAAAGCGTACAAGGAGGCCGTGCGGGAGCGAGACTACCGACTGCAGAGTATGGAAGAGGAAAAGGAAACCCTCAAACAGGCCCGTGAGTGGTGACCATATTTCTTCCCTTGTTGTCGGCCCTGATTGGGTTCCTTATTTGCAGAGAACGATCTACGGGTAGAACTTCAACTTGAGGTTGAAAGGGCTAACGCGCTGGTAGCCAAGGCGCAACAACGGCCACCTCCGTCAGCTGCGAGACCGCGGGCTGGTGGCATCCTCCCTTCCTCTGAGGATCCCAAGATTGTCGAAGTCATCAGGTTCTATGAGGACCTCACGAATCTCCTCGTTCCAAATATGAAATTGCAGCAAGGCAAACATCTGGGCCTGGACGAATGGGGTCTGAATTGCTTGTACACCCATCGAGACGTCTCGAATAAAGACATCCCAACGAAGAGTACGCTGCTCGCTCTTTGCTTTGCACTCTGAGGTTTATCGACGATTTGCATGCAGGTCTAAACTTCACGTTGCGGCTATGCCATGACATTCGATCTGGCGAAAGCGAACCCATCACGAGCAAAGACCAATTGGTGGAATCCGTGCATTACACCCCACACGAGCTTGAAAAAGAAACTGAGGAGTTCCGAGAGGCCTTGAAATTCCTCAAGGATACCTTCACATTCGAGCGCGATCAGCTTTCTCTCTTCTTACGGACATTGCACGATTATATGAGTGGCGAAGGTGGCGACGGTGATGGTGACGAGGAAGACGACGACGTGCAAGTTATAGGATAATGGTAAATACTGACTTTTAATCTACTGATACAGTGTAGCTTTTTGACCTCTTGACTTCCCTTTCCTCCCTTCTTGTTTCTGTAGGAGCTTTCTTGATCTATGGCTCAGGGCTCGCCTTCCATCCGAGTTTGATCCAAATTCGCAGCGAGTTCTGGTCGTTGTTGTGAATGGCATCTTTAGCGAGGGCGTCGGCGAAGTGCTGGTCGGAGCCTCCGAGGGTTGCACCCGCTTGCACCAAGACCTCAACAACAGCGTCATGCCCTTGCCTCGCAGCCTTAAGATCAATAAGCGACAAATTCTGAATCGGCAGGATGCTCCAACATACCAGGTAGAGCGCCGTGTGTCCCAGATTGTCTCTGAGATGCACAAGGGCACCAGAACGAAGTAGCAACTCGACAGAGCGAGTATGTCCATTCAAGGCGGCGACGTGTAGAGGAGACCTTCCAGAACCAGCGTCGATGCAATTGACGATCCCACCCGGGATCTTGCCCAGCGTCAACGTCTCTGAGACATCTTCTGACTCGACGGGCTTAAGGCAGTAGCTCAGACCTTCTAGATCATCTTTCGCCGCTGCAAGATGGATGAGGAAGGGGAATAATACCGCCTCTGTCGTAGACGCCTCTGCTGCCGTCCATGACCACGGTGCCGCAGCGTCGCGCGCGGTCGAGTCGACTGTGTCCGTCGTGATGCTGATCTGTGGAACAGAAGTCTGAGGACGTGCGAGCTTCACGAACTGTGAGAGCAGCTGCTGGATGTGGTCGATGTTTTGATCGATGGTCGGGTTTTGGACGGCCGCCCCCGTTGCGCGGGTCAGTTCGCCACGAAGAGGTATTCCAATTAACTCTCGAACTTCCTTGGTTGAGAGCTCCTCCTTGGATAGGAGATAGCCCAATTTTGAGAGTGCACACTGGGTTTGGGCATTAGTTTCGGTTGGTTGAAGGAGTTTGAGCTAGACGTACCTCGGGCGTCATGTCACTTCCAGGAACCACGCCAGATTGCAGCAGCGTTCGTCCAGTCTCGTACGCGTCCGAAACGGTCCCTTTCGAGCATTGAGTTATGGCGACGATAACGACTCCGCGACCGCAAGCTTCTTTGAGAGCCTCGCGGACATCCGGGCGCTGTGGCGCATTTCCCGCGCCAAAGGTCTCCAGAACGACACCGCGAACTGGCGGCCCGCAAAATGCTCTAATTGTTGCTCCAGAGATGCCAGGGAAGAGTCGTAAAGTGGCTTCAAGCACCAATCAGAGAGCATTCATCGGTGGGATTTGCTGAAATGCATACCAACGTGAGGACTCATATCTATCAAGCAGTCAGGATGAGGTCAGGCGTTGAGCTAAAGACGAACTAACGTTTATGAGCTTTGAATTTCCTGAGACCAGTTTGACGAATAACATCGTTCCAGTTAACGACAATGTCGATTCCGACTAAACGATATGTTTTCAGCTGGCTGTGTAGATCCCACAGACCTTTGACCTACCATTTACCAGAGGGGGGAAGTTGGGGCTGTTGAAGGCAGAGAGATCGTAAGACGACACTTTCGTCACCCTATTTCCTCTAAATAACGTGTGATTGAAGTATAAGCAGCACTCTGAGTAAAAATTAGCCAGGTCATCGCCGCACGTCAAGAAACGTGTCACCTGGGATAATGTAATGACCAGCGATTGTCAAAGCTCCCATCAGGTTGTCCACTGCATCATTTCTGAGCTGTGATAGCGGAATTTGGGCACCGGTCAATATCTCCGAGCAGGGTGAATTCAATAGGGTCGAAATTTCACAACGGAAACTACACACCACCGTCTTTCCTAGGTCTTCTAGCAGGAATCCCAAGGCGCTTGCAGTGTAAGCCATCGTGTCGGTTCCATGCAAGATGACAAAGGCGTCGAAGTTGGCATAATTCAGCTCGATTTCCGTTGCGATACGTATCCAGTCTGGATATGGACCATCAAATTCCGTCCCACACGCGAGAGCTTCCAAGCATACCGTCAATGTCCATATTACTGCTATCCAGGAGAGGGTTCCACTACAATCTTGAGATATAAATGCCTCTGAAAAACTGGCAAGTCAATCGAACTCACTTCCAAAATGGCATAGCGGATGGACTTGTTAGAAGTGCCGCCAGGGACTCTGCTACAAGGCGTAACGAGAGTCGGCAGATGAGCTTCATAGACGTTTTCCGAGACGCGTGTACATCTTGGTTGATTCCTCAGGTGTAAGGGATTGATGGGAGACGTGTTGAGGGAAGAGGTATGACCGATTGGCCGAGAAGACCTCACGAGCAGGGTTCTCACTGAATGGTCTGCCGTAGGAGTGAGTGGTTCGCCAATAGGGCTTGACCTGCCACTCCACTCTCTGAAACCTTGCACGGATCCGGCGTTCGAGAACAGCGAGTCCTGCAGTGGATCGTGGAAGCGGTTCTGGCTCCGAAGGGTCTCAGTGAGAAAGTATGGCTCCGGTACGTAACCGTGCTGTCCAACAAGCATTCCGATTGTCCCGCCTGCGATTTCATTTTTTCTAACGTTAGCGCTCGTGCTCGGCTCGCTTCCTCGTTGATTAACGCACCTGTGTAGACGACGAGAACTTTGGCCTCGTCCACTGGCCTAGCAGACTCCATGGCGCGTTTTTCACCTTTTTGGTCGTAATCGGCGCTGGAGAGTGGGTGCTTGAGCTGCAAAACGCGGTAGACGATGCAAAATCTGGGGAGAGGGGTATTTATTTCGGGAGCTAAGTTTGATCGGATCGTGTTCGCCGTTCGGCCATAGATCCTCCATCACGTGTGCCAGCGGCTAGATGTCAATAATTTACATTGGTATATTTAGCATCGAGTCAGCGTCAGCTCGTTCGCTTCATCCACCACCATCTCTGCCAGCATGGAGGCCATCCCGAAGGTTTTTGAAGCGAAAGCGGCAGAGGTATGTCGTTGAAGTCGTCTTTGAAACGCGATTCTGATTCTGCTGAAGGGCACACCCGCTCTTGTGACCTTTGTCACTGCTGGTTATCCTCGCAAAGAGGACACTGTCCCCATCCTGCTGGCAATGGAGGCCGGTGGTGCTGACATCATCGAACTTGGAGTACCGTTCTCCGATCCCATTGCAGATGGACCTGTCATCCAGGAGACGAACACGGTATGTCTCATCCATCTCGACCGAATGCTTATAATCCCTTGTTTAGGTCGCTCTGAAAAACGACATCGACTACATCACAGTACTCGGACAACTTAGAGAAGCTAGAAGCAAAGGGCTGAAGGCCCCTGTTCTACTCATGGGTTATTACAACCCTCTATTGGCGTACGGAGAAGACAGGGCTATCCAAGACGCCGTCGAAGCCGGTGCCAACGGATTCATTATGGTCGATCTCCCTCCAGAGGAAGCGACTACATTCCGCGAGAAGTGCAGGAAGTCAAAGTACGTCCTGACGTCGTCATTTTTGAGTTTTTATCTTATTCTCTTCAGTCTTTCCTATGTCCCCCTCATTGCCCCCTCCACAACACTCAACCGTATCAAGTTCCTGGCATCAATCGCCGACACCTTCATCTATGTGGTCTCCAAAGTACGTGGCTTGGAGCACTCCAGGATTCTTGGTCATGACATGAGCAGATGGGTACGACAGGCTCGTCAGAGAAGGTCGCTATGAACCAAGCTCTGCCCGACATCATCGCGAGAGTTCGCGAATATGCCACTGTCCCTCTCGCCGTTGGGTTTGGCGTTGCCAATCGCACACAATTCGATGTTGTTGCAGATGCTGGTGCCGACGGTGTGGTCATTGGCAGCCGACTGGTCTCCGTGATTAAAAATGCGCCTGAAGGAGAGGTTGCAAACCATGTCGAGACCTACTGTCGAGAGATCAGTCAGAAGGGTCAACCACCTCGTGTCCGGTCGCCACCGGCACCCAGACAACCTACTCCAGCACTTAACGGGAACAAACAGGAACCTCCTGCGAACCCAGCCAGTGAAATCGTACTCCCAGCACGATTTGGGCTTTATGGTGGACAGTACGTTCCAGAGGCTCTCGTCGATTGTCTTGCTGAGTTGGAAGAGGCGCACAAGTCTGCCATGGCCGATCCGGAATTTGCCAAAGAGCTGCAGAGCCATTTTGGCTACATGAATCGTCCTTCCCAAATTTACCTGGCCGAAAATCTGACCAGGCAAACCGGCGGTGCTAACATTTGGCTCAAACGGGAAGATCTGTAAGTTCAATCAAAACACCTGTTTTTTCTTCATTGAATATACTGGACAGGAATCACACTGGTTCGCACAAAATCAACAATGCTATCGGCCAGGTTTTCAATAATCTTAGTCTTAGTGCATCGAGCTTCCTTGCTGACTCCGTTGTTTTGCCAGATCCTTCTCGCGCGCCGCATTGGAAAAACTCGTATCATCGCAGAGACTGGCGCGGGCCAACATGGTGTTGCAACAGCGACCGTATGTGCCAAATTCGGCATGGAATGTGTCATCTACATGGGAGCAGAAGACGTCCGTCGACAAGCCTTGAATGTCTTCCGCATTGAGATGCTGGGCGGCAAGGTCATCCCAGTCTCATCTGGCTCTTGCACTCTGAAGGATGCCGTGAACGAAGCCATGCGCGATTGGGTCACGAACCTGGCAACTACTCACTATCTCGTTGGCTCCGCCATCGGTCCTCATCCTTTCCCGACGATCGTCCGTGACTTCCAGAAGGTCATCGGCGAGGAGATCAAAGCGCAACTACGGGCTGCTCGTGGAAAGCTCCCTGACGTTGTCGTTGCTTGCGTTGGTGGAGGAAGTAACGCAATCGGCACTTTCTATGACTTCATTCCCGATAAGAGTGTTCGCCTCGTAGGTGTGGAGGCCGGAGGAGAAGGTAAGCATTCTTTTTCTCCAATGAGCTATCTATTGAACTCTGCCTAGGCATTCATGGTGACCGCCACAGTGCCACGCTTTCCATGGGTCAACCAGGGGTACTCCATGGTGTCAGGACGTACATCCTCCAATCGAAGGCTGGTCAGATCATCGAGACGCACTCCATCAGCGCAGGTCTTGATTATCCTGGTGTTGGACCTGAACATGCCTGGTTGAAGGATTCTGGCCGTGCTGAGTACGTCGTAGCAACAGACGAAGAGGCCCTCCGCGGATTCAGGATGCTTACACAGAGCGAAGGCATCATCCCTGGTGAGTTGTCTCTGATTTTCTGACAATGAGCAATTATTGACTTAAAATTTCCAGCTTTGGAGTCATCACATGCTATCTGGGAGGCGGTGAAAATCGCGAAAACTCTTCCCAAGGACCAAGATCTTGTTGTTGTAAGCAGTATCATGATCACGCTTTGGACAACGATGATTGATGGCCCTCATAGTGCTTATCTGGACGAGGCGACAAAGACGTCGAGCAGATCTCTGAGTTGCTTCCGAAGTGGGCCGATATCCTCGACTGGCATGTATCTCCTCATGCGGTTGGTGCGCCTTCTAAGTAGACATTCACAAATTCACTTCGGCAATCTATTTGGGACCTTTACAATGTAAGTAGAGCATCAGAAAATTTAAGAGAAAAGTTCTCTCGGCATGTGTGAATCTATGAGTAAAATTCCGAATGTAGTGGATGGTAATTAGGTAGAGCTAAAAACATGCCACTGGGAATTGTGGGTGCTTGGATTGAAGAGGGAGCAACAACTGCCAAATCAGGATACCCTCGTTTACACGTGGGAACCGGAGAGCGCCGAGCTTGAAGTGCTGCAATCGGACCCAGATTGGGCTCCAATCATCCATGATAGCCACAAAGCCTACAACAATTGACTTCGAGCACTCGCACACCATCGCAGCTCTCGACCCGCCATCTGCGCTTTTGCCGTTTATTTCTACATCCGACTTGTGCTTCTCTACTCGTCATGGGGTCTGAACCGCGAAGTGCAGCGGCCCACCGGTCGGTTGATGTCCTTGCATCCAAGTTGAGACGGCGGTCAGTATTTGTTATGCTTGCAATTCAGATCGGCGACATTAAGACGCGATAATCATCAGGCAGATTGTTGGTTCGAGAGCTACAGCTCTGGAAACCTTGCTCGTGTTGCGACAAGTCATTGCTAAAGCACGTTTTGCAAATCTTGAGCAACTGGTGGAGATCATCCGTGGCGTGGGTCGGAGGCTTGTTGACGCTCAACCAAAAGGTGAGTAGTGCACCTCGGTCTCGACCTTTTCCAGAGGTATTCATGATTGTGCAGAGCACTCTGTCGGAAATACCGTTCGAAAGGTCCTCCACCATATTCGAGAAGAACACCATGCAGCCACCCAAGGGACAAACGTCGCCGCAAAGCCCACATCTTTCTCGATATCCAAGTTCGTACTGCAGGGCCAGCCACGAAAACACGCTGCACCTCAGAAGTCTTCCGAGAGCAAAGGCACGCTACGGGAGAACGATCCCGATGACCCCGATTCGTTTGCTCGGGGCTTGAAGCCAGTTCTTATGGAGGCCATTCAGGACGTCCTTGATGAACTCGAAACGGTATATGACAACATCTCGAAAAATGCAAAGGATCATATCCACTCAGAGTGAATCTTCATTCGACTCCCTTTTCTCTATCTGTGCGCTGACGAGTGCCAGTGAAATCATTCTGACACTCGGAATGTCAAAGACAGTCGAGGCCTTCCTCAAGTCGGCGGCGCATGCACGGAATTACTCCGTAATTGTAGCAGAGACAGCACCTTCGTGAGTGTTTTCTTTAGCAATGTCTCTTACTTTATTTTTATTCTTGAATTTAGATACGATGGACGCGAAATGGCTAAATCACTGTCAACAGCCGGAATCTCCACTTTCCTCGTTCCCGACTCTTCAATATTCTCCCTCATGTCTCGTGTCAACAAAGTCATCCTTGGAGCTCATGTCATCCTCGCGAACGGCGGCATGTTCGCCGTCAGCGGGTCGCTCATGGCTGCCACAGCAGCAAGAGAGCATAGCACACCCGTCGTTGTCTGTGCAGGTCAATTTAAACTGACGCCTTTGTGGAATCTCTATCACGAGTATGGTGCTCTTGATTTTGGAAATCCGACGGATGTGCTCGGGTTCGAGAATGGCGACCTCGTAGACAAGGTCGATGTTGTGAACCCTTATTATGACTACGTTCAACCTGAGCTGATTGTCGCGTATATAACAAACGAGTACGTCCTCCACATTCCTCACTGGCATTTTCTCCTGAGGGAACTCTTGCAGCGGCGACCACCCTCCATCATCAATTTACCGGTATGCTTACAAGAGCATTCTAGCTGTATCTACAGTGCTGACCGTCCTCTTAGGTTACTGAAAGAAACATACGATGACGAAGATAATGAGCTGTGAAATTCTAAAAAAAATGTATAGATGTACGGTGACAGAAAGAACATTGCTTGTAGATCTATTCTTCTGGGCACTATTATATTCTTGCGTAATGGCAAATTTAACCTGTAGCCACCACCTTGCATCAAGCTATCTTACTTGCTCAAGATATCGAAGAATGCTTCTTGAGGAACGTCCACGGTGCCCATTCGCTTCATCCTCCGCTTTCCTTCCTTCTGGTTTTCTAGGTGCTTCATCTTGCGTTCGTAATGACCGCCGTACAACCCAGCCGTAACATCAGCCCTCAATGCTTTCAGTGTCTCTCGAGCAATAACCCTCTTTCCAATGGCAGCTTGGATGGGAACTTCAAACAACTGGCGAGGAATGACCTTGTCTGTGGGAGGAAATGGATGAAGGTGATTTAGCGACCGAAGACAGAAGACCACTTACGAAGCTTCTTTACCCATTGTCGACCAACGGTTTCTTGGGCAGAACGATGGACGATCAGTGCCAGAGCGTCGACAGGCTTTCCGTTGAGTAGGAAGGTCATCTGTGCACCAGGATTAGTATTTTTCCGGCCGCGGTGAATCCAGACTACCTTAGCGAGATCGCTTTTTCGATAGCCAGCATCCTCATAACTCCGAGAACAATTAGCCCAACGAGAATGACAATACCAAAAGATGAGGACCTACTCAAAACTAGCGAAACCGGAACTCCTGCTCTTCAGCTGATCAAAGAAATCCGATACGATTTCGCTAAGGGGTACGATGCAGTTCAGCATGATCCTCGATGAACTGGTCGTTCCCGAATCTAGGTACCGATGATCCAGTTCGTCTGCCCGATGGGAGTAGCACAGCTCCATCATCTCTCCGAAATATTCTAGAAATAGATGCTCCTTCAAGAAAACCGAAAGAAAAGGAAGAGAAAACATGCTCACCTTCTGGAACGATGATCGACGCCTTTACCACGGGCTCTTGGACTTCTTTCACTCGAGCTCCAATATCGGCAACATCAGGGAAATCAGTAGGATTGCTGATAACAACTTCTCTATCCTTATATATTACTGCGTAGAAGTTTAGTTGAGACGCGTGGCCCGCCGGAAAATACTCCGACTTACTTTTATAAGGAACGGTAGGCGCGGTGATGATGACATTCGCATCATATTCGTCCTCGAGGCGCTGGCGGAAGACGTCCATGTGAAGGGTACCTAGAAAGCCGAGCCGGCAACCTTGACCGAGCGCTGTTGAGGACTCTCTTTGCACAGTAACACTTCTATCGGTCAAGGTAAGCTTCAAAGGTACGATCAGATTTTCGAAGGAGCGAGGGACAAAGGGTTCGCGTACTCGGTTAATCGATTCTTCGAGCTTTGGAAAATCAGCATTTTCCAGAGGATAGACGCCAGCAAACACCTGTAGTCGAGAGGGTCAGAACTGAGATGCCAGCGCAGGTTCCGAGAAGGGCACGAACCATAGCCTTCGCGGGTTGGAAGCCAGCCATGGGCTCCACCGCTTCGCCCACGCGATGAAGCGTATCACCAATGTGGGCTATCTTGTTCATGAGCGTAGATTCACGTGAAAAAAAGACAGTTACCTTCGGAGGACTGCTTCATGTTGCAAGCGATATAACCGACTTGACCGGGGTTGAGACTTTTCGTTGGTGCTTCCTCTGGATGCATAACACCCAACTCGAGGATCTCGTATTTCTTGCGAGTGTGACATGAAGCAATTTTATCACCTGGAGAGCGCAGTGAACAAAGAAATGACTTCCTCCTACCCAAATGAAACCGTACCTTTACGAAGCACACCATCCTGAAGACTGACCAAGGATATAACTCCTCGATATTTGTCGTAACTTAGGAATCAAACAATTAAATGTTTAATCGCAATTCTAACATATGATCGAGAAGGTAACGCTCACAACGAATCGAAAAGGAAAGCTTTTAATGGCGCTTCAGCTCGGGCTACTGGCGGGGGTACCCGTCGTAAAATTGCTTCTAACACAGCTTCGACACCTTTTCCAGTTTTTGCAGATATTGACAGGATTTCGGACGGGTCAATGCCAAATGTAGCCTGCATTTGGGCTGCAATTCGCTCTGGTTGTGCAGCAGGCAAATCTATCTGTAGCGTCCAAGGTCAGCCTCAACAAAGACAGCGCATAATCCATCGTATACTTTGTTCATGACAGGGATAATCTTTAGACCTCGTTCCCGAGCATTATGGAACACGGATATCGACTGAGCCTGGACACCTTGACTTGCATCGACCTGCGCTACATTAACCTTGGTAATAGATGAAACGGAACGTACAAACCAAAAGCAACGCTCCCTGGCAAGCGGCTAGCGACCTTGAAACTTCCCAAGCAAAATCGACATGCCCCTAGGAGACTTTCAGACCCTGAAGGGTAGTGTTGGTGGCCGAATAGCTCACAGGTGTGTCAATAAGGTTCAGGAGATATTCCTTTCCCTGAAAATTGTGAACCATACTAGATTCTGCGTTTTAGCATGCGGGCAAGTCGGATATTACAAGAGAGGTTGCACCTGGCCGTTTGCGCCTTGACTACATGAAAGATAGGCGGTGAGCGATACGGCTGAAAAAAGAAATAGCTCACCGGTAATTCCACGTTCCCGTTCCACCTTCAACTTGTCAAGGACCTGCTCATTCTTCCCAGAAGTCTTTTTCTGGATTGTGCCTGTCAACTTGCGAGGAGTTGAGCTACATGTTGGTTTCCATTTTCACAAAAGTGAGATACCTCTAGTAATCTGGTAACAGTTAGACTGTACGTCGCCAGCGGAAGAGAAGACTCACCGGTCGGCAAGAGTCGACTTGCCATGGTCTTCCGGGACGGTATGTTAGCGGGCTGTGAGCGTGGAGTGGATGTCAAAATCACCAATGTGTGCAATAATTGAGAAGTTCCTAATAGAAAATGAGACGCCTCCGCAACGAAGGACACTGTAACGTACCGTATCACGTCGCACGGATAGTCCTCCATTGCCAATGCCCGTTTCGCCGCCTTTGTGGGTGACGAGGTGCTGGAGCATCTTGTTGAGTGGGCTGTCCGGCTCAACGATCGTTCAAGAGCTCGTAGACATGCATTTTGCCACAGCGACAGCATAGGGTGAGGGTGGACGCGTCGATGACCGCGTCCTCGAGTTCGTACGCGATGATGACGGTCCTTCTAAAAAGTTTGGATCGTCGCTTAGTCAGGAATATCTTGGAGTAATGCCAAGGTGTTGCCAAGAGCAGCAACTTCAAGTTGACTGTCATCTTCCTCGACAAACATGTCTCTCGCGGAAGCTTCAGAGGCCCGAAAAGCCCGTCTCCTTGCTCTTAGAAAGCGCAAGCATGGAGAGGTCGTCGACGAGAATGGGTGCGTATCCCCGAGCTCGCCAACCCCGCGTTCGTTGCACTCACTTCCGTTCACCCAGCGTTCCCGAACCGCTCATTAAGACTCGAAATTTCGACCCGGAATCTCGGACCCTAAAAAAGCACACTCAGGATGATGTTGTTATGCAGGACACCGTCGAAAACCAGGTTGCAGGCCTTGCCGAGCAGATCATCGCTGACGATGAGAAACGTCGTGCGCAGGAATTGGTACGTATTTCCAATGAACTCTCGTTACCCGGTCTTCCCGCTTACTCCAAGGGAACAGGACGTGTTCAATATCCAACCAAAGCGCCCAAACTGGGATCTCAAGCGGGAGATGGACAAAAAGCTAGCAAAACTGGAAAGACGGACGCAGGAAGCCATCCATACTCTCATCCGTGAGCACCGCTTTGCTTCTAGGAGACAGTCGTACTGACCGATTATCGCCTTTGTTTCACTAGGACAACGACTTGCGGCCCAGAAGGGCGACTCAGATGACCTCGTAGGCGCCATGAAGGCCCAGGAACGCCAAACCGCCTCGGACACGTTGTCCGACGAGGAGGACTAAGCCTAATTTATTGCGACGAGATTATCCAGTGCGCTCGCGTTGTATTCTGTATCCATCCATATATCTATATTTCACCGTTCACTGGCTAAAAGGAACCTTTCCAGGCGATATCTCGTGCACCGATCGTTCATCCCTTCGTCCATCAGATATAGAATTTTCCTTGAGCTGTGAATCGAACTCAGGAGAGGTTTTGAGGGGGCTTCATCGTCCGGTTCTCGGTCACCGGAACACACGTATCAGTGCCTTTCGTGGGTGGCAATTTCTGCCTGTAGAAGTCCATATTGCCGGGAGCACCCCACAAGAGCGTGTCGTCCATCTAAATACTTGGTTATGGCGTATCATTTCATGCTCAAAAAACCATCTACCCGGCCACCGAGCTCTCTAAGCGGTGGAGTAGCTTGGATGAGACCTTTTTGTCTTTTATCCCCAATTGACTCTGTACTCGCTACGGACAATTGGATGCATCCTTCTATTCTCAGTGAAGTAGAGAACGTTCTCTTCTTTTACCAGCGTCCTCGACCCGGGATTCCACGCTGTCTCTTGAGCGGGGTACGGCAATATGAGGTGTTGGAGTCACCGCGGTGGTCAGAGCCCAAGAGATGGTACTTGTGTCAAGACAAACCTATCATGGGAGGTCTCAGGCTCATGTTCGGGATCTGGCCTGGTGCTTATAGGGACCCACGTCCGCGTATTAATACAGTAAAGCAGAAACAGATATGAAACGCGCTTACATTTACTTCTCGTACACAACCGGTCCATGACGGAGCTACATAAAAAATAGGAAAACATTTCACACCCTTTCGCCCGATGTTTGATAACAGTCCAAATGTCCATGTTTGTCCAATCGCGCGATTAATCCTCCCTTCACCAACTGGGCCGTATTATCTCACATGTCGCGAGTTCAGCATCTGGATTAGCCGCTGATCTTCGGGAAGGCGCGTAACGTGCGGTCGGGCAGGCATGGGCCCTGGGTGATTAGGTCCGACGGTGGACTGTATCGAGGATAAGGAGGGCAACACGGTGTGAGGTGCGCTGTCGTCTGGCGAACGACTCCCGCCAGAGAGCTCGTCGTCATCGCGGTTGGTGCGTGTCTTGCCACTACGGTATATTCCGGATGGAACGATTATTTTGCGCAACACAGGATCTTGCTCCAGCGTAGGCAGGTGAGGAAGGTCGGCGTAGGTGAAGTAGGCAGTCAGGTGCCATTTTTGCGGTTTGGCGTATGGGTTCGCAACCACCCAGGCGGAATAGGCCTGCTTGACTAGGCCAGAATGGTGGTGTGCGGTTCGGTCCGTATGTGAAACAGCAGAAGACGATGGGCCAGGTCGGGCAACTCCGTCAACAAAACGGTATGCAGGCGCCCTTCCGATAAAATTAGCTTTCGGTCACAGTAGACAAGTTATTCGTACCGATTGGCCTCACTCGCTGCGTGAGCAGCGTCATATGGCATTTTCTCGTCATAGAAGAGATACGGCTGTCCACGAACGTCAGAAGAACGACGGAGCCATCATCGATAACAAATAAATCACCTCTCTCATACGAGATTGACCCCAAACACGGCCATCTGGAAGAAATATGCTGTTAAATTACGAAATTGAAGAGGAGCGTGTCTTTCATACCGGTCCAGCGCTTCAGACCAGCGTCGTCCTCTGTCTCGAACCAAACAAAGATGGCTCCAGAGCGAACGAGGGTGGCGCGCTCCATTTCGTTGAGACGTCGGACAATAGGCATAAGAAAGCCCTGTCGAACGGCCTCGAAGATGGCGTGTGCGTCGTGTGCATCTCTGAGGTGAAGACGGGGATGTGTTGCTTGCTGCATACTCGGGATGACTGGACTGAATGAGTACGACGATGCGAGACCGAGAGGCTGCCTTTATAGAGCTGGAGGTAGTAACCCACAGTCGTTCGTGAGAGAGAGAAAGAAAAGACGCAAAAAAGCCGAGAGGACCACGACCATAGTAGGACGAACCAAAATGAGGTTATCTGCGATAGCCATGGATAGAGGTACCAAGACATAGATTTGGTACGGGCATTCCTGTGAAGGCGTCGGAGGAAAATTGAAGACACGTGGAAGTGGTTGTGCCCGGCGGCTGGGTGGGAGATAGGTGATCCAGAATCTTTAGACCTCCTCAAGGGATGTTTTGTCCCGAAAGGGAGCCGAGGTTAATGCAGGACGGTGTCGAGAAGCGCGCATAAAATACCAAAGTAAGCGTCTTATGACTCAGTATATCAAATGGATGGAGCCGTCCGTTGATTCGGGGATGGAGCGCACGGAGCGCTTGTTCCCCACGCGACACTATGGACAGGAGCGTGGCAAGAACCCACAGACAAGCGAGAGCGGGTCTTCGAGTTGAGAGAGATTATCTCAGATAGGTGCTGCCATTCCAAGACGCGTTTCTGCGGCTGCGCGCCGCGCTTAGCCCTTGTGGACCGAGCGCATGACAGGCGACAAGAGAAGGCACTGGCTGTAGATTTAAAGCCGACGAAGAGATGGCGAGAAGAAGAACTTCCGAGTGTTCGGGACGAGGTCGAGCTGGCTGCAGGAGGAAAGGAGGTGAATTGATCAGGTTTCCCGATTGGGAAATTAGCCGGCAAGCCGTTTGTCCGGCCCGGCGGTTGATGGCCGACCTGTCCGTCGTCCGTTGGCACGACTCACGGTCCACAGCACCGCGCACGACCCTTCCAGAGTATCCTTCCGACCACCACCATGGACGCCGCCGACCAGGACCCTCCCCACCGTCGCCTGCCAACACTCGTCCAGCTCTGCCAACGGGGTGCGTTGCAATTCCTCGTTGCTCTCATCTCTATCCAACCGCCCTGTGTATCTAGCGGCAGTGGCGAATATCGATGGTCAGCTACCCGCACATCCACAGAATGCTCTCTCATGTCCGTATCTAGCCATCTACAGCCTAGGGGATACTCTGGCCTACCCGCTTGTCAAGCCCGTTTTGGAGGAATGTTCACCTGAGCAGCTCGTCCGCTTTGAACAACTGTCCCCAGTGAGTCCGTCCAAGCTCCTGCCACACTCGTCGGAGCTAAGACTCTGTGCCAGCATCTCAGGAAAGACACTCCAGGTTCGAGATTGCTTCCTGCCACTGTCGGAATAATTTCTTGACACTCCGTTCTCACCTCAGAAATATGGAAGGACTTGTGTTTCCGAAAATATCGTTTAACGGCTGTAGAGCGATACTCATCTGATGACGACCCACAGGAACCAGACTCATGGAAATCTAGATATTTTGTGCGTCTAGTTATTCCTCCGCTATCATAATCTTGCGTTGACTTGTCTATTCTAAGACATTACAGGACGCGGAAGCTAAACGCATCGAGGAAGTGGGATCTAGAATCCGCTCGCAGAGGCGCGAAGCAGATGAGCGAAAGAAGGAAAAGGAAGTCAAATACACAGATCGTGTTCCTCCGCTCAAACGTCCGAGAATGGGTGCATGTAAGCGTTTCTACTGTATTGTCTCCGGATATCGGTCAGCTTCGGGAAACTCACGATGGTTATTCTGCTCAGGGAACACAACCATACAACCAAAGAGTTTATTCCAGAAAACTAGATCAGAGGCCTCGAAGGTCCAACGGGCGTTGAATGCCCGTGTACTTCCTCCTATGCCTTCGACAAGGGGCTATCGAGTTCAGTCTCTCACGCCCAGCCCAGCTCTACCTTCAGCTCCTCCTTCGAGCACGAGTCGCGTCACCGTACATACTGTCATCCATCGGCGTTCCGCTGCAGGACCTTCGTCACACACCTCGTCTAGCACCATCCGACCGAGCCCATTAGCTGTGTCGTCTAAGTCTTCGCCTCCGCCTCCGACCGAGCCCAAGTCGATCCCTCCTGCCCACCACACATTGCCGTCGACGGCCGCCGCGGTAGCAGTAACAGATCCTCCAGGCCCACGTGTCAACCCAAAGTCTTCTCCTGTGAAGAAAGATCCAATGGCATCCCTATTTGTGCCCAAACGGAAACTTAAAGCATATTCACAGCGTCCGGTATAAGATTATTACCATTCCCGATTTTGCTTGTCTTCATTGATCTAACCAACGAGAAATTACACATTGCCTCCACTTCCGCCTATCTCTTTATTCCACAATCACGTCGTACGTTGTAAATGTTCACCCGGATCGAGGAGAAGAAGTGCTCTTCTCCATTTCCTACTGTAGCAACTAGCTCACCGTGTAGAATTATCATAATTGCACGTTTCCCTGAGACCTTGAAATTGTACGTGAAGACCGACCGTAAGCACCAAGACCCGATAAAGTTGAAGACATGTTCGACGGGTCGATGACGGAAATAAGCCGCCCATCTTAAACGCCTATAATGTCTTTTCTTTCTCACAACTGCTCAGCAAAAAGTCTATTTTGGTTGTGGGCCGAGGACTTCCGCCGCTGGTTTATGTCCAAGACTCCTTGTCCACCTGGGGTCTCGGGACTGTCCACATGGAACGAGGCTAACTATTTGCAGGCTTGCTTTCTGCGGCCTCGGCGAGAGCGTGCGCCATGTCAGCATGCACGGTCGAATTTATCGTGAGCTTCTTCTGAACAGTAATAAATTCACGAGGGAGCCAATGAGGTATGCAACATTGTGGTATGCAAACGTGTAATAAATTTAGGGCTCCTTCAGTTCCAACTTTAGCCTTTTCAGCGGCGAAGCTGGGCCATAGGGGTACCTTCAGCTAGGAGGATGACTTCCTTTGTAGTCCCAAATCCAGCAGTTCAGGACGGTTATCTTATCAAATGAGGAGCAGAGCCGGTATAAATGCTGTCTATAACTGTAGAATGGAGTGTGGTGATGTAGTGGAGGGCCCACAGCAGGGCCGGACGTGTAACTATGCAAAATAGAAAACGATAGTGTCAATAGCAGGGCGTTGGGTCGTGTAGAGCGTCAAATGGTGGATGGTGAGTATTTGTGCGGTATGTTACAGAGAGCAGTGGGTAGAAGCCGTCGGAAGGGAGCACTGGTCGTGTTACAGCAGCGATGGTCGCGTGTTCGAGGGAGTTCGGGCAGATGACATGTCAGGTTGGTGTAGGATCCAGCACAACGGGTCTGGAAGGAAGGATGAAAGAAGGAAGGTCGAAAGACGGGTAATGGCCCCGTCTCGAGGGTTCAATGGAGTCGGCTTCAGACCCGTATGTGCCCCTACCACGTACTTGACTCAACGTCGCCACCCTCAGCTCGCTGCTTTATCTTTCCTTTGCCCTTCTCGACGAAGGATGACGACGAAGAATTCGTATGTTGTTCCGCTGGCAGTTCGGCGGCGTACAAATCCACCGGGGGTGCTTCCCATATTCTTATCGTCTGGTCGTCGGAGCAGGAGGCGAACATCCGCTCGTTCGTTGGATTCCATGCAACGGAATTGACGCTGCCCTCGCCATGGCCAGATAGACACTCTAGCAGCATTCCACTATCACGATGCCAGACATAAATCTTGCCGTCTAGAATTATTCAGCAGTTAAGCTCAAACCCTCAGGGGTGCAAAAAAGCAAGAAAATACACCTTCACTTCCACTGACGACGAAGTTGCCATCGACGCCGCCGAAACAACTTCGGATAACATGCCGACCTTGTTGCAGGTCAGTGTATGTGCGAACTACCCGTGAAGTCTCGAGGTCCCAGAGTTGAATTTCCTGTACAATTCAAGATATCTGGTGAGAATTGGCGAAGCAAGAAGACATCAGGCAATCTCACGTTAGGTGCATGATTGATGAGGGCGAATTGGGAATCCTGCGACGTTTGGACGCTCGTAAGGTCACCTTCCAGCCGGATGGATCTGCAAGAATCAACAAAGCAGTCAAAATTAGACTTGTCCTACGTTCGCACAGACAAACAAGGATCTCTTCAAGGCAACGGTCGCGAAAAAGGCGAAGAAGACGGACAGAAACTCTGACGTACGATTGTGTTTGCTTCGTGGCCAAATCGACGACAATCATCCTATGTGGTGACACTAGGGCATTCCCACCGGCATTCGACGAAGCCTCGCCGGCTTGTACTCTAGACTGGGGTGCGTCGGAGGCCGGAGGATAGCCTGCTGCATACTCCATGCCGATTGCAACTATATGTCTGGAGTCGGGTGTTATTGTGAGGCCTGTTATCCGAATGGCCATAAGACTCCAAGGATCCCGCACTCTGCCTTCTGAATCCTGTCATATGAGGGACCATATGAGCGGATGTATTCTTAACAAAAGCATAACAAGAGCTGTCGCTGCTGGTTCGGGAAAAAACGACGAGTAGAAGATGCGATACGTACCCAAATCGTGATCCTGCGGTCCATTCCGCACGAGATGAAGCCTGATCCATCTGGAAGCCATGAGAGTGCTGTCACGGTGTCTGTATGGTGGTTTTCAAGAGACCGAATACAAACGCCAGTCTGTACGATCTGCTGTGAGTAGTGTTCCATGAAGGACAGGCCTCGACAAAGACTCGCCTTGGTGTTCCACATCTTGATGGTCGATTCAGCACTTGTGAGAAGAACAGAGTCGTCTAATGACCATGCTAGGCAGCCGACAGGGTCTGTATGGTCGCGGAGAATTAGATGGGCGGACCAGTCCACCGGCGACGAGGAAGAATCAATTGATGACTTCGAAAACGCGTAAGTCCACGGTAAAAATGGCACAACGTACAAGTGAAACACGTACACCTCTTCGCCAGATGATCGCAGTCTTGTCTTTGCTTGCACTCGCAAGATAAGCCCCGTCATGGCTCCATTCAATGTTCCAAATTTCGTCCGTATGCACTTCCAAAATAGTGGTGGTAATCTTGGGAAAGTCTGACCTATCGCAGCGATGGTCAGAGTATAAGGAAAATGGAGCGCTCCGAAGTGGATTGTGGTAGATGCATCGCTGTCGCTGATATGCTCTTGCTTGATGGAGAAGAGCAGCAAACCGTCGTTGTGGTATCATCACAGCGGAGGGAATATAGTCTGTTAAAAGACGTTAAAATTTCACGTCCGAGTCTCGGTGGAAGGTTTAGAACTCACCGTGAAGGGTATCGAGTAACTGACGTCTTGATGAGCCTGAGGCACCGTCCCACCCCGCTCTCCTCCGTAGATCTTCTGGTTCTGAACACATGATTAAGCTGAGCAGCGTCAATTCAGTCGTTTAGGTAGAAATAAACTTCAAAGAGGGGTACAAACCTTGAGAGTGTATGTAGTTGATCCGAATCCACATTGAGAGGCGCCAGTTCGTTGCGCAACACTTGGAGAGCAGCCGTTGGCTTTCTGGACTCAACAAGCTCTAAATATTTCTGCCGGCTAATCAAGAATTTGGCATCCTGAGAAACGCGAGGAAGGAGAATGAGTGGGTGCGGCTTAATTCATGAGAGATTTCCGCTTCAACGTACCCATAGTGCCTCATCTTCCTCAGACATCAGCCGTTCCAACGCGGCCTCTGCCTTGGACCACATTCCGTCCAGTATGTATTGTCGGAACTGCGATACTTCTGGACTCTCCATGGTATATCCTGACTCGGCTTCCAGGGTCGCGGCAGACTCACTGATTAGGGGTTTTTGAGCATTGTAGCGGCGAAAAGCGGGAGAGATGTACACACATATATCCCACGTCGCGTAAACTCTGAATGACAAGACGCACAAACTCTTCCCGGTCGATATCCGAATCGTCGTAGAGGGTTGTACCCGGTAAGGTGACTTTGGCAATGGACTTGCCGTGTTTCTGGACGCCATTCCCCATCACAGCCCCCGTTCCATTGGTCACAGGCGTGCAGCCGTTCGTACGGCCATTTGTCACGACGGGGCCGTCGAATGAACCACTCGCAACGGATGAGGGACCTGCATGTGCGGAGATGTCGGGCGAGATGGACAAAGGCGAGTCACGGTCCGCTTCCGAAAGTCTCATCATGCTTTGGGACGGGGTGCTGCTGGAGGGATGGTCGACGAGAGTAGTCCGGTGAGGAGAAAGGAGGGGGCTGGAGTGTGCGATTCGCTGTCTCTTGCGAGCCCTGGAGTGTTCGGCGTCTGCCGCGTCCAGCAGGCAAGGCAAGGCAAGAAGCAAGAGCAGCGAGGTGAGACTCGGAATTAAGCACTGCACCTGTACGACATGAGAACAACAAGGTTATACGCACCTGGAGCGGGGGATAAGGCTGCGGGCTCTGCGCTGCTCTCTTCCTCGAACTCTGAGTGGGAGCGGGTAGATGGAACGAGGCTGGTGACCGCGGAGGCGTCTGCGGCGATCCTGTGCGCGAAAGCCGGTGTGGATGTGCTCGAACTTCGACCAGCAATATCAGCTAATTCCACAGGTGCGTGATACGGGGCTGGGGTGGACGAGATGTCCCGCGTAGGGGTTGAGTGGGTAGAAGAATCAATGGTGGCAAGGCGTTTGTGGTCGTTCAGAGCCAAGATGGTGATATGGTAGTGGTTGCGGGCTGTTGGATGGGAGTGTCGCGATAAACGATGAGCACGACGAGAGACGACGGACTGGAGACGGTTGGGGTGGTGCTGGTGGACTGGAGGAGAATGTCGATTGTGATGCGCGTCCTCCTGACATTCCTTTCCACCCACGAAAGCTTCCGTTTTGGTCATCTACCATCTTATCCTATTACTCAATCCTCATCTTCTGCTGGACAACAGGCTCCTATGTTATTCTACAACAAAGCTACCACCATTGTCAGGATTTCCTCGCTTCGCTGCACAATGCCAGTCACCTCCACGATCATAGCTGCTTCCGCGGCGTAGACCGCCAAATATAACAATTACAGGACCAGCACAAGAGTATCGCAGACCAATCACGAGCCTCAGCGATTATCGAACGCTGATACGGACCTTGTCCAACGCGCCCAACACGCTGTATCGAAAGCTGCCCTTGATGGCTGAAAGGGAAGAAGCAATGGTAGATGAAAATCGGAGGGTATGTCGACACAAAGCCAGCTCTCGCTTCTGGACGAAACGTGTTCTCGGTTCTGCAACTCTCGGCTGCTGAAGGACAAAACGCTGGAACGACAGCGTTATCGTACACAAAAACCCGCCTGGTCGACAAATCTCGAGGTCTGAATCAACACGGACTCTGCCATCACATACGGGTTCTAGACAAAGGTTAGAATCCTCGCAAGCCTCAGGCTCATCAAGTCCTGCCATTTGATGAAAAAGTCGTGTAACAGGACGAACAAAGATCGTTATAGTGAGGAATCGTCTTCAAAATACTCGGGAACCGGTGCGGTTCTAGGTGGCCGTGAAGCTCCATGAGGCCGATAACAGTCGACCAAGACCGAAGCTCCTGCTTAGTCTGATTTATTCTGTCTTCTATCGATAACTGTGTGCGTCACTAGCGCGCGCCCCTACTCTTACTTCCCCTCGTCACTGCAGGCAAGATATTCGAGGACCCTACTGTGCCCTACGACCGTCTCAAGACTGCGACTAGGCCCGAAAATATACTGATGGCTTAACCTCCATGTCTCCTCCACGCGCTCAGAAGTTCACCCTCGATCTTCCTCTGACACAAACTATGATATCGACATGCACCGTAACGTTTCTGCATGCAAGAGACAATTCATTCCAGCGGCTTAAGATTGTGTTGATCATCACCACGATCAAGGCATATTTCTGCCTCCGTCGAGTTTGTCAATGCATCTGACGGAAACACGAAATTTCAAACTCAACGACGCACTGCAAGAAACACCCTCGTTTCACGGAGTGACATCCAAAAGGTCTTTTCCTTGAACCATTTGATGTATTCGCATGGTAATTTACCTTTTAGCTTCACAAAATCCCGCCCAGACGTCTACTCTCCACTCCACTGTCCACACTGTAACACAAAGGAAAGGGCCTATGTATCTGTCGTCGTCATCCTGCCAGTCTTGTCACTCGCGATCTACCATCTCCCACTTCGACTAAAGCAAGACCGGCGGGTCACAGTGGTGTTGATGCCTGATAAGCAAGAATGCACAGCACAGCTTCGTATTCGATTCAATCAGGATTCAATCCACAATGCGTAGACTGCGCTGGCTACATAATCACGTCCCACAACCCCATATCGAGTGTGCAAGACCCGAAGAGTCGAATGTATGCACGACCAATGATATTGCAAAGTCACAAATTTCTTACCCTTGCAACGTTAAGCGTGCCTTACGCTCTCAGGGCCTCACTTCTACGACCCACATCCCCGCCCGACCTGCTCAAGCCTGCTCAAAGCCTTTTCCAAACTCGCAAAAACGGTGATCACGCCCACCGCCTTACGTACCCAATTATAATCGCCTCTGGCTTTTACCCTCGGCATCCATCCGCGAATTGGCATCTAGCCTCTCTCATCGACAGGTCAGCAGAGGTCAGCTGCTCTGACCCCAGATACAAACTCGATCACAGGTCGCAGGGCGATGTCAGACCCAAGAGCTTCCCGCAGCAGGGTGTTCTTCCAGGCTTCGGGATCTGCCTGGGCCTTTCGGCGGGTTGCGAAAGTGCGATGTTAAGGAACGGTTCGAAGAGGCTAAGCGCTAACGCTGCGAACAGCTTCGGGAAATAGCGAACACAACCTGTCCAAGACTCCAGAGGAAAGCGTTACAATTTCCAAGCCGCATGGTTGCAGTTGAGGCTCTCTCGACTCGGAATTCGCTTCGGAGGCTTCGTCCGACCCGAGCACTTCGTAATTGCTTGCAAAAGGTCTCAAAGAGTTGGCCAGACTCCACCTGTTACCCCAGATTCATCAAGTACTTCAAGTCCCGTCGCCCATCGCACACCGCGGCGGCTCGAGCTTCTGGCCACGGTCATGGCATGGTCTCTGACGGCCTATCACATCGTGCCATGTCCTCGTACGTCGGATGTCTATTCTTTGCTATGTGACTCTTGTGATATTGATGTAATACTCCGAAACCACAGGGTTTCGAGTTCTTCAGGTGCTTCATCCGGCACCGTGACGCTCGCAGGCGGCGCTTCAGGGATTCAGGGACGACGCCATCATTTCTAAGTTCCCTGCCACCGATCCGGGCTCACCATAAACCCGCAAAGGCGAGCATAAAACGCCAAAATCGTCCACTCAATTGAAAAGAGTATCTCCGGAAGGGTTGAAGTGACGCTTCCGACTGGCACTGAACGCTGCTCACGTTCAGGCGCCTCCAGCCACTGCCACCTCTTCATGTCAATGCTTCGGGCCCCAGCGAGATCAGACGGGGGGAAAGGACACAAACTACAGTCAAACCCCTCTTAACCCATACCTCTCGTAAGCCATACACCCCCATAACCCATAGGTTTTGGCTGCTACCAAACCGAAATTTACACCAAAATTGACCTCTCATAACCCATAACCTCCCATAACCCATACCCTGGGCCGTCCACCGAGGGGTATGGGTTAAGAGGGGTTCGACTGTACCCTCCCACTCGCTAAAAGCCCTCCACCTCATGTGACGCATTTGTGTGGCGTCCCGCCGTCCCCACATGCCCAAGGCACCCACGCTGATTTGTATTTCTTCTTCTTTGGCATCAGAGTCTTCGACTACCGAGCGTTGGTTTCCTGGCGTACTGGTGAATTGGTGCGAGCGGTGGGTCTAAATTCGTTGATCCATTTTCTGTTAATCAAGTCGACGGGTGGGTCAGACGGCGGGCTTGGGAGTCCTTCGATCTTCTGTCGTTCGGCACGCTGTCTCCTGGACCTGAATCGGCTGTCTTGGAGGGAGGAGAAGCAAACTACGGTAAAAAGTTCAGTGCATCATTTACTTAATTTGAAATCCCTGTCGTGATCATACTTCACTGTCATTTCATTTCACGGAATAACAATTTCTTGCACTAGCTCAACCTATGGTATCTCAGTCTTCTGAGGCTTCTAGCTGCTCACCCACCCCGCATTGGTGATGTCGACGTGCAAGGCCCATGACCGCCCCATAAGCTCCCATGACGTTATTTAACGTATATGTGGTCCCAGGTAGAAAATTTGAAAACTCGGGAGGACCAAAGACCAGCAGACCCGCACGACGTAAGTGCACGCATGACGCGGCCCCGAGCAGCTCCGAATACATTCAGTGCGTGGATGAAGATGGCGGGGGTAGTACGGCAAGCACCCCACATCATAAGACATCATACCACAAGTGGGATCTCCAAGCAATAGATCTAGACATTGCCACGGTGATCATTCCTTTGCCAATTCTCGTTCCATCTTTCGGAAATCGCTAGCACAGTTTCTAGGAGGCATCTTTCGGAACAGTGGGAAGGTGGTGTATTTTCACAAGTGGTGTTGCGACACTCACCAGCGGCAACCTTCACGGTCTTCACTGGCAGGAGGTCCTCTCGAAGTTGATCCTTCAAGCTCACAATAATTTCGCGGACCTTCTTATAACCCAGCGACGAGCTTCCATGCAATCGTGACGTGGTTATCTGAAGGATCCACAAAACGGCTGACTTCTTCAAATTGTCAGGATCGACTGTGAAAGCACCAAACAGTGGAAAGACAGGATGGCGAATTGTACGTCACGACTCACCAGGAACACGCGATGAAGCGCCCGGGGCCACAACGAACTGTGGCGGATCAGCATCGTTAGAGATTACCCTCAGAGGCGTTCACTATATGACGATGAGCGAGCGGCTCGAAGACTGCTGCTTGCGGAATACGTTGAAAGAAACTAATTTGCTAGGGAATCAGCGTCTCTTCTGCAGCGCCCAGTTGCTCCTGGCGACCCAGTCCGACTTGAAGTCCACTGTCCAACTAGGTCTCATAAAGTGGCCACGATAGACCGGGCTGAGAGCGAGGATCCGATCGGATATGTCTTCATTGACACTTTGAGATTATGCGAGAGGGCGTTCACGGCTTGTAGCAACTCAGTGCATTTCGTATCAAACGCTGTCTTGTGGTCCTCGGTGGCCCCGTCGTAGTCGAAGACCGCACTGAACACATCACAAGCGGAGTATCCGAAACGGTCGATCGCAGCTTCCAGAATGTTATTGAGGGCGATGGCGACACGCCATCCTCTTCATGTTCTTCGAGGAGCCCATGGACACCCGGGAACCTTACTAGCGGAGCCCAATGATACTGAGAGGAGCCCACATAAACCTTACGAAGCGACCCCAACAGGGAGTCGTACTGTTCCTGATGCAGCAACCTGAGCAGTGTACTCTCAGACGTGGACAGAAACACAGGATTGGCAAGGCGGACCCTTGCGCAAGCTTGTCGCGGGTCCATCATAACGGCAATCCGGTGAGCAGAGGACTCTGTTCTTTTTTCCAGATCCTGTATTGGCATGAATCCGCTGAAGCTGTCTGGACTGGAAAACACGGTCGCCTGACCAATAGCAACTTTAGCTCCTTCTCTCGGATATCAAACAATGACCAGATAAAGACGTCCGAAGTCGATACCCTGCATTTAGGGAGTGGTTGTCCTGATGACAGGACAGTAAGCGTCGCCATGTTGACAGTATAGAAATTCATCGTGGTAGAAGAGGTACAGATCCTCGCCGTCTAGGGAGAAGAGCACGAGCTGTCTTTGCTGCAAAAGCCGAACAAGGGGGTAGTATTGGAACAAGGTCTTGCCTTCAAAATCCGCGATAATGCAGAAGAAAGTATGCACCAATGCCAGGCTGACCGATTATGATAAACCCGGTGTTACATTCCGATGACATTGCTTGTGCCCAGACTTCATAGAACATCTCCACATAAGACTTGCGAACGAGAATTGACGATAGAGAGAGGTTGAGGGTCGGACGGGAAGTCTGGATCAACCAGTTGGGCGCACTGGCTACGCAGGGATGGCCGAACAGACATATCGAAAGGAAATGATTGGCAGATTTTCAAGCCAGCGGAAGATTCAATGCTTTGTGTCACGACCTTGTAGTAGTACTAGAATGAATTGGCGCCGCTGCCAGTGGCACACACAGTTTGAAGAGATAAGATTAAATTTTTCATCTAATCTCGGCATTTGCCGGTCAGACCTGAAATCTCTGCCAGTGTCGTGCTTCAACGTCAACTTAGTTCACGGAATAACAATTTCTTACAGCCCAACTTCACTGCCTATGGTGCCTCCGTCTTCTAAGGCTTCTAGCTTCTAGTTGCTCACCCACCCCGCGTTGACGACGTCAAGTCTCATGCATCATGACCGCCCCATAAGCTCCCCTAACGTACACTACACTGTAACCCAGGTAGAGTTTTTTTAATAAAAACTCGGGAGGACCAAAGACCAGTAGACACGCAGTGACAACGTACAGGTATCACGCGGCCCCGAGCAACGCCCATTCAATGCACAACACGAGAGGAATTACGACAATGACACGGATGATGGCGAGGGTAGCACGGTAAGTACTCCACATTGATATCGTGATCATTTCTCGCAACGTGAAACGGCTCAAGAACACGCGCTTACCTGCACTCTTTCGAACTTGCTAGAACACACTCTTCACGCCACGTCGCTACACGGAAAATCCCCGTAACACGTACGCAATAAAAACACACAATACATTTATTTTATTATTCATATTTATAATTGCCATAGTCCGTTATGATGAGATGACGACGTTGATTACGATGCGGATGATGAATGAAAAAATGCGGGGTGACCAAAGCAAGGCGTCGGCGCAGGGCGCGTGGAACGCGTGCACGAACCAAGAACGCGAACGAACAAACACAAAGTGAATCCATGCAATGCGGGGTTCCTTGTTGAAAAGAATGGAATGTATGCCAAGTAAGTAAATGCAGTAACAAATGCCGAGGTGGATGCTAATGAGATACGAGGATTGTATGTATGTTGTATAGAAGAAACAAATGGGAAGGAAGTACATTTGGTTTGGTTTGGTTGATTTGGTTTGAGTGAGGGAGGAGGCGGGTCATCATGAGTCATGACAGAGGAAGGAAGAACGAAGGAAGGATCGACGGAAGAGGGAAGAGTGAAGAGGCGGGGTAGACCGCGAGTGACGAGATAGGAGTAGGTAGGGGACTGACATGAAGCTGGAAGGGAGGAGTGCGGGAGGAAGAGAGGCGTTACGATTTTGGTTGGTGGGTCCTCGACGTTAAACAGATTGAGAAGATAACCCGATGTTGAATGGTTACGAGATGGTAAAGAGAAAACGAAAACGTAACGAAAGCTGAAAACGAACGCCGAAAACAGAAACAAAAAAGTAAAACAAAAACGAAGGAAAGAAAGAAGGTTGAGATGGCATGATGAATGGACTGGTATTGCGTTCGTTCATGGGTGAATGACGATGACGATAGATAAGAAAGAAGGGGGGTAGATCACTTCGCCAGGCGCCTGTTTTTGTGCCGACTGTCCACGGGCGACGACAGCGAGGGCGAGGCGGAGCGAAGCCAGAAGCTGAGAACATAACCATTAAAAACAAGGAAGAACATGCATTTTTTTGAGTGGAGGGCTTTTGCTTTGCTTTGCTTTGTTTTGCGACGATGACGACAGTTCCATGAAATATTGCGACGAAAACGAGAGTTTTGACGTGGACGTGAAGATTGGAATGGAATGGACGGGGGGCACAATGCGATGAGCGATGATGATCCAGATGCAAGAAAGACGAGAAATGAGATGAGGAGCTTGAGGGGCCATTGGCGGCACTGATGATGAGGAGACAGGTAGAAACCCGGCGCACTGTAACGAGGGAAAACCCTGGCGACGCGTCGGGCCCAATTTTGGTTGTGCGGTCGTAAAGTAATTTTGGCTTTTGGCGCGAATGCGGAGTTGTCGGCGGCGGAGGAACAACAGTGAAAGGGTGGACAACTTTGGTTTTTGCTTTTGGGGGGTAGTCGCATGACAGAAGGAGAACGAATGCCGTAAACCTCGTCCCCATCCTCATCTCCAGGGTTACAGAGGGACCCGCACCGAGTGCGCATGGCCGTGTGCGTGTGCGTGTGCGGCGCGGTCGATGAGCCCACTGCGCCCCGTCCCGTACCCCGGTGCGTCCATCAACGAGACGTCCCCACCGAGCTCCTCGACCCTCGTCCTCCCCCGCGGCCTCGTGCGCGGCCTTGACCTGCTGTCTGACAGCGACCGGTCGTTCGTCCTCGCGCCTCCCTCCTGCACCTGTCTCACGGCATTGAGAACCTGGCTAGGATCCTCCGCGCCCATGAACACCGTCGTCGTCGTCGTCATTGGCGGTGGTGGTGGCGAGCTGTTCCTGCGCAACGCTGTGCGTCCTCTCCTCGGCATGGGCAGCTCTGCGGCAGCCACCCAGTCAAACTCCTCGCTCTCGTTCGGGTGGTGGAACTGCAGCGCACTCGGGCTGTTGGGCGTGTGCACGCGGCGCTCGCGGGACGGCGAGGAGTGACCCGACCGCCTGCTGCTGCGCGACTTGTCTGTCTCGCGGCGTCTGCCCCGGGGCGTGGCGTGCACGGAGGGCAGGGACGGGACGATCGTGGCATGCGAGATCGTCGAGGCGTCTAGAGAGACCTTTGGCGTGGGTGGGGACGGGCGTGAGACGGTGTTCCCCGCGGAGGACACGGGGGACGAGCGCTTGTTCCCTTTGGACGCCGGAGACGGAGACGCCATCTTGAGCAGGGAGAAGCACGCGGGGAGGCTGGCGCGGTTCCGCGTGCGTTTCGCCTTGGATGTAGGTATGGGTTTGGCGGATTCAACGGCCCAGTAGTCCCTGTCCTGCTTCTCGTCAAGGTCGTGGTCGAGGTCGAGGCCGTCAGAGGAGAAGCTGATGTCGGAGAAGGCCTCGTCGTCGTATTGGGACAGGTGGGAGTGGATGGGTGCGCTCTTTGGGATGCCCCGCCCGGTGGAAGAGATACGGCCGAGGGGGTTGGGCACGGTGGAATGGTTGTTTGTGCCAGAGGGTCTGCGTGCGTATGAGAGGGCGGAGTGGGTGAACTGAGTGGCTGATTTGGAAGCGAGTTCGCAGGCTGGATCAGTGACATCGTGGAAGGGGTGCTCTGTGCGATACTGGTGCTGCGCACCCTCGTCTTCTTCGTCCGTGAGGACAGACCACGAGGTGGACGAGGCCGAGGAGGAGACGTAGTAGCCCGACCGGCCTGCGTAGTTGCGGAGTGCTGAGCCGAGTGCGGAGGGCATGAGGGGCGGGACGTCGCCGCCTGCTGCGTAGCCGATGCTGGGTGAGGAAAGTGCGCTGGAGGATGAGGATATTGAAGGCGAGGAGAGGTCTGTGTTCTGGCAGTCGTCGCTGCAGTAGGCGCGGCTAGCGGGGGATGAGCAGGGGGGCACGGGAGAGAGTGGAGAGAGCATACCCGTCGTCTGAGAGATGCTTGCCGCAGACGAGACAGATTTCCTCGAACATGGCTTCGAGGGCGAGTACGGTGGGCTGGGATGCATTCGGCCAAGTCCACGCCAGCCCAGTTATATACCTCCAAACGACATTTCCTCAAATTTAATTTCAGGGTCACGCAATGTCACCCCTCCATTGACTCAATTTTCACACGTGATCCCAATGTCACACAGTCACAGAATCCCATTTGCAAGTCCGCGCCGAGCGAGATCTGTTCCCTCGATGCGCACGTCTCAAAACGTTTCTCCGCCAAAGTGCGCGCTGCATTTCCCGCTTCCCCACGTTTGCAAGGCCCACAAACCCCCCGCGAACGTGTCCCCCTTGGATCATGGGACGCTTTTGCGCGATTGCCCATCCTGTCTAGACCCCTCCCTGTGCGCGGCAGCCCTGATTGGACCCTCTCTCAACCACAGGAATACCTGGACCTGAACCGCCCTAATTTCAATTCGGACAGCCCAGCGTGACCAGGAGATCTACCGCCGTAGGCACACTCACTCCTACCCAAAATGTCGTCATGTATCACGTACCCTCGCGCACTTCTGTTGCTACTTACTCTCACTGGCCGGGGGACCAGGACAGTCGCAAGAGTCCAGGACTGGTACTTCGGGGGTACCCGTACGCAACAGTCACGCCTCTCACCCCGAGTCAGGACACCTGACAGTCGCACCATCCGTCCCCATTCTTTCGACGAATCAATACATACAACTGTCGATCATGCATCATCAAGAACCCACATAGCCCTCGCTCACCTTCTGGCCCAATTTCACACCATTTCGCTGCACCGACGCGCCTTCCATCTTGGCTCTCTTCTCCCCGAGCCTTTCCCGCCACAGTCCAGCAGCGGCGCTCGCCCCTAGTCGACGCCATATCACGATCCAACAAACTACATCATACATGCATCTGCCTTTGTCCTACTCTATGTAAGTACAACAACGCAACGCCCCGGCAGCTTCCATCTTCCCAACGCCATAAACAATTTTCTTTGTTCTTTCATCCATCGTTCATCATCACCTGTGACTCTCTATTTCTCGAGATCTCTCTGCCCCAACCAAGCCTAGGCCCAGATCCATCACCCAATACCCAATCTTCAACTGTCCAGTCAAACCTTCTTCCTCCCTAGATCTTCCCAGCCTTATGATTTACCTGACATCATATCGACGCGTCTATTTCCTCTCAATGTTTCCCAAGGTTACTGCCGGGACCCACTGCCGTTTCCCTGGACGCCTCCGCCTACCGCCCACAGCCCACAGCCCGATATCAATATCTATTAGCGGGTGCTTATCCTGTCGTAAGCGCAGACAATGGGGGCGCTTATTTTCCTCTCCTTCTTGATCGCCCTGCAAGTGATCCAAAGCCCAAAAACGAACAACAAAGGACTCGCAATCGCCCACAGGCGTCACACAAATTTTCCGACACCCACAGGTTATTATTATTCGTGACTGGAGTTCCTTCTTTCTTGTTGCGTTGATCTCGTTCCTTCACCGTGACCCGTCTGTAGCATCTGGTGCACCTGTCAATCGTCAGTCATCTGAACGATCAGATCCAGTCCTAGAATCTCGACATCGACGTCGCATCTTAGCCTTATCCTTCGGGCTACCCTACCCACGTCCAACACAAAGATCACGCTTCGAGTCGCCCAAGGTCATGGTCATGGACATCGCCGCCGGGAACACCCTTGAAGCTTGAAGCCTGGAAGAAGCACCTTCGAATTCTCGAAATTGAAGGCTTCTTCTGCTCCAATTGCCGTCCCAAAATGTCACCCCACCGTACTTGTCAGTGCACTGCACACGGCGATTCTCCCCGCCAGCCTGAGCAGTGAGCGTCACGACTCACGGTCGTAAGTCCTAAGTACAATCATCCAAATCCTATGTAATTCCACTGATCTCACCGAGAAGTCTAGGTTCTTCGTATTTAATATCTCCCTAATATCTAATATCTACCCCATCTGCATACCATACGACGTGACGTATATATAGGATTTACCGAATCATTTAACTATTAGACTCTTATACCGATGGGCTTCAAGACAATGGAGCCTCGAGGCTCGAGGTTCGAAGCCCTTCGCCTGCCCATCCATGATCCAATATGCACATTGCACACGATGCAGCAGATGGATGCACTGCACGGATACCCGATCACGGTGCAATATCTTGCACTGCCCAGACCGCGGGCGTTTGGAGACGCGTCTACGCGTCGAGATTTCGGTAAACTCGAACGAGTTCTGACCGTACGCGTTGGAGGAAAGAGGCTGGAAAGGGCGGACAATGGGAGTCGTTTCCGAGTCGGCATTTGGTATCGGGACCGGGAGTGTTGACACCGTCGCGTCGCGCGACGCGAGGTCGCGGTACATATACGCGTCATTCATTTGCCTCCGCCTTCGCGCGTCTATCGCAATACTCCACTTCTCCTTCTCCTTCTCTCACCCCATCTTCCATCTATCTATCCTCAATTGTTACGGAATGGGAGTCTGTGCCGCGTCCCCACAAAAACCTCGTAATATCATTACTATTGGGCCTTGGGCCTCCTGTCGATCATCGCGAGCGCCACAACGCGCCCGCGTCAAGACTCTACACTATCACTTGGCACTAGAGTACTGCTGTCCGTCTATTTTTAGACGCCGATACCATCCAATTCCCCGATCGATACTGTCCAGAGTGCAAAGTCTCTCGACTTGGACTTGTACGCTGGACGCTGGATCGGAGAGCCTTGAGGACCCTCCGAGTCCCTAGATCTGCTTCTTGAGCCTTGAGCCTTAGGTTGAGTGCTCAGAATAGAACAGAGGTGCATAATGCATAATGATACCAAACCGTCTATGGATGGCCTGCGCAGTCACTTTGCCAAGCTGGACCCTTCGAGCTGCAAGCTTTCGATGATCGCTCGCCACTGGCCGTCCAACCAAAATTATTGGGGATCTGACCTCTTCAGTGCTCTGAACCTGCCGAGCGCATCTACTATTGAACCACTACTTTATCACTAAGCGCTAAGCCCTTTGTACTATGGAAGAATATGGCGTCGTTTGTCTCCGAAAATTCGAATTTGAATCCGAAACCCTAGTGGGCGGTGTCAGGATGATAGGCCCGGGCAGTTTTACTTTATCATCAATGGTCCCGCGACTTGTGCGGTGAACGGTAACGGTAAGCGGTTAATAAGCGCTTGGGCCCCGACTCCGACTCCGAGCCGTTCGCGTCAAAGGACCCGTTCGCCCGAAAGATTCCAAGAAAATAGAGTTCTTCGAGGTCGGTCGTCCGACGCGTTCTCACTGCAGTATTCAAGTTGGGGATGGATGTCGATTTTATTTGGAATTTCTGAGATCATACCACGCGTGCGCAGCGGCGTTTTTGCCTTGTCGGTCATGATGCATTGATGCGTGAACCCCAACCCCCAGCGCCTGAGAATCCGAAGAAAGCCACGTACGTTCGGGCGTCGGTGACTGCTGACTGACTCAATGCAACACGCAATATTTAATATTATTACCGCACACCGAAACACGCATGAGTATGACATGCAGTCGCTCCCCCTCCGACTCCGAGTCCTCGATCGGGCTTGGTCACGGCGAGGATGGCGTTATCTCGCGTTACCCTTCGTCGGAGTCTCGTTGTTCACGTTTTGAGTTTTTTTTTGGTGTCTCAGAAAATTATCTGAGTCGCGTTACCGTGACGTGCAATTTAGTATTGTCCAAGCGGCGAGCTGAGTCAACTTGAATACGTTGCAGTGCAGTGCACAGCCTTACTCAAACGTTCTTAGGTACGAGCGCTAATTCTGTCCACGATGACGTCCAGCATTCCTTGTGGGGTAATTCAATGAAATGACATGACCTCCTCGGGGCGGGTTCAGGCTCATCGAGCACCCTCCGCTTCGAAAACTTACCACTGCTCATAATATCGACGTCGTCGCCCAGCTGCTGCGCTTCTGAAGGAGGCGTTCCGCCTAACACTACCGGGGTCACAAACCCACGGAGGTCGGAGTCGGAAGTGAGCCCACCTACCTCGGAATGTCTCCCTTTGTCCGTTTCTCCTGTTCTTTCGGCGCCGGTCGGCCGAGAGCTCGTCCCCAGTGGGTCAAGAAAGGTCGGACGACGCCCTCCGAAACGTTGCTCGCCCCGACCGGAGAAAGTGTGACGGAAAATCAACGTTTCAACCAGGATCCGGACAAGCCCAACACGACGCGGCGAACATTTAATTAAAAGGTGATCTTGGGGGATCAGCGCGGCGGGATGTTATCTGACACACGGTCACCGGGCAGGAGACAAAGGCCCTCCTGATCTGGAAGAGGGCGCCACGGTCTTGGGTTGGATCACCTGGGCTTGGGGATCGAGGACGCACCACGGCAGGGTTTTACTGTGACTGTGTATCAATACTATCGCTTGTCTATGGTGGTCACCGGTCACCATATACATACATACCCAGCGAACGTCGAAGGCAAAGGCGCAATCGCAAGCCAAGTGCACGAAGGGGTTCCTGGACTAAATTCCGGACTACCTGTGGGGTCTTGGCACTCTTGATCTTTTGGAATTCAATTTCTCCTTGCTTCCAAGGCAGCTCCTCGACCGGTACATGCCCCACCACCCACTGTCACAGCTACGCCGGACAGTCGATAGATGGGGACCCACAGGGTTACATAAATTTCTCACTGGTGATGCCTTGAGGAGTCATCTGTGCCTTCAGTGCATGTGCGACTGTCAGTTTCGCTGGCACGATTGTACAAATTCTATCGAAAGGGAAAGGGACTGTCCGGGTTCTTCATTTTGACTTTTGACGTCCTTCATACCACTCGGGCTGTCATTGGAACTCAAGAGACCGGCGAGTACTCTAGACGCCTCCCCAGGCTACTGTCGTGACACTGGTCAGAAAAGGCGCCGGACTGGCACCTGACTGGTGCTGTACTTGCTTTGTCTCTGCCTTTGTATTCGAGTTCGGTGTCCTTCGAATAGGGTTTGGCTCGGACGGTCTTTGAGGTCCTTCCCTCTCTCACTGGCCACCCCCACAGGTAGTCCGGCGCGAGTACCGTACCACCGCTCTGGTCGCATCCAAGTAACAAGTTGCGGCATGCCATAAGGTGCGGTCTCTCTCTCTCTATTTTTACACCGAACAAGTAGAGCACAGGTGTGACGGACGGGAACACCGGTCCAAGTAGAACAGACTCCATTTCCTATTTCACAAAACGGGAGAACAAATCCAAAATCTAAGCCGGAAGGGTGTGCAGCTGGGCACGTTCATCAATCATTACCGTGATCACAGTGGCAGAACCAGTGGCAGAAAGCCTCCTAAGGAAAAACCAAAAGGAACGTGCATCACCTATGTCCTCTCTCCGTTCTAATTCGGGTTTTGGGAGTTTGACCATTGGTTGTTCGACTGTGAAGGGTTTGGTCGTGGGTCGGAAGAGTGGAGAGGAGGCTCTAGTAGAGTAGGAAAGGAGAGCCAGAAATTCTTCTCTCGGCTTTTTTTACATCCCAGTGGCAACCGTTTCGAGTTCGTCTGTTTTGCTCAGGAGACATGTGCGTCCGCCTAACGTACTGTACAGAAGGCCTTCTCTTGTTTATGCTTTTTTGTAAACGACGGCGAGCTCGCTGGAACTTCAAACACCCACCGGGGCTTTCACCTTTAGCGAGCGTCTAGAGTCTAGCCTCTGGTCCTAAACTCCGTTGACAGCGACTCAGATTCTAGGTCCCAAGGAGCTCACGAAGAAGTCAATTCGATACGACGAGAACAAAAGTTTGATTCCATTTCTTCAAAGTCCCAGGGGCACGCGGAGAGGTATGCAGCGGTCCGTTAAATAAGGATATATGCATGTGAGTAAGAAAGAGATAAGTGCGAAGAAAAGAGCGAAAGCGGGATAGGAAGGGATATTCGTCTGATAAGAACTCAGGTTCTAGGGTAGGAATATTATCGGGGGGTCATATCGAAGGAAGTGTGGGGAGGTAACGGCAGGGGCACATACGGCACTGGGCAGTGGTGGTCGCAGACAAGGTTCGGTCGGCTGGGAGAATCGGCATCAACAAGGACTAGCGTAAGAGGACATTAAGGGGTAGCAAGGAAGAAAATGGGTAAAAGGCGGTTTGGGCGGTGGAGAAGGTGCGCGATTTATTGAGGTAAATCCATCCCCTATCCCAGTCGAAAGTAATGCGGGAAGGAACCGCGGCGATCAGCCATCCACGCACGAAGCATACCACATCGAGTCGCCCTCTGGCAGCACAGAAGGTGATAAACAGGGTACAATTGTCCTGGATCAACTGCTAAAGACGGGTGATCGTCTGTTAACTGAACGCCCACGGTCGCCATGAGCCGCGTCTTTAAGCTTCGCTGCTCCTCCCTTCTTCGATAGACCTTCCTTTCCTTCCCACCCTTGCTGGCATGATAGCGATAACAATACAAGTCCGCCGAGCGTCCCACGCCTCTCTCGTCCTCGACCGACGTGCCCACGAGCCGAAGGTAGCACCGCCACTGCGCATGTCGAATAAGGAAACATGACTGCCAGAATAGGACTTCTTTCTGCATCCGGGCTGCACTCCACTTGCCCCTTCAACGACCAGAACATGAGCAACTCCATGATCCAGGTCATGAGCAGAGGACGCCTCAGATTACTTCGGGTTGTTTGGACCTGAATCGGTACTGACGCGCCGGAAACCTGGTCCACCGCCGGTTTCCGGGTTTTGGGAGGTAGTCATCGATAGCGATAGTTGACTACCGCTCGCCAACTGATCCTGACTTGCACCGAGGCCATAGATATTGTTGACGCCGAGGGTCTGCGGCGGTGGGACCGGTGATCGGGGTTTGTCCGAGGGTGGAGGAACGGGCGGCGGTGAGGGCGTCCGGGCAGGGAGTGGCAGGGCTTTGTCCGTGTTGGATAGTTGGGATTGCCCCGACGAGCCCGAAGAAAGGAACGATGTTCTCGTACCAGACATCAGACCCTTAAGTCGCGCGTTGGTGCTGAGGGTGTTACTTCTTGTGGGCACATTCACAGGTGCTGAAGCTTTCGCTGGTGTGTTGGGGCTGCTTCCATTGGCCACGTTGTCCGAGCTCAACCCACCTGGACGTGGAAGAGGCTTCTCCGCAACAACGGTCTCGAGCATACCTGTAGGAGTCCCTACATTCTTCAAGGCTGCGAGCTTTTGATGGAGATACCTCGCATCCGCAAGAAGTCTAAATTCAGAAAGGACCCGCAGCGTGACAATGGCAAGGAAATTGAGGCAATTCAACGGGAGTTTCATCAGTACAGCAATACATTTAAACGAGAAAACGAACCTGTTCTTAGCCTCCTGATGAGGCAGCTCAATGGCGTTGTATTCTTCCGAAAGCCGGTGATTGATAGCTGCGAACACCTGCGTCATCACGTACTATAATGGCGCACATCCACATCAGGACCGCGAGGGTAAAACGAGGGGGAAGAGAAGGGGAAAAGAATCGCAGTCAGCGATCATGTCCAGGTCTAGTGCTCAATTGGGGCGCTTCTGATACGACAGCGCCGAGGTAAACAACTCACCTCAACGACAGGTGGTGCAAGATATCGCGATAGAACTTTGTGAAGTGTGACAGTCTCCTTGATTAGGATCTCCATGTAGTCGTTGACTCCACCACTCGGTTTCGGCACACTCCAGTCGACAGCCTGTAGGCATAGGAGATGAAAGAAACGTCAGAGTGCACCATTACCCATTCTCAGCATTCGTCATAATGGTGAAACATGAATACCAACCTTGAGAGACTTGATGTGGGCATTTAGCCTATCACCCATAATGGCAACAAGCTTAGAGTGGATCTCATTTTGATGCTCTTGATAGTCCTATTAAAAGATTGTGCATGGTTAGCCTTCTATGTTCTCGCTGACTGCGATCGAATATAGCGCACCCGTTTCAGCTTGTCAAACTCGACCAGCAATCCTGCTTCCTGTTGCTTAAGGTGGCGTCTGAACGTCTCTCGGACATATGGAATGAGCTCAAAAACGATCGATAGCGACTGCGACGCCAAAGCTGCCAACAGCAAACCCGTTAGAGAAAGATCCCAGCCCGAACGAGTGGAAACATACCAAGGTGTTTAGCGGTAATATTTTTCAGTCCAGCAGATCGCATAGCACCAGCACCCAACACAACTTGACAAGTCCTGGAGTTGAACGCCTTCAAGAACTCAATGACACGATTCATTGTATCAGTCGTCAGTGTCGGCAGGTTGATCACAATGCGTAGGTAGTCCAATACCAGCGTGAGCATTTCCGACGTTGCTAGCACGACATAGTACGAGCGATCCTCAATTCGTAGGTGTTTCGTGCCCGACCCAGTCGCACTCGAAGCACCATTGGTACTGGGACCGGCGTTTGACGGAGATTGACCTGCCACACGAGTGGTGCCATTTGTCTCGGAAGTCGGGAATGTAGTGGTGGCGTATGGACTGAAGATCGCCTCGTCAGATGTGATGACGAGCTCAGGAGGATCGCGGACCGCAGAATCGACGATGACGTTGGTGCTATGCTGAAGTGCAGCAGTAACCTCTGTCTGGTTCCAGAGTTCGTCTTCCACGAGTTTCGCCGATCGGGTAAGTCGGATTTGGTGGAAAGCCTGAAGAAATTGTTTCGCCTGGAAAGACAGGAAAGAATAGATACTTCCAGCGCAACTGAACGATGAGACTCACCTGACTAGCCACCGTCCCTCGCAACCCGATAATCATCCTGCGAGAAAGCTTTTCGCATTTGATAACGAATGCCCACGAATCATTGAAGAAAGTCAGGAATTCCGCGAGTTCTAACACGGCATGTTGCTCTGCTCTAAATGAGATCACTTTCGCCGCTTGGATGCTTGCCAGTTCGGCTGATGAAGAAATGATGTCCGTCAAATCTTCCTCGACTGCTGGGATATTTGTGACTTTTCGCCGAGCTTGTGATCTAGAGGACTTGGTGAGAAACATGAGCACATTCCGAATATTTACAGCGTACCCGATGGCTCCTAGAACATCAACGATGACAGTGCTTTGTGCCTTTAACCCTTCTAAACCATTGAACAGGCTTCGATATATTTGTTGAATTAGGACAACAAATTCGGGATGATGCATGCTCCGCAGATGGTTTGCTAATCCAGGTCTTCACAGTTTGTCAGTTTCTAGTTCTTGCAAGGTTCTGACAATAAGCACATACTTGGCCTCATATTGGGAACCACTTCCTTCTTCGCCGTCAGGTTCGAAGGATGGTATTATCTAGGGACAACGTTATTTCGGAATTAATTCATAGCAAGGGGGTGGTCGCACCTTTTTGATAATCCCCCCAACCTCCAGTAGCGCGGCTTCTCTCCATGATAGCATACCCTCCTTCAAACCTTTCGTCCGCACAAGGTTAACCAGTAAGGGTTTCAACCTATCCTTCAGGCCTTGGTCAGTATCAGAGCTCCTTGGCTTTCCATCGCCGGTTATCCGCAATTCTAGGTCATTCCGTAGCACAGAGACGAATTCCAAAGATAGTGAAGCAGCAATCTCCATAGTCAGCACTCGAAGATGTGATGGAAGGGCTGAGAAAGCATGCAGGGAAGACAGAGGAACAGGTTGTCGCGATGATTCGTGTTTTGTGAATTCTTGTCCTTCCGCTGTTTCGAATTGCTCGTCCTCTGCTTGCTCTTCAGGAGTCGGCGATAATGACGACAAGTCAGTACCATTCCCATTCTGCAGCGTAGGCTTCATGTCAAGAGTGCTTGTCGCGCTATCTGGTGGTGGAGGTTCGCTTGCTTCCCACAACCTTTCGAGGTCTTCAATGACACCAAGAGCTTCGCCCCATTGTCCTGCGTGAACCAAGCTTTTCGCGACACCTGACATCTCCACAATCCCGCTGATCATCTTGACTCCATCTCGGACCTTCCCCAAGTTTGCCATCTTGCTCTCCTTCCTGACCATCTCCAGCCCGCGCTTAGCACTATTTTCGTCCACGTTCTTTAATTGTGTACGAAGCCTGCCTATTCGGTCTAAACATTGTTCAGACTCGGATTGTAGGTCGTGTAAATTTGTCAGGGCGGCGAAGAAAGACGTTGAACGGATAGATATTTCGCGAACGAGGTGTTGCTCGACCGTGTCGGCGTAGTGAGAGAACTTCTCTAGCAGGGGCAGAGAGTGTGATAGAGAGAAAGGATCTGAGAAGGAATCGTCCCTGGGCGTTGATAGCGCAGCAGCCGCGTCCAGTTCCGTAACAGCAGCAAAAGTCCGTGGTTCGCCTAGATGGAAGTCTTTCTCGAAGAAAACGGATGGCACTGAATCGAGAGGCGGTATAGCCTTCCCTTGAGAATTCACGAGCTGTGAAGCTGGTTGGGGTGTCTGCGGATCCTCACCGCTGATTGAATTTCGTGGTGTCCATTGGCTGTCGTCGATCTGCGCTGGTCCCTCTTGTTCCAGTCGTGTATTGTGCTCATACCGCTCCCATTCTGGTCCTATGGAGCGTAAGTACGACTCAAAGTCCTTTCGGCGCACGCGCGGAAGGTCTGCCGGTGGTACCGTTGGCAGAGATGAATGAGCTTTCGGCGGAGCCTGGCGTTTATGTGGGTTATTGAGCATAGTCGATATCGCTGCATTCGGTGACGACAATCATGAATCTGCATCATAAGCTGAATAGAATGAGCACAATACCATGAAATCCTGTCCGTGAACTGCTCCATTCCGTTGGTAAACTTCCCAGTGCAAGTGATGTCGCAGAGGTATTCAAAAAGCCCAGCGGATGTGCACCACCGCCGAAGTCATCACCTCCTCTGCCCTCTGTCGTGCCCGACACACTCTCCGGACCTGGTCTGCGCGATGACGGGTCCCATGTAAACCGATACGGACGCGCTGTGGGGAGCTGGTCTGGTGGTTGCAGGTTTACCGGAGTGACTGGACGAGATGGCAGCGACGAGGACTCGGACATCGTGTTCAGCTAGAGCGTATGCAGATGTTGTTGTGGGCGACGAGGAGAGGGTGGACTGGCCTAGTCAATGGCGCATACGGCCACGAAGGACGTCGGAGGATAGGGTAAGGAAAGTGACCAAACAAGTTGACTATTTTATTTACAACACCGATGACTTTCCCTGATGACTTTCATCTTCACCATTCCCGCCCCCATTGCTGCTTTCTACTCCTTCTTCCCCCTCAAAACATACCCACCAATAAAGCTTCTCAGTAAGACAGTAGTGACAGCGCCGACGCTATGGATTCACCCGCCCCGTTCGACGTCTCAACCGCCAGATAGTCTCCTGAGCGCAGACGTGGAGTGCCTCAAATGGCAGGCATACCTAGCGCTCCGTGGGCTTACAGCAATACGCCTTCGCTGGGACATAGCGCCTGAAGGGAGCATAGATGGCTCTCTTCCCAACCTACACGTTCCAATGTCCGAATCACTTATCAAGGACGCGAAACTGAGACAATCCGAAGGCGCTGAAGATGGCGAAATATTGGCTGCACATTCGATTCCTACCTGGGTTGACGCAAAACTTGGCGTCGATAGTGGTGCGGACCTACTTGAAGGATACAGAGACCAAGAAGCACGGGTAGAAAGCAGAGCTTGGGTCTCACTTCTCGAGGGCATCATTCATGCAGCGCTAGTCTGTGTTATTCTTATGTCGTGTGCCAATCCCGAAACTAACTTCACCTCAAATATTAGATTATCTCTCAGCCCGCTCCTTCGTACCTGCACTCCCTTATCTTTCCGATGTCGAAGCCCCCCGTGAGCGAGAACCTCCAAAAGATCCTAGCAGTCCCACCTGCGTCGCTTACTGGCCTCTGCTCCTTAATACCTCCCACTGGAACGCGTATAAATACTGCGTCAATCATTTCTCAATACAAAGAGGCGGTCTCCTCTCTGTCCCAGCGTCTAGGAACTGACAAATGGTTTTTGGGTTCCAGGTTTGTCCCTCCCGTGGTCAAGCCGATGAACCACAGGCTAACCTCCCCATCAGCCAACCGACGCCTCTCGACGCGTTGGCATTCGCGTATCTCCATTGCATATTACACTCCCCCGACACCATTCGCGCTGGAGTCACCCGTCACGTCAATCTCGTTGCTTGGGAGTGGAGAGTCCGCTGTCTTGTGCGTGAAGGTTTTGCCCGATAGAATCTCCCACACCCCGGGAGAAAGAACCGACATAGACATATCCTTATTGTCATATCAACTCATCTACCGGTATCAAGTATCAACCATATTATTCAGAGCAAAAAATACAGGAGTGCGTAGAGCCTATTATGATCTTTCAAAATCACCAACGAAGCAAAGACCACGCAAAGAGAACATGCGAGCAGACAGGCGGCAAATCTGAATCTAGTGAAGTCCTCACAGGTAGCTGAGTAGTCTGAAATGTGGTATGAAGGATTTTGGGGCTCCGACTATTAGTTGTTGGTGTGGGGTGACTGAGGTTAGGTTAGATGGGGTCAGTTGGCCGCTCTATTTCCTGTTGCTGAGCTGGGGCTGGTGGTATCGCATGGCAGGTCCTCTCCAATGAGCCTGGCTTGTTCAGTGTCGTTAACAAATCGTTTCCGAAGAGCGGCAATCATCTTGTAGAACCTATGGATGACAGTGAGCAAGGAACGCACCGAAAAGGAGTTCTACGCACCAGAACCAGTTAAGCCCTTGTAGCACCACATTTCCCAACCCATACACAATCGAGTATGCAAGGGGGATTTCATGGCGAACTTCGAGGAGCGTGAAGAAGAATTGAACAGACTGTCAAACGAAATCGGACAAGGCACGTTCGACGAGCTTATGAAACGCACGATGCTGCCTCCATATACAATCCGCACAAATAGGAACGAGGCCAAGAGGAAAATGCCATTGATTAGCTGCAGACGAGAACCAGTGCGACCGGTCTTGTCCAAGAACCTGGACCAGAGACGAAAGTTTAATAAAACTTGAACTACAAATTCCGAGCGCAGAACGCATGGAACCCACCAATGGTTGTTGAGGAAGATGGTGCTGGCTTCCCAGATGAGGCATCGCGTGCCGTAGTACGCCACGAACGGTTTCTAGCGGGCCTGAGTGTGAGAATGACTCGTGAGGGAATGTGGGGTACGGGGACCGACATAGGACATGGTGTATATGGCGAAGCACGCGATGCCATGGGCGACAAAACCTGGGTCGATGAAATTGACGATGGCGTCCAGTGTATCCCAGAGGAAATATCTGAAGGAGACCAAGATTAGGCCATAGAGGATAAGGGGATGGGGAGGGCCTGGAGACACACCCAACAGCAATAGCATGGACATATCCGACTTTGTGGTCCCAACCAAACGCGCGCTCCTGGTCACGCCCAGGCGCCTCGTGCAGGATGCACCAAAGGGCGTACGGTACAACGATCAAAGCATGAACCTGAGAGACGACGTGTATCGACCTGCAGGAGTTGAAGCGATCAGCCTTTCGTATCCCATTCAACCAACCAAAGACTGGTCTTTTGAGACAGACGCACCAGTTGTTCTTCGCCGCTCTCCCCTTCGACCCATACGCAATAGGATACCACCGAGCGCTAACCACTGGCGCGACGACTTGGTGAACAAAGAGGAACCCGAGGAACGACCAGTAGAAGGTCGTAAGATATGGTGGGAATTTGGTCAGACCCAGCGTCTCCGAGACAAATTTTTCCAAGAAGACCATGCTGGACGGCGCTCGGCGGTGGTAGTCGCAGTCAAAGAAAGTGGCGTCGGAAAGCCTCCGTAATCTTCTCAGTGGTTGGCTCACGACCTCGCTGTTTCAGCAAGGCTCAAAGACAAGGTAACGCCCACTTCCGCACTTGACAATTCGTGGAAAGCAAGACGGATCGAGGCCCGAAGCTAGTTATGCTGGCTTTTTTACGTGGACGACGCAGATTAGCTCGTACGAACTGACAAAATGAGGACGGAACGGCGCGTTGGGTGATAGCAATGCACAAGAATAAGTATAGGCGGCCAATGACGCGTCTTGGGGAATCGAATCGGCAGCCGCAATTTTATTTCCCTTTCCGCCGACGACCACGCATTTACGCTGAGTTGCTGACTCAAGGCCTCTTTGAAATGGTTCGACATTCGGAATACTTCATTCGATGTAATAGATATAATCGACATCAACGTGGCATCATCTCAACTCCCAGCGAGGGCGAGCGCTGAGGAGGTGGTTGATGGTGGACGTAGGAAGGTGCACTCCGGGCCGCATGACACATCTCATTGCCAAGAAAACGCGACGAATATACTCAAAATGAGGGGTTCTCACCAGACCATTTGTCAATGAACGCGTCCAGCCGTTTCGTGTTACTAGACTTTGCGAAGGCCTCGCGAACCTCTTCCTCCGAGGCGCTGGCCAAGTTGTGTAGTTCAGCGGTTTTTGTCCTCGTCCTCTTCTCCAAATCCTGCACATAGGCTGGGAACGCGAACGGCGTTGACGTGTTTAGAGGTGAATTCGCATAGACCTTTGGTAGGAAAGCATTAATTGGCCTAAACAATATTCAATAACTGATCTCAAGGAGTATGGATTCCCGAACCTGGCAGAACATCGGCGGGAAATGTCGTGTAGCAAAAGCATTTCAGACTTTTCAAGAGCCAGTTGTCGCGGCTTCATGGAATGCAGTTCCTCCAAAATGTCTTCCCGGGTGAGTAGAAGCAGTGGTGGAGCGCCTTGAGGTCTTAGTTCTAGTGAGAATCTCAACATCACAGCTCTCCAAATGTCCACGTCATGACCGCACCTTTATTCTCGTTAAGCACACGCTTCAGCTCTTTCTCCATTTCTACGTCTTGTCTGGTTCTTCTAGCCCGTGTGACACCCTCGTTCTCGGTTAGATTATCCAGGTTTATATCGCCGAGTTCCTCTCCAAATGTTTCGATTAGAGCTTCTGCCTCTTCGATGAATGGTGGAAGCTGTGAAAGTGAAGATTGCACTCTCTCGAGAGGTTCTAAGATGGTGCCTAGTGAAACTAGAATCTAGTGCATGTCAACGCCGTTAGCATACTATGACATCTTGGAGAAAGAAAGATTAGAAGAACCTGATCTAGAAAACCTTCCTCTGACTCCAACAAGGCAGTTTGGTCCAGGGCCCATGCCTCGCTTAGGACTTCATTTACGTCCAGATCTTCAGGTTTGTGCATTTCTATTCCTTCATTTAGCTGATCCAAAAGCTTCGCGAGAACGTCTTCGTTCGCTTCACCTGTCTCGCGTACAGTTGCTTCGTGTTCCAAGGCAAGACATATCTCCAGAAACTCCTTCCTTGCGAGTTCATCCTGCCGGGTCTGAGGAAGGTGACCGGACATGGATGCGAACGCTTTTCGTAGGCGGCCGGCTTGCTGGTTCACATCATCGATCTTAACGGTTTCGTCACGGTGCAAGGTTGCTGAACCCTGCTCGTTTTCACGCACAGAGGAGGTGATTGCAGAGAGATCCTTCCTGACGGTTTCAAGATAAGTTCTTGCCAAATCCAAGTCCTCGTTTCCTTTCGGGCTCTCTAGGTGTGAAATGAAGTAAACGGCGAGCCCGATAAAGGTTAACGGTTATCCAACCTTGGGGAATTTTGCAAAGCGGACCTGTTAGCACGGAGAGCAGCTCGTTTGATTCAGTGACAGTCGACGCGATGGTTGCATCCGCCTACAACTTGCATTGGATTTTTTAAATCGATACCGATGTAGCCATCAGGAAAACGAACAGCAATGGAAAGCTCTGCCAGCCGATCCTCAGAGCTACGCATCTTGGCATCGAGGTCGTATGCAACGCGTTGAAATTGCTTTACTGATTTTGACATTTGTTGTGCTGCCTGCCTTCGATGAAACAAACACAGCTTAAGCCTTCTTGTGCACACAGTGGGGATTGCACTTACTTTGTCTGGGCTATCCTTGACCGGAGGAGAACTATTTCATGCTGAGCAAGCTCGAGGTCATTCTCCGAGTATTCGGCGCGTCTTCTACGTGTTTCAAGGTGTTTAGTAAACGTTCAACAAGGGTCTCCGGAGAAAGATATCGGAGCGAAATACCTGGCTAGGGAGGGAGGCGCATAGTCAACAAGATTCATGGAAACTTCCGCTTCAGAGGAGATGCCATCTATCTTCTCATATCTGTATACGTAAGAGCGTTTGGGTGTCAGAGGAAGCAGCCAGTGGTACCTGAGGGTTCAAACGCACCTGGAGACTTCGTCTCTTTCTAGCACAATCTCCCGTAATGCAGCACATATGCATCCATCGCTTTCGGCTCCACAAGCTCCTTCTTCGTCCTTGAGTGCATCTTCCGATATCCTGCCACAGTCCTGCACCTGAGCTGCAAGCCACTGCAGTAATAGTTGTGCTGCCTTGCGATCGTCTGTTTCGTCGACATCTTCAAGGTGTGCACCTTCCATAGAGGGACCATCAAGGTACTTGAGAATTCTGGATACTGCTTGAAGCTGTGATGTGGACAGCATTCCGACGTTGGGGGCTAAGCAAACTGAGATACGTGTAGAGAAATAGAGAAAGGAGAATGACTGATGTTGACGTGACGCGACGCGTCGTGATCTGATCACGCGACTACTACTTGACGACCTGCCCCAGTTGGTCCCTGGAGCACTGGAAGTCCTCTCGAAAAAAAAGAGTGGCATTTACGGTAAGTTCAGGATCGTAACAAGACTCGGTAGCAACAATATAGAGTAGAGGTCAGTATACGCTACAGGGAGAAAGGGATCGCATACGGCGAGAGATGGGCGAGTCTTATTCAACGACTTGCAGGATGGTATAATGAAGACGAATAAGTGGGTGGGGGTAGCGAGCATAAGGAATCACCAACGAGGCGCTGTCGGATGGCGAAGAAAGGGTGGGCACGATTCCGCCTAGGTACGGCGTGCCGCAAAAGTGGAGATTAAAAATACAAACCTTAGATAGGGAAGCATGCGCTTTAGTGATGACCATTTAATAACAGAGACAGGACGCACAGGAATAGGTGCGATGCAAGATATAACTTAGCAATGAATCATATGGAGCCGGAAAGGCACCAAACGAGATATGCGAGACCAAGGAGACCCGTGCTCGACGGGACGGGCCACCTGAGATTGGCAGCATCAACCAGGGGAACAGCCTCAGCGATTGTCTCGTTCAGGCAGGAGAGCAGGTTGTTATCAATGTCCGTTGGTAATGGTGTGTCAGGCGTTCCTTCCGGACCAAGAGCCCCGGTGTTGTTGTACCCGTCCAGAGTGAGGACGACGCTGCTCGCGCGGTAATATTGCACCGCTTGCTCTGGTTTAGGAGCGGCCACAGTATCATCGTAATTCGTTGCAGTGATGTTGTCCGGAGAACTCAAATTATCCCGACAGCTGTCGACAATGTCGTCGATGAGGGATTCGAGGCTGGCCTGGTCAGTCATTAACCGGAACGTCGTATTTTGGCTTGAGGATGAAAACGCAGCCGTCATCTGCACGCCACCAGGCCTACTGCTGTTGTCCCACCGCCCGTACTGCGACGGAATGTATTCGGTCAGAAATGAAAGGACACAGGTTCAGATCACACACACCTCGGTATTATGGAGGTACAATGCTGAGCCGCCGAGGCCTACACCACCCCATGCGAGAGGCCAGAATACGAATGGGAAGCCCAGTCCGCCGACGCCACGTCCAGTATGTCCAGGATAGCCGCTTCCGTATGTCCTGGAAATAACACATCGAGTCAGGTCGAGTCAGGAAGTTGCATTACTCGATGGAAAGAGAATCGTACCTAGTTCCAACGACTTGTTGCCGAGTCCCACCACCTGAGGTTCTTCCTGCGAACAGTTGTCCAGCACCAATGACTGTTGCTGCCCCTCCGCCTGCACCAAATGCTGTCGCGGACTTCGTGGTTCCACCGCTACTGACAGGAACAGACCTCCCGCCACTGCTGCCACCGCTAGAGCCGCCGGATCTTCCACCTCCACCTCTTCCTCCACCTTTCCTTCGATATAGCTTTCTATCCGAACGTTTGGAGATAAAAGGGACGTGCATTCAAGTGTTAGAGAAGATCCAGGGTCTTCAAGAGTCAGTAAACAAGAGATCGAGGTGTAGGATGTGAGAGACAGTCGTTTCAAACAATGTCGTCAAGAGGATGTCAGAGCCAAGGACCGCAACTCCACCGCGACCTTTATAGTGGGTGGACTCGATCCTCCCAAGGACCCAAGCTATTATATGTGCCAAAAGGAGAAATTCGGTTTCCACGCCTGGTTTCGGCAACTTGGCCTCAGAAAGGGAGCCAGGGCTATGCCACACGTCAAAAAAGGACGTCTTTCGTTGTAAAAACTCTAGGCTGCACAGGTTGTCGTCCAATCTCACGAGGGACATGAGGTTCTTTGAAGTTTCTCTCGTAATAGACATCTTCTATGTGGATCGCGTGATTACTGAAAAGGTACTAAATTCTCTTCCCCAATGGCTAGTAAAATCCGCGACCGCCCAGCTCTATGTCAATATTCAAGGAATGAGGTAATCAGGGATGGCGTTTTAGAAACGCATAAGTAGCACCAGGATAGACAGCCTCATGGACTCGAATGCGGACTCAGTCGTTTTGGTCCCGCGTCGGTACAGCTCTCATAGTCTACCGGGCGACCTACAACCCTGCAGGCTGAAAGTACAAACGAGGGAGACAGCGCTCGTAAAAGGGCTAGGTGGCAGGAGAAAGTACTATAAATTCATGCAAGTACAAGGAGTCTCGAGGAGTCGAGGACTGCAACAATCTACGAACTTCTATATCCCATGATCTATCTGGAATTCCAGGCGCCATAACGTTCCAAAAACGAAGACGACGACTACTACGACTCCCTGGAATACTATATCTCGCCATGGAGTATCTTTTTGTACCGTAACAAAATCCTCCTGAGATGGCGACCAGGATTTTTCCTGATTGGCTGAAGACGTGCGCCACACAAACGCCCAAACAGAATAAGTAGTTCACGCTGCCGACAATAGATTACTTTGTACTCAAAACTCAATATTTCATTGTAATAACTGCCCGCCATGCTTTGAGAAAGGAGGCACCATATGGTGGGGGACATTCTTGAGGATTATCTACCCGGTCACAAGAGCCACCAAAGTTGCCGTTCTATTTCAGATCGGGCATCCTTGCAGCCGGGATACCCATTCTTCTGGTCTGGAGCGGCAAGTGGATTGAGTTGACTAAGAGTCTTCGAAATACAAGTATCCCATTACTTGTTTGATGGACAAAGGCAGCCGACAGGCTGTCCTGCACGAGACGATACATTAGTTACGCACCTCAGGTTTGACGTTTGCTCCGATCGGTTATTAGGATGCAGCCATTCAGTCTAACGCTCAGCAGGAGGGTCGCTGTGGCCGTGAGTAAAGATCCCATATAGTCGTCGGAGGCAGAAATGGACCGTATTCACAATATATAGTTCTGTTTCTTCAGTGTCACTCAGCGAATAGAAGGCCGAGACCCTTCCTGCAGGATTAGGAGCGAACAGCTGCTACACCCAGTCGAGGAGACAGTGGTCGACGACATTGTTGCGGATTTTTGAATAATCAAGCACAAGACAGAAAAATGCTGGCAGGAACCGGGTACCCGGTGCTTGGCGAATTCGCTCGTCCCGACGGGCGGGATGGCGTCCTCACGTACACCGCCTTGCTAGTTTCACGAGGCGCTCTTGTGGGTCGTCTACCTTGAAAACCGTCCTAACTCTCCGGGATCTCTGGAACCACCAGCAAACCCTACAAGCTCCAGGGTCTGCCGGTAGAGGGATTTGCGAGACCGCGAAGTGATCGAGGTGGAGTCAATCTTGGTAATATGCGAGTGGTACTAGGATTGGATCCTGTAACACTGGGACAACACTGCAGTGCACTCATCTGGACGAAATCCGAGACAGAAATGACAGAAATGTATTGCGTTGCGTTGCAGTGCAGGAGGCAACACTCTGATAGTTGTAAGACGGGGCTAGTGAGGAAGGACATTAGGAAGTGTAGGGGTTTCCCAGATAGTGGACTTACTACAAGTGCGCGCTGACCAGCGCAGATTTAGACCCGAACAGAGGTATACATTATGACAGCAGATCAGTGCAAAGGGTCCAGACTCACGAGCGGCAGCAGAGCATGAAGCATAGAAGATCAAGTCGTCAAGAATATAAAGCACAGAAGGGGACATCAAGATCGCTTTAGCAGTTCCTCCACGCCTTTCATGAAGTTCGTGCCCGATTTGTCGTTCTCGAGCGTCTTGGAATGTTTTTCCAGTTTTGCGATGGTACGTTCAACCTTCGCAGGCGTGTCCTTCGTGCTTTCTAGAACCGGAGACACTGAGTTTCAACAGCCGTAAGTCTACACATCGGTCTCGAAGGCTAAGGATGGCACCGATTTCGTCTAGATTTTTCTTCAGCTGGATCCACAGCGCATCGCGGGCCTCGTAGTCTGCCCGAAGTTCTTCGTACAGGGTGTTGATTTGAGCCTGAAAAGGGAGAAGCGTCAGATGCAGTAAGTCATTTGAAGTCGTACCTGTGTTGATTTCAGAGCTTCTCTGAAGTCCATGCTTTGCGCATATATGGCCTCTTCCGTCTTTTTCCAGGCGGTATTGTACGCGATGCTACCTCGAGCGTAAGATGCGTCCACTTTCTGGTCGAGAACACTAAAGATGGCTTTAACATGGTTATGAGTAGAGACCAGCGTCTTGGCGATTTCTTTTTTCAGCTCCTTGTCCTGGGCCGCGAAGGCAGAGTGGAGAGACTCAGTCAGAAGGTCAATGTTGTGCTCCTCAGATTCTTCCGAGCTAGCAGATGTCTTTAGAACAAACGGAAAAACGCGTGCAGGACGGCAGTAGCGGGCTTACGGCTCTTCCATGAGGTCAGAGAAGAGGGTGTCTTCCTCCTCCCAATGGAAGCCAGAGATGTCGGAGTCCGTTCCAGAGGCCCAGCCATCGTCTTCAACTTCGTCGTCGCCTTCAGAGTGAGGATCATCCCTAGACTTAGGATGCTGATAACGTTCATCACCGGGCACGCGCTGTGCCGGACGTGAAGCATGTGCTAGGGGTGAGCGCGCAAAAGATACCGCGGGACGCGACGGTGTACGTTTCTTGTAGAGGGGCGCTGTGTTCTGGGTGTCAGCACGCGTCGTTTAGCAAGAGGATGCTCGAAAGGAGCTCAACATGATTTCTGGGGTGTTCGCTTGGATTTGCGGAAGTGGGACGGAAGCCGGGGCATGGTGGTAGGAATGAAGCGGGGATTAAAACTCCGCTGATCGACTGCTGGTGTCACTTCGCGCCTTTCTCCCCCTGGCCTCGTCGTTTTTCCTTTCGTCCAGCGCCGTCGTTGTCTTTCTCGCTCGCTCTCCTCCCTCCTTTCGCCCTCCCTTGTCCCCGCCTGTTGTTGGCCCACCACCCTTCAATCTACCCGAAAAAGTTCATCGTCCGCCATGAACTCCCGCCCGCACAAAGTCAGCTCAGCCCGCCCCAATGTCTCTTTATTCGCGACTAACGCCAATTCATGACAGCAATCTATGTCGGAGCTCAAGCTTCGGAGGCTGACGGAGCACAATCAGCGGCTGCGGGAGGATCTCGCCCGACCAAGGGTTCGTGTCAGTGAGGCCAGCGCAAGGTACGTCCCTCATTATCGCCTTCAACGACTGTCGTTGCCAACCAGTTCCGACGCCTTTTCAGCCTGATTCGTTACTGCAAAACGACTAAGGATCATCTCGTACGTCTCTTTTTTTGCGACTGGCGCGGCCCCCCTTTCGTCGCCGCTGTCCCCTGTTGTCTGGCCTAGCCCCGCTGACGATTTTTCTCCCTCCTAGATCCCCTCTGTGTGGGGCCCTGTGACCAAGGGCGAGGATCCCTACGCGCCACCAGCGCAAGGATGCAACTGCGTCATAATGTAGAATCTCGGGGCACTTTATTCGCCCCTTTGGCAAGCATGCGCGGGAGGAACGGCTGAATGGAGAGAGAGAACCTCTCTTGGAGATATTGGCTTTTCTTTCTTGGTTGCGTCGGGGTGCGCTTGCTTATCTTTCTTTTGGGAATCCCCGACCAAGATAGACGCATATACCGTTTTCCAAATACCTGCTGACCCTCATCCACCCACATTCCTTTCGAATCTCGACCTCTTCTCGTCTTCGTTGTTTCATGGATGATTAGCGCTATACACCCCGGAGGCATGCCGTTCAATTATGCTATCAATTACACCTTCATCCATGGACATGTTTTATAAGTACTGCTTTCCGGTGCCTTCCCCCTGTTCCATGCTCGTATTTTTATTATACCTCCCCGCCCACCCGCTACCTTAGTCGTTGCCCGTGCCATATTATATGGTAGAGCCAGTCTACAGACTACTGTATACTCCTGCTGAAGCACGCGGACTTGCCAAAAGTTTCTGGGTTGTGACCCGTTGTCTGATGCATGAGATGGGAAAGTCTGATGGACAGCTCTTTTAGGAGGGGGCTGTTCACATGGCCCACCCTGACAGAGCCATCTGCAAAATTATTACCACCCGATTATAACCACTTTGCACACGCCAGTCATCTTGACCGTCAACACTCACGACAACGAGCAACCCCAGACCACAGCGCCCACATCCACTATCTGTGCGTCCACTTTCCGTGTCCTGACCTCCTCATTCGGTGTATACGCGGCCTTGGCTTACCCATCCTCCCGCCCACAGCAGATTTGTATATCAGTCCACCAAAATCATCATGAGCACACGCACAGGCGGTCGGCAATCCATGTCAGAGCTGAAGCTCAGACGCCTGATAGAGCACAACCAACGTCTGCGAGAGGATCTCGCACGACCGCGAGTGAGAGTCAGCGAAGCCAGCGCCAGGTAAGTCCCCGGGTTCTCGGAGCGCCTTCCCCCTCTACCCCCGGGCGCTGACCTCCTTCCCCCTGCGTTCTCCTCAGCCTTATTCGATATTGCAAGACCACAAAGGACCATCTTGTGCGTAACGCGTCTTTCTGGTGGTTTGGATGGCCGGTTCGCTGACAGACGCCCGATGTTGTAGGTGCCGTCCGTTTGGGGCCCAGTAGGACGAGCAGAGGATCCCTACGGCCAACAAGCCACAGGGAAGTGTTGCAGCATCCAGTGATATCCCTCTTCTTCTCCTAGACACGCCCGCCATCGTGCACCTCCACTTCCTCCAGGAAGCATCCTCGTTACCCCGGAACGGTTCAGGATGCCCCGGCGGTAAAAGCACCCATTCGACATCTTCCTATCACTCTTACAACCATTGTAACACCACCACTGACACCCATCCATATTCCATCCTTCCACCCTCTCTGGATGCTTGCCATTTTGCTTCCGCTGCTATCCTGGTTCCTGTCTTCAATCCCCTGATGTCTATTCCATATGATATTCTCTTTTCTCGTCGCTGGAAGTATCCAGTTGGGCATTCGGAATCTGGACGGCACTTTCACTTTTTTTCTCTATTCTTTCCCTCGCTCTCCCTTATTTTTGTAACTGTAAAGACATGTTTTCGTCGTATTTAAGCACTACCCTCCAACTTGCTTTGCTTTCTATCGTGACATGGGATTGATTACGGCTCCTATACTATGGTCTAAGCCAGGATACATTACCCAGCCAGCCGTCAATGTCAGAGGTTGTCCAACAGGTGACCCGACAAAGTACCAGTCTGCTGTAATAGCCGGAGACTACTTTCCGTTAATTACAGTCGGTCAAGGAAACCCTTGACGGCACTGTCGGGAAGAGCGCCTACAAACTGCTCTACGGGAGCACCATCACGGAATGCAATCACAGTGGGCATTGCGCGGACCTGTGTACAACAAACCCCGCTAAGCAAATGGGTTCAATAAATATAAAACCAGGTAGTACGGACCTTGTACTTCATCGCCAGCTCTTGGCCTGCATCACTGTCTGTGTCGACTTTGACTAGGTCGAACGGAAGTCCAGAACCGGATTTGTGCGGTTCATTCGTCAGATTTTCGATGACAGGGGCCAGTTGGTGGCAGGGGCCACACCAGCTGTCCACGATAAACGTAAGGCACAACGTTTAGGAAGGAAGGACGGAAGACGACGGAGGAATGAAACAGAACGCACTCGGCGTAAAAGTCGACCACGGCAATGCGGTCTTTGGCGCTTATCGCCTTGGTGAATGTCTACCGAAAAGGCTTTTCAATACGATTAACTCTTGAGGCGTTTTCAACAGGAGCTCTGGACGTACTTGGACGTCGGCTTTTGGGTACACGACCGAGCGTGGCAATGAGGTGTGGAAGGACCGGCTACCGCTTGACAGACCGGTCTTGATAGCGGAGAAGGATGCCGCTGAGGATTTGAGAAGATGGGAGACACGGCTGGCTGACATTTACGTGGAGGGTGTTGTTGTTGGCTGTCGAAACTTGTCGAAGACGTCGATGAGGTATTCGGAGTTCTCGGCGTTTGCCATAGTCGGTCCGGCATCGGTCCCGGTTGTTCCACAGTCTTCAACCACCACCACGACAACTCTGAATATTATTATTCCTCTCCCCACGGTCTCTGATGTTTGTCCCACTGTGAACGATCTCTCATCCTTCAGAAGATCTTCTACGTATCATGATATGTTCCTGATATCAATCAGCTCTGCTCCGTCCTGCAACACGAGGAGACATCACAACGATTCTCCGAGTCCATCCATCAAATTTGCTCTATTTTTGCCTCCTGTGCTGTTGTTTGCTATATATCTGGCCAACCGCCGCATCCAACCAATGGAATCATGGCAGCAGACCCTTCATTACAACTCGTAGCCTGCGGGCATTGACAACGACTTTGCTTGATCCTTTCTGCGGAGTAGCCTGCAAAGGTTTCTCTCTCGAGCATCCACCACGAACTGCCCCTCAACCTCAGCCCCCCCTATCCTGTCGCAAGGAGACGGTGAAATTTACTTATGGTTCTAGAAGCTCGCAAAATGAGCTCCTTGTCATAAGGTGAGGCCTTTTCCAATACCCTGTGTTCCAAAAATACCCCACGTCCTACGGCTACTGTGGGTCGTTTTTCTCATCACCTCGTTAAAAATAAGTCTTTCTAAAAATACAGTGGTCCGTTGTTATAGAAATCGAGTAAAATGGGATTCGTACTGCCCAGAGGGGTACAAAAGGCGTGCTGGCGGATGATTGGTACGCTAGTTCGTTCCCTTTCCCCCCGCAGCACCTGGGTTGTTGGACTTTTTGAGCAGCGTAACATCTTTTTTTTTTCTCTCCTTCCAGCTGCTTATCCTTTCTTTTCTTACAGGCTCATCGTTGTTTCTCTCTTGCCTTGGACAAGACCTTCCGATTGCCCCAGTCTAGTCGACGTATCAATCTTCTGAACCAACATGCGTGTCTCTGTCCTAGCTGTTTCCCTGCTCTCTGCTGTCGCCGTCAAGGCTGTTGACACCCTCGTCAAAGTCGGAGCTGGCGGGGTATCTGACTATCAGCCACCCATCGTGTTCCGATACTGACGAGTCGTTGCAGTTGGTCTTCGACCCTTCTAGCATCACGGCTGCTGAAGGGGACACCGTCACCTTCCAATGGTACGGTCTTTTCTATCCCTTTTCTATTTGAAGATGCAAGGCTAATCCTCTGGCTCTTTCTCTTTCCTTCATCTAGGCAACCGACTGGAAAGAACCACGTACGTATTTCCGTCTTCGCCTCAGTTCACCTAAAGCTGATTCCATACTTCTGCAGTCCGTCACCGAATCTACGTTCGCTGCCCCATGCACACGTCAGACAATACCAACAGAAGGGGTCGACTCTGGCTTCATGATCGCTGGCGCAAACGCAACCGAACTCCCTCAATGGACGATCACTATCGTCAATGCCTCCGCCCCGCTCTGGTTTTTCTGTGCCCAAACAGCCCCGGTTGAGTGAGCGAGAGTTTTCTGCTACAGCTTCATTAGTCGAAGCTGATAATTATTCTCCTTCCAGCCACTGTGGATCAGGAATGGTATTCGCTGTCAACGCGCCTCCCAGCAAGACGTTCGAACAATTCCAAGTAAGCCTCTGCACTTCCTGCCTGCTGTCCTTCTTCCTGACGGCTTACTTGCCCTAGAACGCCGCCAAAGCCACTCTAAACAACTCGACTTCAACAGCGACCGGCGCAGGTACTGCTACCACTGGAGGAGGTGCAAGCGCCTCTGGTACCGGCACTGCTCCAGCTACGAGCACAACCGCTAATGGTGCACTAGAAATCGGAGGTGGCGCCGCTGGCGTGATGACAGCAGTCGCGTTGCTCGTTGGTTTGGTTCTTTGAGAGGGAATCTTGGAGCTAGTCTTCAGGATTTAGTCGGCGTAGACTATTGGGTTTCTTTGAACGATGTATTTTGGGCCTAATGTCATTTTCTGACTTGAAACAAAAATCTGGAAGGATGTTCTCCGGCACAGCTGGAGCAGAGTAAAATACACAGTATTGTGTTGCTGTAGAAGGACTCAGATAGGAAGCAAGTGGAGGTTGGGATGAACTTAGACTAAGCGACGCCTTGATTAGATAAACACCGACAAAGCTCATTAGCCTTGCGGCGCGGCTTGAACTACACGTTTGCGGTCTGCTGTGGTCATCCTGCCTGCTGCCCTGCAGCGCCAAAAAATTACCTTCTATCTTACAAACCTACAGTATGGATGCGATTAGAGTTTCGAAGGCGAGTACTTACTGTGGCTTTTCAACTAACGCCCATAAATCGAGCCCGAATACAGGTGGAACAGATTCTTTTCATGAAGACCGGGTCAATCTCCAAAGGAACACTGCATCTTACGGCCCACCATATTATCTTCCGATATGAGAACGCGGGCGAGAAGGAAATGTGGGTGAGTAGGGCTAGTGTGCTGCCGCCTGGTGTAGCTAAAGAGGAGGTCGATTGCAGATGCCCTACCCCCTGATATCCCTGGTCAATCGACTGCCGCAGACGCTGCAAGGACAATCCCAGCTCAACTTCCACACCCGGACATTTGAGTCCTTTTCATTCACGTTCAAGAAAGACACAGACGCGAGCGATGTGTTTGAGAGCGTGAAGGAGCTAACTGTTGCTCGTGAGTCGCGATGAGTCTCTATCTCGGTGCCCTTGCTCATATTGTCTTTGGTAAATAGCATCTGTCACCCAGCTGTATGCTTTCTTCTACAACCCGAACCCACCTCTCCCGACGAGTGAAGGATGGAACTTGTACTCTCCACGCGATGAATATGGACGGATGGGCATTGGCACGCGTTCGAAGGCATGGCGGTTCACGGATCTGAACAAGGATTACTCCGTACGCTCTCCCGCTCGTTTACACCCTCCTATGCTGAGGCGACGTAGTTTTGCCCCACGTACCCTGCCCGCTTGGTCGTGCCCACTCGGATAAGCGACACAACACTCCAATACGCCTCTAAGTACCGCAGCAAATGCAGGATCCCCATCCTGAGCTATCTACACTGGGCAAACTTTGTGCGGACTGTCACTTTTCGTGTTAGGGCCTCTAACGAGCTTCCATCCGTTTCCAGGGGAGCATAACGCGCTCCAGTCAACCCATGGTAGGGATCACGCAGAGCAGATCCGTGCAAGACGAAAAGCTCATAGAAGCCATCTTCCAATCACACTGGTCGCCTGAAACTCGTGTTCCTAGTACTGCGGTCTATGGAGCGACCCCCACGAACCTCATCATCGATGCTCGACCCACCGTGAATGCTGTAGCGAACACGGCGAAAGGCGCCGGCACGGAGAATATGGACTACTACAAGGAGGGAAAGAAGGTGTATCTCGGAATCGACCATATTCACACGATGCGCGAATCCCTGGCGAAGGTCGTAGAGGCACTGAGAGAGGCAGATCAACTCCTGGCCAGTATAAACAACGGTCTTCCTGACCAGGTTTCAGGGTTGGCTGTCCTCGACAGACAAGCTCTACGCCGATCAAGTTGGCTCCGGCATATTCAAGCGATATTGGAAGGCACGCTCATCATCGTGAAGAACGTCCACATAAATTCATCGCATGTCCTCATCCATTGTTCCGACGGATGGGATCGAACGTCACAGCTGTCTGCTTTGGCGCAGCTGTGTCTCGACCCTTTCTACCGCACCATTCGTGGGTTCGAAATTTTAATAGAGAAGGATTGGCTGTCGTTTGGACACAAGTTCCTTGATCGGTGTGGCCACCTCTCGTCGGACAAGTTCTTCCTGTCACCAACGGTCGACAGTAATTCGGGCAGCGGCGCAGATGCTGCACAGGCGTTCCTCGCGTCGGTGCAGAATAGGTTCGCCTCGCAGAATCATATCAAGGAGACAAGTCCAGTGTTTCATCAGTTCCTCGAGTCGGTGCGGCAACTTCAGAGGCAGTTTCCTGAACGGTTCGAGTTCAATGAGCGGTTCCTCCACCAGCTCTACTACCACCTCTACTCCTGTCAATTCGGGACGTTCCTTTTCAACTGCGAGCGCGAACGGAGGGTAGGAGAGGGTGCTCCGCCTGCGACCGAGAGGACTGTTAGCGTCTGGGATTTCTTCAACTCTCCTTCGGAGATGGCGCAAAATCAGAACCCGAGTTATGATGCATCGTTGGATGACCCGGCCAGGAGGACGTCTGATGCGGATATGGGCGTTCTGCTACCGAATCCCAAGGACGTCCGGTTTTGGCATGAGCTGTATGGGAGGACGGACGAGGAGATGAACGGGCGGGTTGTTCCTATGCAGCCACGAGATCCTGATTCTACGGACAGCGCTGACGAAGATTTAGCTATTCAGCGGTCACTAACTCCAGACGTTACTCAGCCTTCCACCTCAAGGCCAACAGGGTTGTCGCAACCAATGAGCCAGTCTTTGAATGTTCCTTCCCCCTCAGCACGGAGCCCTTCTCCTGGTATCGCCAGTGGTCTTCGAGAATTGTCGTCCTCATTACCTGATTTAATCGTCCGCGCTGGTCCAAGTAGGAATACCGCCTCAACACCGACACCGTTGAGCGATTCTACATCCAAGCCTCAAGCGTCGGCATCTTCTCCAATAAATTCGCCTATTTGGGGACGTACTCGCCAACCGGAACTCTTATCCGGAGGTGGTGTCAAGTCTGTCTGGGGAAAGCTTTCATCCAACGCGTCTGCAGCGTTCTCGGTTATGCAAGATGCCTATACTGGGGTAGCGAAAGACTTGATGAGTTCGGGATCTACGGAAGACACTCCGGCGAAAACGTCAGAGCTGCGTGGACGAGAGGCCCTCAATGGTTGGGGAGAAGAGAGCTCTAATGTTGCTTCTTCGTCGAGGGTCCCGTCGATGTCTGCGAACAATCCGTGGGCGTCGTCTTTTAAACAAACTTCATCGAGATCGTTTTCGATATACGAGGAGAATCCTTGGGGAATGCCTGACCCTGCGCCTCCTCCCCAGGAAGCACCCAACGCACATTCCGCGCCTGTCCAACCAACAAGCCCGCTTCCCCTTGATCCTATAATACCCATCATTCCGACACCAGTGCGCAAGCTGACTGCATCATCACTCACTTTGACAGGGCGGAGCTCTCCGAAACCTGGTTCAAGACGTGGCTCTCAGCTTCCAGCTGCACCAGCCTCCCCTACGAGTAAAACCAAGGACAGCAATACAGACCCTCTCGGCGTCGGACTGTTATAACTACTGAGATGAGTAATTATTTCCGCTGAATTGTACGCATAGAGTGCCGTGTATCTTATACGCAACCTTTACATCGACGCGATCTTTCTCACAAGTAAGTACCTTCTACGGAGCTCGCAGGTTCGTAAATTTCGCAAGATGAACGCATGGGGATACGATGGCGTCAACTGCTTCTACCGTTCTTCCTTGGTTCTCCCTGGGTTGCGCCCTGGGTCAATTTACGTTTTAAATAATCTTATCCAGGGACTCTAGCGAATCATCGGCCGCAGCGTAAAGTTAACGTGAAAACGACACCGCTTAGGTTGAGAAAAAAGAAATGCGTCGACGATGGATGGCGTGATATGGAACGATGCGCTGACATAATCACTAAGTGTCTGATAAATTTGAAAAAGTTGACTTCTATCTTCATCCTTGCCTCTTCCCCCCAACCCCATTCCCTCCTCCAACTTTCGTCGTCGCCATAATGACCGTCAACGGAACCTCCTCCGCTCACTCCCGCCTCCCCCCTGGTCACTTCCTTTTCACCTCCGAGTCGGTTGGTGAGGGCCACCCCGGTATGTGCGACGCGTTGTGCTTCGCTGGCGCACAAAGTTGATTTTGCATCAGATAAAATTTGTGACCAGGTTTCCGATGCCATTGTGAGTTTTCTAGTTTTCATCGGCTTCTTGGCGGCTTTCCTGACCTTTGACGACGTGTCCAGCTCGATGCCTGCCTTGCTGAAGACCCCTCATCCAAGGTCGCTTGTGAGACCGCCTCCAAGACTGGCATGATCATGGTATTCGGCGAAATTACCACCACAGCCAAAATCGACTACCAGAAGGTCATCCGCGACACCATCAAGAAGATTGGTTATGACGACTCTTCCAAGGGCTTCGACTACAAGACTTGCAACATCCTCGTCGCCATTGAGCAGCAATCTCCCGACATTGCTCAAGGCCTTGACCACGGGTCTCTCGAGAACCACGGTGCCGGTGATCAGGGTATCATGTTCGGTTATGCTACCGACGAGACGGAGGAATACATGCCCCTAACCATCATGCTCGCCCACAAGCTCAACGCCGCTATGGCTGCTGCGCGCCGCTCTGGCGAGCTCGGTTGGCTCCGGCCCGACTCGAAGACTCAAGTCACCGTTGAGTACAAGAAGGAAGGCGGTGCGACCATCCCTCTTCGTGTGGACACCATTGTCATTTCCACGCAACATGCTGAGGAGATTTCCACCAAGGAGCTTCGTAAGGAGATCCTCGAGAAGATCGTCAAGAGGGTCATCCCCGCCCATCTCCTTGACGCTAGGACCATCTACCACGTGAGCCAGCTTTTAGCCCTGCCCCGCACATGATGGCTTACTATTCTGCCTGCCACTAGATTCAACCCTCTGGCCGCTTCGTCATCGGTGGTCCTCAGGGTGATGCAGGTCTGACTGGCCGCAAGATCATTGTCGATACGTACGGAGGATGGGGTGCCCATGGAGGAGGCGCCTTCTCAGGCAAAGATTTCTCCAAGGTCGATCGCTCAGCTGCTTACACGGCTCGCTGGATCGGTATGCCGTACCCATTCTGGTCGTTGTCTTATCTTATTGACCCCGTGCCAGCCAAGTCCCTTGTCGCTGCTGGCCTTGCTCGCCGTGCCCTCGTCCAGCTGTCGTACGCCATTGGTGTCGCTGAACCCTTGTCGATCTACGTCGACACCTACGGTACTGGTACGAAGAGCGACGAGGACCTCGTTGATATTATCCGCAAGAACTGGGACTTGCGACCTGGTGTAATTGGTAAGTTCTCAATCATGTCTGCTCCTTCGGGGTATTAATGAATGTTCTTCCAGTCCGTGAACTCGACCTCCAAAAGCCGCAATACCTCAAGACTGCTTCCTACGGCCACTTCGGCAACCCCGACTACGCATGGGAGAAGCCCAAGCAGCTCATCCTGTAATTTATTTCTAGACGCAAGGTTAGATGCCCTCATCTCTTCTCTGGTTAATTATGTTTTCTTGCTTTTTGCATCGGAAGTTCATCCTTCCGCCCGTTCATTTCATGCATTGCATTGTCCTAGATACCACTAACGACCCAGCACACTCACACTTTGACGAACCGACCTCATCATCACCATTACGCTCTTGTGGATTGTAGATCATGGCATTCTGCCACTAAACCCGTAGTACACAAAAAAACCCGTAATATGTAGTTATCAACCCTGAATCAAACGCGTTCAACCGCAAATTGATTCTTCACATGCCTTTGTGTGCTATTTTGAATTTGGGTCTGACTCTGCGGGATTTTAATGGATATTCTTCAACGAAGTTTACATAAAAAAGATCCGTTTCCGACCAAAGTTACTACAGAGGGAGCCGAAACTCGGATCCGGAGTCGATGTGATAGCACTTGAGAATAATTCTTGGAATGAATTATTCTCTTGTGATGATCCTATTCTTTGGCATTTGGCCGTTGCCAAAACTACCATGGCAGAGTGGCAGTCCCAGGTTGGCTTTAAAAGGTGCAGATACGTCCGAACGGGGTGGCGCGCGCCAGCGCAAGAGATTTGCCAAAGACAAGGAACCAGACAAGGCTTTGGTGAAGCTTTGGTCAATTTAATTGTGCCGTTTCTACGACACGTATTCTCAAGTGCTGACAAAATGCGAGTATTATATCAGCTGTATACAAGCTAGAAAGGTAGAAATGCGAGGTTTGCAGTAGAGTAGATGATGTCGATTATATGCTACTATCAGGAAAGAGGGAGTGTCCAGCTTCGATGCTACAGAACGATAGAGGGGCTAGAAAACCTATGCACGGCCAGATCTACAGAATGCAAAACAAAAAAAAAGTGAAAATAGAAGCTGGACACGATCTAGGTGTGCTGATCAACAAGAACACTATTCAAAGAGAATCAAGATTGGCAATTGTTATTAGGGAGCAACCAGAACAAGAACTGACTTTCTTAGAGCCGCCTCATCGACAGGCGGCCCACGTCCATCTCCCACCATAACCTTCATACCTTCACTCGGAACGCCATTGACGACAAGATAAAGCCAACCAGGGCCTGGCGGATAGACGTTGCCATTTGGTGGCCCCTGGGCACTCAGAACGCCAGCCCCTGAAGAGAACTTGAGATAAACCATGCGCGAGTTGGCATGGACGGCGTGTGTAACATAGCCCAGGTCCATCAGAACAACTACCAGCCGACATTTAGCAGAAGATCACTCAGGCGAGGTAGAATACTAACCTCTGACGTCGCTCGCATCTCCGGCCGGATAATGGACATTGATGGTGAAGTTCTTACCAAATGGCACGCTTTGGACCTTCTTCGTGATACTTGGGCGCTCCTGCGACATGTAAGGTGGATTTAACCATTCGACCCTATATTCCGTGCCATATTTGACCTCACTCCTATCCAAGTTGGGGTTACTCCCTGCGATCATCACACTGCCAGCCGGAGTAAGAGTCGCCACGCTATGATAGAGGCGGGGTATCCCGCTAGTCGGCATGCCGGCAGAGGAGAAACGGCTTCCAGCTTCAGCCAGCGGGTCATACTGAGTCGGCGTCAGAACAGGGTTATCAGCATTGGAGGCGCCAACCTGGTTCAAGACATTTGCGTAACCTGAGATTCCAGAAGCACCGCCATTAACGAGGAGTACTTTTCCGGTTGGCAGAAGGACGGCGTCGGGCATTACACGGGCAGTAGGCATAGTCTCAACATTCCATCCAGACTTGATGCCCGCCTCGGTCAGGATAAGCCGAGAGCACTGAGGTGAAGCAGGATCTTGTGATGAAATCTTGTAGCCGGGTTTCGTGTCGTCGACGGTAGAGCCACCGCACAAGAGAACTTCGGCAACGTAGTCGTTGTCAGGTGAAAGTGGGAGCAAGAGGCCAGTACCAGTCATGGGATAAGTAACCCGAACACCGTTGGGTATCTGAGGTAAGTAGGTCTCAGTCCTCGTTGTCCAGTCGTATATCATAGCGTCCCTATTAGCGGCCATAAACACTTTCCCATCCGGAAGGAGGAAAGCGATGGGGAATAGATTCGAGTACAATGTCTTCACCAGGAAGGGCAGCGTAATTGGCATGCCATTCGATCCTCGGATATTCTTGGGTGGGTAGTATTCGACTGTCGGGTTGTTGACCGTAGCATTATTAATCCAGCCGCCTTTCTTCGAACCACCAATGATCATCGCACTCCCATCGTTAATTCGGATGACAGTATTGTACCACCTAGGGCTGGCCATCCGGATCCGGGCGTGATTTTCGTACAGCTCACATCCACTGACGTCCGACGAGTCGCAGGGCTGAAAAATCCGAATCGCCTGAAGGCCGTCGAGGTCGCCAAAGTCAGCTGCGGATGTATGCGTCTCGACAACTGGATTCCCGCCAACGTTGATTAAGGTACCGTTTCCGAGGAACGTCCCACCAGCACAGAAAGAATTCGACTGGATCCTGAGAGGTTTGACTGAGTGATTCTCAAGGTTGTACAGAGCCGCCCAGGCAGGGTGGCCATCGACGGTAAGCGGGTTATGTTCGACCTTGTCCACAATCAGAGCGTGTGTTGGCGATATGATGGCGAGTTGCATAGCTGCGACACCAGTCGTTCCTCTCTGAACTAGAGTCCACGGTGTCGAATCGCGAATTTCCACCATGGACGCGTCGACTGGCGTTTGGGGCGTACGAACGCGGGAAGGAGAGCCTCGAGTAACAACAAACGCGTCCAGATCAATGATAGTGTCCTTGATAGCACCAGGTCGCTTCGCTGTGTTGACAATCTTGATCGTATGTGATGCCAGCAAGAGGTCGAATCTCCAGAACAGCCTCTGTTGCCTCAGCGGCATCGAGTGGTTACTATACGTATCCACCTCCTCCACCGGCTTGCCGTCAATCAGCACAATCGCGAGACCGTGTTTGCTATCCGTGTTGCCGAACCATTCGATGCCCGTACCGGTGAATGTGAAGGACACCTCCGCACCAGGATCGGATGTCGAGCGCAAGGATTTGCCGACGTAGCGGGTAGAGTACTGATCTGTCCAGGCTCCTTTGTAGGAGATCAAGGGGGAGGTAGAATCGTAGCTTTTCGCTCCGGGCGGGACGTAGTAAGGTGTGAAAGGAACCAGTTGGAGGGAAGTGGAAGTTGTATGGCCATTCCATGCAAGATCTCTGGACAACGCGATCCCAACGAGAAAAAGGACAGTAACGAGATGGACTAATGGACGCGTAAGCGCCATTTTCCTTCGAATCGAAAGAAGCCTCAGTAAGGAGGGGATGGCCTTGCACGAGGGCTACCAGTGAAGTTGATGATCAAGAACGACCCGTTTGGGTCTATGTTTAGAACTGTGCAATCGTATCCTCTGCTGAACGAAATTTCACATTCTCAATTTGATTTGGGTACTTGTGTTATGAAGTTAATAGGATAGGTGGGAGATACATGGTACAGTTTACATGGACAACATAATTGAAGCGATAAGGTAGCACGGTCTAGCGCACAAACGGCGGGTCAAGAGTCTAGGGTAGTCAAGAATTAAATGTATTGTGCAGCCCAACGGTGTCGTCTGAGCCGTTGACGGGGGTGCTGGCTCCTGTTTTCATTTCGTGGTGGTCACTACTAGCTCCGTTGGGGAGCTTTCCAGCAACGTCTGTGCCTTCAAGAGCGTCGAGATTGAGACTAAGGGCCTTGTCTCGTAGGTTGTCGGCACGAAGTCCCTCGATATGGAGCATATATGCCTCGTCGACGCCACCAGTAACATACTCGCCAGTGAAAACCGAGCAGTCGAAGTTTGGAATCGCGGGGTTGAGGTGTCGCACAGAGTTCAACAGATCAGGTAGAGTTTGGAAGATGACAAGGTCGGCACCAATGGCCGATGCAACGGCAGCGTCGTCGCGGGCGTAGGCTACGAGTTCCTTCCGAGAAGGCATGTCGATACCATAGACGTTCGGGTAGCTGGCTCAAAATAAATATCGTGGGAGGGGGGCACCTCTAATTGACTGACCGGATAGGTGGGGCACAGCTCGCCATGATTACCTTCTTTGCTCCAACGTCTTTGGCCATCTGGATGATCTCTTTGGAGGTCGTCCCTCTGACAATAGAATCTGAAATAGAGAATAAGTGACGATTCTTGGAAAAGCATATCGTTTTACACTCACCATCGACAATGAGCACATTCTTGTCCACAAACTCTAGAGCCATAGCGTTCAACTTTCTGCGGACGTTCTTTCTCCTATGCACTACAATCAATACGGCCTTCAACAAATTGAGTACTGCAGTACCTCATTTGCTGACCAGGCATGATGAAAGTCCTCCCGACATATCTATTCTTGATGAAACCCTCGCGGTAGGGAAGGTTAAGCCTTTGAGCCAAATTCAACGCAGCTACCCTTGATGTATCAGGAACCTACACCACAACTTTAAGCTGTACAACGCCAGGCAGAATCGAGACATCTATACCTACCGGAATGACAACGTCGACTTTGATGTTCGCTGCTTCCAAAACTGTTTTGACCTGATCAGCAAGGGCGTCGCCCATCGCCATCCGACTGCGGTAAACACTAATACCGTCCATGACGGAGTCGGGACGCGCAAAATAGACGTATTCAAAAATATCCGGAGCGAAAGTGGCAGGAGGTGCGATCTGCCTCCGAGAGATTCCGTTTCGAGTGATGATAACGGCTTGGCCTGATTGCGAATGAGATGAGTTTGTTGATTTAAATTAAGGTAAGCGTACCAGGTTTCACGTCCTCCCAATCTGCGAATCCACCTGCATCCGCCACAACACTCTCACTAGAGATAATATAGTCCAGGTGCTCTCCAACTTTCCTTGTCGCAAGTCCTACAGGTCGGATGCCGTTGGGATCACGAAATGCGATAATTCCGAATCCCGCAAGCATAGCACAGCAGGCATAAGCCCCTTTTACTTGCGACATCATCCCGCCGATAGCCGTAAAGATATCCTCCTCGTTGATACGAAACTTTCCGGTCTGTTGTAGGTTGTAGGCAAATATGTTGAGTAGGAGTTCCGAGTCTGAAGCCGTGTTGATGTGTCTGTGCGCCGTCTGATCCATGAATTGCATGAGATTAGCCGTATTGATGAGATTTCCGTTCTAAACATAGAAGATCAGATAGGCGCCCGCTTTGCGGGAAAGATAAGACTGACATGGGCAAAAACAATTCCGTAGGGAGAGTTGACATAAAATGGCTGAGCCTCAGCATTGTTGAAGCTTCCTGCGGTTGGATAGCGAACTAGAGAAAATGTTCATTGCCATTGCTGTACTTCCTTTCAAACTTGCCGAACTACGCACCATGACCGACGCCCATTCCACCGATCAGGCGAGAGATGGAATTGACGTCGAAGATGTCACGGACCATTCCATTGGCTTTGCATTGATAGAAGCGACCCTTTGGACCACAAGTGATGATACCGCACGCATCCTGGCCTCTGTGTTGAAGAAGAGATAGACCCTCGCAGATCTCTGGGGCTGCATCTATCGAGGGATCATGGAGAAGCAAGCCGAGAATTCCACACACTATCCACGTAGAGCATCAGAGCTGAGTGAATGTCGCATAAGAGCATATCACGTACTTGTTCTCTGGGGCGAGAGCGAGGGTGTATCGATGCCAGACTAGACGGACGGGCGGAAGATGGTCGATTGAGCATAACAATTTTTTTGGCATCGATCGTCTCGAACGGGTAATCATGGGATTCACGTGTTGCCTCTTCCCCGCTCCGGCCCGAGGGACCAATCTACGCCCAAAGAGCGTTCTCATACAGACAGCACATAAGAGAGATAAGTTCTAAATACAGCAGTATACAAAAGGCCAGCAAAGCAAAAGTGTTACAATGCCCGTTGTTTCATCCTGGTGCTCACTGTCCTCAGGCCAGCATACACCTTTCCTGGTGGGGATCCAAGAATGAGGGAGACGATGGCATCTCGGGCGATCTTGATGTTTTGGAAAGAACCCATAACATGGATTTTTCTATGCTACCGTTAGTCTCGCAGAACGAAGGCAAGGAAAGGGAGAGACGTACGTGTCGGCAAGGACGATACGAGTTCTTGTAGTATTTTCTATCGTGAACTTGGTCTTTCCATCCTGACCGGCGATACGGCCAATCGCTCGTGATAGATGGTCGCCGTGCAGGGTTTTGACATCCTTAATCTCGAAGGAGTCGAGGTAGAGGTCGTCCAAGCGTAGGAGGGCGATGGCGTCCTTAGAAAATAGATAAAGTAAGAACGACATCCTGAGCTTTCTAGCTAAGCTACGCTTCTCACATTCACATCGAAACCAAGAGCATAAGCTTTGATAAAGTCGGCACCTTTTTGAAGGGAACCAATATCTTTTGTGTGTTTTGAGGTCTACAGAGCACCGCAAAAGCTGTCAGAATGGTGAAACAGCCCACCATGAAATTTTACGCACCCTGATCTCGACGCATCTCCGCTGTACGTTCATCCGCACCTGCAAGCCCAAGATCTCCGTCAACGGTCCGAAGATATTCAACCAATCCTTCTTTAGTGGTGTCATCCGATGTGGGGGAATCGGTACACGTCGTGTCTCTGATTTCAGTAGTGTCTTCTCGGCACCTGTGGCGACGGGTGGAAAGGCTGGTGCGCCGCCTGCAGGAAGAAGGGGAGAAGGATGTGAGTCGATCATTAGCTCGTCATCCCCGTCCTTCGCCTCCTCGTCTAATGATATCTCGGCATCTGCAGATAGAGGCTCTGGAGCAACTACTTCCATCTCTTCGTCATTGTCGTAGGCGTTTTCGCGATGCTTAGTTGAGAAGGATGGTCCCGAAGGGATGGCTTTGTTAGGATTTTTGCGCGAGATCTTGCGGCGATTTTTCTTCATTTTAGTCGGCATCGCATCCGCCGCTGAGGCGATCGTTGAGGTGTGGGCCACAACCATAATATTGTCGATGCCGTGTAGCGTGCTGCAGCTCGGGGTAGGGGTTTCGGTCAAAAATTACTGATCGCGCTTTTTTCGCACGCTACTCTAGCTTGTGTCTTCACCAGTGTTCACTAACACTATTCACTGTTTGACTTTGGTTGTGAGCCCTCGTGCCACATGCCTTCTACTCAGTCTCTTTTTTTCGGTTCCCCTGACTTCAATGATTCTGAGACAGCAACAGAATCTATCAATGACACAGCTCAAAATACTAGGAATACTGCCAGTGGCCACGACCACGAACACCCCCCTTCTTGAGGCCGAGTACGTTGTGGATCGAGTCCTAGCATACCTCAAGTGTCCAGCCGCTAGTAATCACGGTGACTAAGGAGCGTAGAGCTATCGCTGATTCGGAGGAAAATGGTGAGCTGTCATCTTGGGGGCTCAGTAAGTGACTGCTTGTTCAACTTCACACCCCTAACGATGCAGATAAGTATATTGCTCACGAATATACTTCAGCTTCGAATACGAGGGCGATGCCATGGCAGTGCAATGTCGGCAGTGGTACCATGGACTCATGACCGGCCTGCTGCTTAATATCTATCACAAGAATATTCTCATGAAGGGTCTGGTTTCGCTCAGTGGCTGCGCTGACATTCGCCTCTTCGATAATGATGTTGCTGTCCTGCACGGCTCTCTCTTCGACAAAGCCATCGAACATTCAGAGACATGCTATCTGACGGTTGTTTTCGGAGCCTCAGGCGAAGCTCGACTACGAAGCTGCAAGGTTCTTGATCGGGACCGGAGGCGATGTGAAGCTTGTCATGTCTATCAATATCGCGTTGACTGCTGCAGCCAAGATGAGCAAACAGGAAGTTTCGTCCGTCTCAGTTTGCGCATGGGTCTGGCAATTGGAGAACGTGACTCCATCAGACGTTGGAAAGATTTTGACACCCGACGGTCAACTCGCATCTCCTGAAAAAGATTCTTATACATTTTGGAATATGGCGAAGGAGAGGAAGTAGAGCGCTGCCTCATAAAAGTTTACCTGTTTGACCACTTTGAAGTAAGTCGTAGAACGGGGTTTTCGTTCGAAACTGTCGATCTGACGATGCATACCTCTTTCCTCCCTCAGGTGTTTCCTCATGATCCAGCTCATGGCGTCGGCGGACCAATCATTATCCCAAAGTGCTTGGCTGTGCGTAATGCGAACTACACTGACAAGGAAGATGCTCTGCGTGCTGTCGTGAATATTTCTTTCGAAGACTAGCTAATGGAGTCCATAAAAACAACCTTTAGGCGTCAGCGGGGCTTTTGGAAGATGCAGGAATCCCCCCAGAGAAGATACCGAGACGGTCACGGTCAGAGATGGAAGAATATTCTGCGCGAGAAAATAGAGTGAACACATCGTATTCGTGCCTTGTGACTGGCTAGCCACGATTCATTCCAATTTGCATATCTCCTTTCCCGGATTTTGACGAGGCCGTGCCCAGTGTAGTAGGCTAGGATATGGCTTAGGTCGCAGGTTTGCCGCTATGCATGTGACCGAAAGCTTTGTATAAGATATGCCTTCTTTTTTTTTTTTTTTTTTTTTTTTCTTTTTTTTGGGAATGTAAGATATAAGAATATTGCGGATGAATGTGTTGTTACAGATGTGCGAGAGCATGGCTACAGCAAATGAGTGTATATACGAATGGGGTGAAACCTCTGAAACGAACGGTGGTCTAAAACTCTGGCGAAAAACGAAAAGAGAGTGGTCATTCGCAGGGGCCACAGCGGGGAACAAGCGTTCAACCCGGTAAGATGTTTCTGAGAAGACGATGATGGTTTGAATGCGAAATGATGCGAAAGCAGAGCGACAACGAAAAAAGTGACAGTGTTAGCTGGTTCGTTGGGAATCGGATGGTTAGACTGTATTCCGTCGGAAGCGACGGAGGATAAGAGCGCGTGCTTCTTTCAGCTGCCATAGCTTGGGCTTATCGAAGGTGTATGGAGTAAGATTGAAACGGCCACGACGGAGGATTTCCATCATGAGGAAGGACACTTGCATTGAAATCAGCCTATGAGGATGACGAGAAGCAGGAGGGACACTCACGAATGATCTCGATGTCATGAGCTAGAGGGTGTGATACGAATTCCAGGTAATTGGAGCCAACACCTGGAAGATGGGTGGGAATGAAGGCAGATTTGGCCAAAGGTTTGGTCTCCGCATCCGACTCGTCAGACGACGATGACGACAATGACGGAGAAGATGCAAGGTAGGGTTTAGATGGAGAAAAGGGTTTGCCCTTGGCCGGCGACGAGGGCATGAACTTGGACGCCTTGGAGGAAGTGGGGATGCGGATGACGTTCTGGTGGAAAGTGCCCTTCACTGTCTCTGAATCGTAGTCGAAGAGCTGAGAAGAGAGGAAGATGAAAATCAACGAGACGTCACAAGAAGGAACAATGTAACATACAGTAAGAGTGTCAGCAGTGGCTGTCCAGATGTACTCTGTGTCAAAACGAGTTGGAATGGCGAGGATCTTTGGCCTGAAAAAAAGGAATGAGCGCAGTTCATTTTTTGAAAGTAAAAGAGAACGAACATGAAGCGGATGGTGGAGGAACCAAAGAGATCTGTTAATGCGCCAACCTTCTCATCTGTAATAGTGATATCCGGGCGTCTCCCATTCCAAGCGATCTCGGCGACGACATTGCCCGTGGCATCCGTTACGGTCGTCTGTCGTCTATCGCCTTTCGGTGTTTCTTCAGGTTTAGACGATACCTTCTTCTGCAGAACGGGTGATGAGGAAGCGACGGTGGATGTCAGGGATTCATCACTGGGCGCTCTTTCAGGTGAAGAGAACGAGGAGGATGTGGAAGTAAGGGGTTCTTGTTCGTGGGTAGTTTGCTCAGAAGAGTCCAGAACTGTGGTGATGTTATAGGTGCGCTCGCCAGTCGCAACGTCGATGAGCAACGTATTGAGCATATCGGGAGACGTGAATTTGAGCAGCATGGTGAAGCCGGGGAAGCGACGGGGGGAATTCTCGAGACCCGGGC